GCTGGCACGCAGCCCGCCGGCACGCAGCCCGCTGGCACGCAGCCCGCCGGCACGCAGCCCGCTGGCACGCAGCCCGCCGGCACGCAGCCCGCTGGAACCCAGCCCGCTGGGACTCGGCCTGGTCAGCCTGGCACGACTCAACCTGCTGGTACTCAGCCTGTTCCCGTCCCAGTCCCGATTCCTGGAACTAGTGTGCCAGGTGTTTCCCAGGGCACTCAACCTGCTGGAACACAACCTGCTGGAACACAACCTGCTGGAACACAACCTGCTGGAACACAACCCGCTGGAACGCAGCCTGGCGGAACTCAGCCTAGCGGAACTCAGTCTGGTACTCAACCTGCAGGAACCCAGCCCGCTGGAACACAACCTGTTGGAACCCAGCCTAGCGGAACTCAGCCTGCTGGCACCCAACCGGCAGGAACTACGCCTGCTGGAACGCAGCCTGCGGGTACCCAACCTGCCGGAACGCAACCAGCTGGAACGCAGCCTGGTACCAAGCCTGCTGGGACCCAACCGGCAGGAACTACGCCTGCCGGAACGCAGCCTGCCTCCAGCACTCAACCGTCAGCCTCCGCGACACGGTCAGGCGCTGCTAGCTGCCCTACCGACCTTTCTGGCGACTATGAGTATCCTCATCTCATCGTCCCTGTCAACTCTTCCACCCCTGATACTGCCTATGGCTCCCAGCTTTTTGGCACTGTTTCATCCACTGTGTCGACCATTTTCAATTTCGACATTCCATCTTCTGACTCCGGCAAGACATGCAGCCTCATCTTCTTATTCCCTAATAAGGAGGACCTCCAGACCTCTGACTACACCTTCAGCGGTGACGGCAAGATTGACTTCTCTCAGCTTAGCTCTGCTGCTGACTTGAAGACCACCTACAACAATGCACCATCCGTCAAGCAAGACTATGGGCAGCTCACGGTCTCTCCTGGCAACTCTTATTTGGTTGCCTCGTTCTCATGCCCGGCTGGTCAAACCGTTGCTTATGAGATGAAGGGCACGGGTAGCACCTACCTCAATTTCTTTGAAGACTACAACCCATCTCCGTGAGTGAACCTTGAAATAACCCCGTCAGAAGACCTCAGGCTGACTGAATTTTCTAGTCTCGGTTTATTTATCACAGTCTGTTAGACTGATCATCCTTGAAAGGGCATCTTTCAAACGATCACGATAAAATGAATCATGGACCCTTTCCTTCTTTTTTCATCTCATACTATTGAATATTCCCTTTTAGTCCCTGGCAATATGACTTCTTTCCTGGATTATTGCACGCATCAGAGCCGGACGTGGTAGTCGAAACGGTAACAAAAGGTTTCTGATTGGGTGGCTGTTCTGCTGTCAATTGAAGTAATTTTCTACTTAAGTGTACTATAATTGAATGCCATCGAGTGTCATTCAGGCCGTTCAACAATGTTGAGGTTCGCAGGTCTGCAAGTGGAGACTTGGAAAAAGGACAAGGTTTTAGGCAGCATTATTCCCAGGCTGGTGTTCTCAATTCGGTTGCCGCCGGATACTTACTGGGATTGGCACCGGAAAGAAGCCATGCATAGGTACAACTTGTTGGCGCATTTAGACCATAGTGATTCTCTTCTGAGATAGGGCGGCTTCAATTCGTAGGCGGTTTACTGTCATGTAATGGAGAGAAAGAGATCAAAGACCGTAGCTAATGGCATGAGAGTTGCCGCAGGACTCGTTTTGCTGCTCAATGACAGGTCACGTATCGGCAAACAGCCCTAGGGCGTGGAGGTGCAGAAGTGGCTGAGGATAAGTAAGAGTGTAGGGGTCCAACAATCGGACCCAAGATTGGTCGAGCCTTCGGGCGGTCAAAACCCCGCGGTTGCCGACTAGTTTTACCCAACCGCTGAATAGGTAAGTTACAAACAAGACTCAACAAGTACACTTCAATTTCATGTTGATTGTGCCGCGATGTCAGCCATTTTTAAAGTTCGCCCACCCGTGGGCCTGCTAACAACGTTGTCCTGACTTCGCAATTGATTCTTGTTTTCAGTTTCATTCTCGACCTCAGCTTCAACCTTCATTGTCCAGATGGTGCTTTTGTCTGTCCCTTGATTTTCTTTCACTTAGAGATCTCGCCTTCTTTGTCGATTTGAGAGTCGAATTGCGGCAACCTAAACCATCCCTCACGTGCTCGGTTCCATTGCCATCAAACGTAATCCTAACTCCAACACCAACAATTCTGCTGCGCAGAGAGTTGTGTATGATTTATTTTGGCCGATCTGATTATTTGCTTGGAGAACTTGGAGATCTAGAAAATCTTGCTAGGCGACTGGAGTCGTTGACGTGATGGACCGCATTCCCAACAAGCTGCCCTTCACTAAGAAACGCCTGAGGCCACGAGTTGTGCTTTCGTGAGTTCTGAAGCTTACCCTGCCTAACTTCTGATTACCTCCCCAGAAGATTGACTAATCGCTTCGCCTTGGGTGCAGATATATTGCCGACTATGTGATACTTATGTTTGTCCAACCCGGGAATTCTTCACCTAGAATTCCTGCTAACAAAACCGTGATAGCGCCTGTATCGCAGGATTCTATGTTCTCGACTCCATTGAACCCTATCACCAGCACTTCTCGCTACGCAATATCTCTATTCAATACCCCTATGCGGTTCACGAGCGTGTCACGATACAGGAAGCGCTCTGTATTTCCGGAGTGGCGCCTTTACTCATCATTGCCGTCTATACCCTCTTCATAGATGGACTCTTTTCCCACAATAAACCACAAGATCCAGTGTCCGGCAAGCGAAAGTTCAATGGTCCATATCGCTGGAAAGATCGATTGTGGGAGCTTAACTGTGGAGTTCTGGGACTCCTGCTTTCTCAGGGTTTAACCTTCGTCATTACGCAAGTCTTAAAGAATGCCTGCGGCAAGCCTCGGCCTGATTTCATTGATCGATGCCAACCTCGGGCAGGAAGCCAGGATGCTATACCGGGCTTGTCGAATTCTACAATCTGTACAGGTGAACATGCGCTCATCAAAGATGGGTTCCGTTCCTGGCCATCAGGTTCGACATTACTCCCCATACTCCGGAGCATACTGTATGCTGACTTGCAATCATAGGTCACAGTAGCTGTAAGATCGTCTCCGCGTACAAATGATTGAGTTTAATATCTGACTTTACTCACCGTAACAGCATCATTTGCCGGATTGTTCTATTTGACGCTTTGGATGAGTGGCAAGCTGCACATAATGGACAACAAAGGAGAGGTATGGAAAGCACTCCTGGTCATGATCCCCAGCCTGGGAGCTACTCTTGTTGCAGTAAGTCGGATCATGGATGCGAGACATCATCCTTTCGACGTTATCACTGGATCGCTTCTCGGGATCATCTGTGCCATTATCTCCTATCACCAGTATTTCCCTCCTCTCTCGCAACCATGGAAGAAGGGCCGTGCACATCCGATCCGCAGCTGGGGCACGGATCCACTACCTCCAAGCGACACAATGGAGACGATGAGGTTCGAAGGCAGCACTACAGCACTTCGTCACCCGGAAGATGGCAGCCAGTTCAAAGCCATGGCTGATGAAAACAATGGCGCGACATACCATCCAGCATCCAATCCCTATGTGACAGACATGTACACTCGTCGCTCGCAGGACGGGGATGGAACCTGGTCCTCATCTAGCGAGGATGTTCACGCCAATGGTTATGAAATGCAACGCGGTTATACTCGAGCACGGAACCCAGGGTTGGGCGGATCTGATTCACACTACGAGTCTACAGCCTATAACCCACCACAATTACCACAGGCGACCACATCGCTGCATGCACCTACACGAGTGATGACCGCTCAGCTTGATCGTGGGCGGGATCTGACTGAGATGCATCCGCGAGAAGTATGAGACACCAGACGAGCTATCCCAGTCGCCTGGATGCGAGGAGGGGGCGTTCGATTTGTTGCCGAATTAAGAACATCTATCAGCACATTTGCATGTAGAATTTTCGGTTTATATGACTGTGATAATGATTTTGGATTCCTTTCTCTTTTCCTTTCTTCTCAATTCTCTTTTACTCTCGAAGCTAAATTGGTTGTGAGCGAGGGGTGATGATCTGCATAACTAGAGCACTTGGGTGAACAAGCGAGCAGTATTTGTGGTGTGTACAGGATAACCAAGGTCTCGCTAGTTATGCTGACGCTGACTGACTTTTGACACTGAGGACGGTGCCTGATGATCAACCATGGCTGGCTCTAGATTTTCCCCTCGTGGTGGCCCCACCGACCACAACAATCACAGTAAACAAATGTCATGCTCAATGAACAAACACAAGAAACGTTTGGATTTTGTCCTCCGCAATACAGGCTGAGATACGATTGATTGGAAGATCAAGTCTTGCAATGTCATCATAGTCAGGTCGTGGAACTCCACTACAGAGAAGGTGAGACGCAGCGACCAGCCACCCCGCACTCTGACTCTACCAGCCTCCCCTCTTCCACCTACACAGTACAACTACGGAATACCTACCTAGTACTCTTCAGCTCCCGACCTGCATACCTGATCTCTCCTCCGACCGGCCCCATTGTCTTCTTTTTCTCTCCTGCAGTCTTTCTCCTGTTGGTTCCTGTCTTTGGACGCATCATCTGCACCCTTGCGTCCCTGTTCGTCCCTGTGATCTAGCAGTGGATTGATTCTCTCTGTCTCGTGCTGTTGATCGGGCTCTAACCGATTCGCTCCCTCGCTGCTCGGTAAATAAACGTTGTCCGGCGCAACGTCACTGACAGAGCCTAATCGTGCCTTGCTCTGCCTCCTTCTCAATTGACTTTCTATCGTCGCTTTCAACGCCAGTCCTCATTTGAGTGGATGATGTTGGTTTAGCTGGCCATCATCCCATTTTATCTGACCTCTTAGCTGTCCTGGACCTTCAAAGACCCTTACAGCCAAATCAAAAGCGTTCGAGCCAAGTACAGTCGCATTGTGCGAGCATCCAGCAAGATGATCGGCAGTCTCTTCTTCATCCTTAATAGGCTCTTGGAGCTTATTCTCCTGATTCCGATCATCGGAATGATGGTAGGCACATTCCACAATTAAACCTCCTCCCGAGTACTGTAACTGACAACCCGTGTCGTAGGCCTACTTTGTCAACGGCTATCTGAATGCCAACATCATCACCCCGGCCTATATTCTCGTGATTTTTATTGTCAGCGTCATCGCCGCGTTCTGGTGTATCGATACCATGATTCGCATCTCGACAACTCGACGTTCGGCATTGTTCGTCGCATTTGTGGATTTGCTATTCTTTGGCGCCTTTATTGCAGGAGTCTACGAGCTGCGATTTATCACGAACGCCGACTGCGCTCACTGGGATGGAGGCTCAGTATACATATCGCTCGGCCCCTTTGGGTACTACGGTTACACTTCGGACAACCCGTTATCGTTTCACATCGACAAGACATGTGCGATGCTCAAGGCTTGCTTTGCTTTGGGAATCATTGAAGTGATACTTTTCTTTTGGACTGCGATATTGGCGATGATGATCTACCGCCGACCGGAGGTGGTCGTCAAAGAGACAACCGTTCGTCGCCGAAGCCATAGCAGTCGACGCGGTCATCGCCGTCATAGTAGCTCGCGGAGCCGACACCAGTATGTGGTTTAGGGCTGCTTTTCTCCCAATTATGACTTAACGGACTACGATGAGATGGTATATGGCTAATGATGGGAATGGTTAATGATGCTCAAATTTGGAGGTGGGCGGGGAAACATGATGAGATGTGATCGCGGTGACGACTTACGAATTTTTTTTTCTCCTTTTTGATATTCTCTGCACTGATCGGGTTGAGCACATAATGTGTGTGCTTCAGAAGAACGATATACAGCATCTTTTCTGCTTTGTTTGCGATTGGAGATGTCTTAATGCCTTGTACCACAGGTTTTTGTGACATATGGGTTGTTATCTGGAGTGAGAAGCACGAGTATTTATTGTGCGTGGTCATCAATACCATGAATGAAAGACACCCCTGTGGCCTCCACTTTTTGAGAGAACAAAAAAAAGTAGACTAGTGGGCAGGCAATCATCTAACTAGTCCTGAAGCAGAATGATGCAAGCCAGGATCATCGGATCTGGCCGCTCCCCGCCTTCGATAAGAACAACGCAGGAGTGGGGGGAGCTCCGAGTCTCCCAACTGCTCCGCTGCTATAAGACCGAAGTGCTTCAGGCTGTCGTACAGCTGGCTGGCTACATCCAACATTGACCTGAAAAGACACTTGCATTCTCAACGGGCCTCAGAAACATCACACCCGATCTTTAGAAAATTGCTAGTGATTGCAGAGGGATTAGGATAAGCGTCTGTGGCAAACCGTTGGAAGTCAAGTTCGGGAAGTTCCGATAACAGCCTTATCGGCTTGAGTCCAGTCCTTTAAAACAATTACTCTATTGTTCGTGACATCTTCATTCCGTCTTCCTCGATAAAGGAATCATTTTTACTCAGACTGCCAGTGGAGTCACTGCTTTAAAGCTCTTCTCTTCTTTTTCTTCTTTCTCAACCATTCCACAATCGTTCTACCAAACGCTAGCCGCGTGAGCGCGCAAGAACTACCCTTGCCACCCAGATCTCGGCTGAAGACGACGATGTTCAGTTTGAGTGTATTCCTCAGGAACAACCCTCATTGAGCGCTGATGCTACTTAGACCGCTAAAGCCCGTTAGTCACGATGACGGACTTTGAGTCGAAGGAGACTGGGTCTGATTACAGCCGAGGGTACTCGGAGACTATTGATGTCATTCGAGAGCGTGAATATCCCTTGCTGAAAGGTTCGACAGCTGAAGTCAGCCAGGTCCCTGTAAAAGATAGAACACTATGTTAACCTTTTCATACTCGACTGCTTAGATATAACCTATCTTGATCATGCTGGGACAACGCTCTATGCGAAGACCCTTATCGAGTCGTTCTCGCGTGACCTTACCTCCAATCTGTACGGCAACCCGCATTCGTTGACCGCGCCATCCCAACTATCGACACAGCGCATTGATGACACTCGCCTACGAGCTCTCCGCTTCTTCAACGCCAATCCAGAGGAGTTCGACCTTGTCTTCGTGGCAAATGCCACCGCAGCTATCAAACTGGTCGCTGATGCTTTACGTGATGCTACACCCCAAGGGTTCTGGTATGGATACCATGTCGACGCACACACGAGCTTGGTTGGGGCCCGGGAGCTAGCAGCACTCGGAAGCCGGTGCTTCACGTCCGATGAAGAAGTCGACCGTTGGGTGTCTGAGCCAGGCTCTGTCCCTGCGGAGGGCAACCGGCTGTTTGCGTTTCCTGCGCAGTCGAATATGAACGGGCGTCGATTCCCGCTCGAATGGAGTGAGAGGGTTCGGGCTTCCTCCCGCGGGAGCGTTCATACCTTGCTCGATGCCGCCTCTCTGGTCTCTACGTCTCCACTCGACCTGAGTAATGCGGCAACCGCACCTGATTTCACGGTTCTTAGTTTCTATAAGATCTTCGGATTTCCGGATCTCGGGGCGCTGATTGTTCGCAAGAGTGCGGGGCACCTTTTCAACAAGCGCAGGTTCTTCGGCGGTGGGACGGTGGATATGGTTACAACGCATGAGACGGCGTGGCATGCGAAGAAGCGGTCGTCGATACATGAACAGCTGGAAGATGGAACCCTGCCATTTCATAACATCATCGCATTGGATCTGGCTTTTGAGACACATGCGCGTCTCTTTGGCTCGATGGCAAATGTCTCGACGCATACGCGCTTCTTGGCCGGGCAGCTCTACGATCGTATGGTTGCGCTGCGCCATCACAATGGAGAGAGACTCTGTCATATCTATACTTCGCCCCGCACAGACTACAGTGATTCGTCTTCGCAAGGTCCGATCCTGGCCTTCAACCTGAGAGATCGACATGGTACTTGGATTGGAAAGTCAGAAGTAGAGAGATTAGCGGGCGTTAAGAAGATTCAGATCAGATCGGGGACCCTTTGCAATCCCGGAGGCACGGCGGCTAGTCTAGATTGGACCGGCGCGGACATGCTCCGGCATTTCTCGAGTGGTCTGCGTTGCGGCGACGATCATGATATCATGGACGGAAGGCCAACTGGCATCTTGAGAGTCAGCCTTGGTGCAATGAGCAGTTTGGGTGATATCAATACGTTCATGGCCTTTTTAGAAGAGTTCTTTGTGGAAAAAAGCCCCGCTGTGACTTCGTTGGCATCGCTAGCAGACAGCAACCTCGTTCAGGAGCCCGGATTCTATGTGGAGAGTCTATCCATATATCCCATCAAGAGCTGCGCTGCTTTCAAAGTATCGGATGGTCAACGCTGGGAGATTCACCCTGAGGGGCTGGCATGGGACCGGGAATGGTGCCTGATTCACCAGGGCACTGGTGCCGCGCTCAACCAAAAGAGATATCCGCGTATGGCGCTCATACGGCCGACTATTGACCTTGTCCGCGGACTTTTGCGGATCACATGTGGAGGTGCATCTTCTGCACATCACAAAACCCTCGAAATACCCCTCCGACGCGAAAATTTGAATCTCGTGTCTACCTCGCTATGTCAGAATTCTTCCAAGCCTTCGACTGTCTGCGGTGACCAAGTCATTGTCCAGGCGTATACTTCACACGAGGTATCTTCTTTTTTCTCTAGCTTCCTCAACGTACCTTGCACCCTGGCGCGGTTCCCTCCGCAGATGTCAATGAGGTCTGTTCCCTCCTCCGGTGCTCTCATCAATCGAAGTTCATCTCTGCGGGCATTGGGGACAATGCCAGGCTCCTTCCCACAGGACCCTCTACAGGACCCTCTAGCAGCGCCGAATAACCCCATTCTCCTGTCCAATGAGAGTCCAATTCTTCTGATCTCGCGCTCGTCCGTGAACCGTCTAAACGAGGCAATCAAACGCAACAACGCTAGTGGCAATGGCGGCAACAATAAAGCTGTCGCGGCTGATGTCTTCCGCGCCAACATCGTGGTGGCCGAGAACCCGCCCAAGCCGGCGAACGCCGAGAGGCCGTATGTCGAAGACGAGTGGCAGAGTGTGCGCATTGGTCCAGACGGCATCCTGTTCAATGTCTTGGGGTCGTGTCAACGGTGCCAGATGGTATGCGTGGATCAGTACACCGGTGTCCGTGGAGATGAGCCTTATTCGACCTTGGCAAAGACACGGAAACGCGGGAGCAAGATCTACTTCGGACGGCATCTCGGTCTGGCTTGGACGGGGTCTCCGGACGGGGAGGCGTCTCTCCCTGTGTCCCAGACGCTGATGGTGGGTGACAATGTGGATCCATCGTTTGGTTCGTGATTGATGATATGGCTGGACCATCGGGGGTGTTTATGTTTTTGCATATGCTAGTAAGGCGTTTTTAGGGCATTGGCTCGCTGCGATATAGCGGAAACAACATATTCAGGGAGATTTTTGTCGTCAACCTTGGAAGATACCTTGACCAGGGCACTTGAATGCATGACTTGATATAGAACAATATAACTATTTGTACACTACCTAATAGAAACAGATAACTCCCGTTCGAGAACATGATGACGATAACGATGGGGATGATGAGAATCCATCAAACCTCACCCAAGGAGAGAGTTTGGTGCCATGTAGTAGTGATTTCGACATGAATTCCATCTCCCATGAAGCCCCCAACCCTTGCCCCATTGCAGACACAAGACCCAATCGACCCACCTAATATCCTGAGCGCTTGGGCCACTTCTTCCAACCACGACCATGACCTCTCTGTTGGCAAAAACAAAAGAACGGATTAGCACAAACCATCCAGACAATACACGATACGAGCCCAACAACATAAACAGCCCCGCAAAGTCCCAGACGAGAAAGCGGGGGACAAGGGAATTTCTTACCTGCTTCCACAAGCGAATCATCTCCGGCATCTCCAGCATGGCCTTGCGCCGGTCCTCCAGGCGCGCCTCCATGGTGCGCTCCCACTTGTGACCCTTGACCTTCTGCCCGACACCGGTACCCTTGATGGCCAGACCCTGGTTCTCGGCGCGGCGCGCCTCCTTGTACTCGGCCATCTTGGGACTCGGGGGCAGCAGCTCCTCGACGCCGTACTTACGGGCCAGCTTCACCAGCTCCGCCTGCCGGCGCAGCCCAATCCGCGCCCCGACCCATCGTCCTTTTATGCCTTCCGCGGGGGGTTGCGGCAGGAACGGGTTGGCACGGCCCTCGGGACCCTTCCACAAGAGGGCGTTTGAGTACGAGTGGTCCGGCGCCTTGTAGCCCTTGGCCTCGCGGTTCGGAGTGTATGGGGACGGGAGCAGGGATTCGTCGATAGCGGCGGTAGGCGTGTCGCTGTTGGTCGTTGTGGTGGTGGTGGTGGTCGTCGTCGTCGTGCTTGTCGTTTCAGCGGTTGCCTTAGCAGCAGTAGTACGAGCAAGAAGAGCAGGCGGAGGCGGAATGGTGATAGGAGGGCGTACGGAGACGGAGTACATTTGCGGAGGATAGCGGGCGAAGAAGTTGATTAGCCGCTGGGGGAGTTGAGCGGCCAGGCCGGTTTGAGGGGGCGCCATTGTGTGAATCCGGTTCCTCTTTGTCTCTGCCTCCTTGCAATTTTTTGTAGAAGGGAGAGGCGCACGACAGAAGAAAAGGAGGGGGGACGAGGAGGAGGAAGTAGGAAAGGCTCGAGTTTGTAAACCTCCGAGACTCTCTCGCGGCTTTGCTTTCTTTGCATTCAAAATCCAGGCGGGTTTGAAGACGGCGCTAGTCCGTTTTGAGAGCAAACAAAAAAAGTGTCTAGCCTGAGGCACTCAAAAGCAGCTGGGGCGGAGTCAAGCAGCAGAAAATACCCGCAAAGAGGCTTAGTTCCGCAAGTAAACTGACTGTACGTCGAGTCGCCGACCAGCCAGTGTTCCAGAGGTCTTAGGTTCATCCGTCTCTCTTCGCAACTTAACTTGACTAGCCTTACACACGCCTTGTCCCTCTTCCTCCTTGCGGGATTCTCAACACTGATTTCTTCTTCTCCACTTTCACCCCCCTTGTCGCTATCTTGTCTCGCTTGTTGCTGTGTAACTTCTCTTGTTGATTCTCCTGCTTTCTCTCCTCTCACTCCTTCACACTCGACCCTAAAGTCACCTTGAGCTCCGAAATCGTCTCCGGCCTATTCCCCCCACCCGCTCATACTGCCATCATGGCGGACTACAATTATGGAGGCTCCGAGGAAGAGAATGCCGAGCTGAGAAAACTCGAGGTTGAATTGGTATGGGTGGATCCGTTGCCTTTCGGCGTTTTTGCGCTCTTCGGAGGTTATTAGAGATTCCCACGAGCTGACCCTCACGTTTGACCTTAGCTCGATGACCCAGATAATTTCGAGACTTGGGAGAAATTGGTTCGCGCTGCCGAGGCTTTGGAGGGAGGCATCAACCGCAACTCCAATCCCCAAGCTATTACCACAGTGCGCAATGTCTACGATCGCTTCTTAGCCAAATTCCCTCTGCTTTTTGGATATTGGAAGAAGTATGCCGACTTGGAATTCTCCCTCACTGGCACTGAGGCTGCAGATATGGTATGAAACGGCCCATCCTGCTCTCAAGTGATCTTTTGAAGGGGTTGCTAATAGGTGCAGGTCTATGAGCGAGGTGTTGCTAGCATTTCGCCCTCGGTCGATCTATGGACCAATTACTGCTCCTTCAAGGCAGAGACTTCTCACGACGCGGACGTGATTCGAGAGTAAGTATAACTAGAGCTGCTTTTTCCCTTTCCTCTGCCCTCGTAACCATGATCAACGCAGCACGGACAATGTTCTGGTGCCATCGGACTTGCGTGATGCAAAACCCCGCTGGCAACAGTCCCCTCAATGATGGGTGAGATTTCACCCTACCCGGGTCCTAAAGGAAAAAAACACTCAAGTTTACTTCTCACCCATGGCTTATTCAGGCTGTTCCATCTCCCTACCCCCCCTTTGAGAAGAAGAGTTTTGAATTATCTGATTTGACGTCTCAACCACCTTGCCCTGCACGGCCATCATCGGCTGTGTTCGTTGACGCCTACTCTGCGCTCGATGCAGAAGAAGGAAAGATAGACGTTCCCACCCATCGTTCTCACCACTTGGTTGTTCAATTGTTTGGACTCGCAGGCATTGGAAATCTAATGCTCATGTTTGCTATCCTTGTCATCTTCTCCCCTTCCTCTCCTGCATCCTCCTCCCACCCGTCCCATCCACCTTGGGCTGTATGCGTGTCATGGCTCGCTAACCTTTCTCTCGCTTGTGCGCAGGCTTTTTGAACGTGGTGCAAGCAGTGTCGGCTTGGACTTCCTAGCCCATCCCTTCTGGGATAAATACATTGAGTTTGAGGAACGCGTGGAGGCCGTCGACAAGATCTTTGCGATCCTGGGCCGCGTTATCCACATTCCCATGCACCAGTATGCTCGGTACTTTGAGCGGTATAGGCAACTGGCGCAAGCTCGCCCCTTGGCCGAACTTGCATCCCCTGAGACGCTGTCGCAATTCCGCGCAGAGCTCGATGCCGCCGCTGGTCAGGTTGCCCCTGGCGCCAAGGCCGAGGCTGAAATTGAAAGAGACTTGCGGCTACGGGTCGATAGTCACCACCTTGAGATTTTCTCCAAAACCCAAACTGAGACCACGAAGCGTTGGACATATGAGTCGGAGATCAAGCGTCCGTATTTCCATGTTACCGAGTTGGATGAAGGCCAGCTGTCGAACTGGAAGAGATACCTCGACTTTGAGGAATCCGAGGGATCCTATGCTCGCATTCAGTTCTTGTACGAAAGATGTCTCGTGACTTGCGCCCACTACGATGAATTCTGGCAACGTTATGCCAGGTGGATGGCCGCTCAATCTGGCAAAGACGAAGAGGTGCGCATCATCTACCAACGTGCCAGTTGCTTGTACGTGCCTATCGCCAACCCCACAACTCGTCTTCAATATGCCTATTTCGAGGAGATGAGCGGTCGTATCGATGTTGCCAAGGACATTCATGAGGCTATTTTGATCCACCTTCCCAACCACGTGGAAACGATAGTGTCTCTGGCCAATATGTCGCGTCGCCACGGCGGACTTGAGGCTGCCATTGAAATTTACAAGACCCAGCTTGACTCGCCACAATGTGACCTCGCCACAAAGGCGGCTCTCGTCGCCGAATGGGCTCGGCTTTTGTGGAAGATCAAGGGTTCGGCCGAAGAAGCCCGTCAAGTCTACCAGAAGAACCAGCAATACTATTTGGACAGCCGCGCATTCTGGACGAGTTATCTCCACTTCGAACTCGAGCAGCCAACGAGCTCATCGACTGAATCGGTCCAATATGAACGCATCAAGCAGGTTGTGGACGAGATCCGCACCAAGAGTTCTCTGCCCGCCCAAGCAGTGCGGGAGCTTGTGCAAGTCTATATGGTTTACCTGCTTGAACGCGGCACCAAGGATGCTGCGAAGGAGTACATGACCCTTGACAGGGAGGTTCATGGGCCGGCGTCCGTATCGCACATGCAGGCTACGGAGATGGCAGCACCTGCCCCTGTGGCAGCCGCCCCGGCGACCCCGGCGACGGCGGAAGTAGTTGTCCCCACACCACAAGCCAACCCTTATGCTGGTTACTACCAGCAGGCGCCTGTCAATGGCGATGCCTGAGTGCTTGCTTAGACGCATTGATCTACCTGACCTTTCCACAGCCCAGGTCTGTTAATTTCTGATATCCCTTTTCACGGTGGTTTGTTTTTCCTTTCCCGATCCAAGCCAGCAATGGCTTGTCGATGTGTAGAACAATAGCCCCCAATTTATCTCCTGATGCCCCCCATTTTATTGATTATGCAGCTTTCAGCGACTCTGGCGTGTTGAGTGAGGGAGGAGCAAATGACCTATCTAGCAGGGGCAATCGAGTCAGCCTGCTCCTTTGACAGCTTCCCACAATATCAAGTGAGTCTGGCTAGATGGCCTTTCACGAGAATTGGACACAGTCTCCATGTCATGATGTATTCTACTGCGTAGGTAGCTTCTTATTTATTGATTCAATTTCATCTGCCGGACTAAACAAAGGTATTGTGCCGTTGAGGCTACCACCGACTACGGTAGTAAGCACTAAGTCGCTGTGCAGACAACGCGCCTTTCCACGTAATGCAAGTGGATCCTTGCCCAGATGACCCGAAGCCTTCCAATAGACCAATAGTACGGTTAGTTTCTCTCTTTATTTCAAATTATGCATTTGTGCATGATTGGGCCAAGCAAATTCAGCCTCAGCTAGTAATGGCGTTACGGAGTATATGCCACACTGGAGCTATGCAGCTCGCCTTTTAACAATTACGATAGGTTGCATCGGCTCAGAACAGGGGGAGGGTCGGCAACCACCGATTAGTGCTGATGGAGGTGCTGTCTGTCGGCAATACGAGAGTCTATTTCATTCAATAAAAAGGATGCCTGCTTGTATCTCTTTGAGGCTCCTTCCCTCGTGATAATCCTTCTAACTGTGGGGTTTTGCCGGAACCAGATTGACTGACCAACGTCAATCATGACTTTGTCATTCGACCTGATTGACCTTGCCAAGCACCATGGCTTCTTCCTTGCTCTGGCCGGTGTCAGTGCTCATCTTCTCTATTGGATTCGTGGAGAGCGCAACAATAAAGAGGTCCGTGCCTGGTTACTGACGCATGCTGTTGTGAATATCGCCATCCTGGGTTTTATCCTTCTGAATCCCCCAGCGCAGCAGTCGCCATGGAGTATCAGCGCATGGGGCCGTGGACTCGCCGCGGTATCTCTACTGAACCTCTGCTTCTACGGCCCCTTGTTCGCATCGGTCTCAGTTTACAGGCTGTTCTTCCACCGTCTTCGTCGATTCCCGGGCCCAGTGGCACTGAAGCTATCGAAGCTGACCGCCGCGTACGCCAACGTCGGAAAGGAGCGGGACTTTGAACGCATCTGGGATCTTCACAAGCAGTACGGCGACATCGTTCGAACCGGACCCCAGGAGCTCAGCGTCTTGTCCGCCGACGCAATCGAGGCCATCTACGGCGCTTCGAGTCGGTGTACCCGCGCCACCTGGTACGATCGCCTGAAGGCCTCCGGGGATTTCTCAGAGGACTTTGCGACGTTCCATATTCGGGATCCGGTGGCTCATGGGAAGCGTAGAAAGGCGCTCTGGGATAAGGCTTTCAATATTCGCGGTGCGTAGGCGCCTTCCCGCGCCCCCCCACCTTCGGTTGTGTTCTTAATGCATAACGGAAGACTGAATAAGGCATGTGCTGACGCCCCGTTAATGTTTCCAGCGCTTAAGTCTTATCAACCTGTGGTCGTCCGGACGACGGAGAGGTTTCTCGATGCTCTGCAGGAGCGCGTTGGCCAAGTAGTCTCCGGCCCGGATACGATGCAGCTGCTGAGCTACGATCTCATGGGGCTCGTTGGGTGGGGGTATTCGTTCGAGAACATCGAGAATTGGAGGCTCAATCCGGCCCTACACTTCGTCAGGCAGGTGACCTCCGGCCAGCGGATCATCTCGCAGGCGCCGTGGCTAATGAGCCTGTTGGTCAATTTGCCCGGAATGGATGCGCCGATGCACCGCTACGGCAACTGGATCGAGGCGCGGATCCGCGAGAAGATGCAGCTGCTGCAGGGGCCAGAGCGTGAGACTGCGGACGCGATGGGTAAGATGATCCCGGCGATGGTGACTCTGTCGGAGTCGGCGTTGTATAGTGAGGGAGAGCTCATGGTTATTGCTGGAGGGTATGTTTCCGTTGCCCCTACCCCTCCATATTTGTCCTTACTCGGAGACTGTGGGAAAAAGAAAAAGAGAGTCACAGTGGGCCTAACTCATTTCAAAAAATAGGGACACCACGGCCACCACCCTGGCGACGGTGATCTTCTACCTTGCGCGCAACCCTTCTATTCAGCACAAGCTCCAAGCCGAGCTCGATGAAGCTGCACAGCGCCTTCGACAGCAAGGTGACGATGAAGCGACTGACTCGAGCCCTGAAGCGTCATACTACCGCTCCATCTCTTCTCTTCCTTACCTGCGGGCCTGCATCAATGAAGCGCTACGCCTGATGCCCCCCGTGCCCGGCGAGATCCCCCGAAAAACACCCTTGGAGGGCATTCACATCCCCTTACCCACCCCTACTACACCTTCGTCTACCTCGGTGGCAACACCAAGCACTATCTTCATCCCCGGCGACACGATCATCAGCGTTCCAGTCCTCCCCGTTCAGCGTGACTCTCGGAACTACGTTCATCCCGACGATTTCATCCCCGAGCGCTGGACAGATGAGAAGCCCGAATTGACACTGAACAGGTCCGCGTTCATGCCCTTCGCGGCTGGTGCGTATACTTGTGCGGGAAGAGCATTAGCATATATTGAGATGCGGATTGTGTTGGCCAAGTTGTTTGAGAGGTTCCAGGTCAGGCTCGCGGACGGAGAGGATGGGAGGCGGTTTTTGGAGGAGACGAAGGACTGCCATGTTGTGCATCTGGGAGATTTTGAGGTGGTTTATGAGAGGAGAGGATAGAAAACATTGCTGTTACTGTTGATATGGGTCACAAAAGCGCTTCCCCGACAAGAGACGGCGTTGTATATCGGGCTTCTGAGAAATTCTTTGTGCTGGTGCAGGGCCTTTGGGTCACTCTTTGAAACCACACAAGTGCTCTCCCATACTTGTGAACGTGATGCTTTTTTCTATCAAGTGCTGGTACTTGAGAGAGTAGAGTATATATCACTGCAGTTCTCGAGACACTTTCGGGGAAAGTTCACAATACGTGATGATACGGGTGGATCACCTGGGAAGAGATTAGAACACGACTCTCCCTTGGGACATGATGAGGGATCTCGATTGGCAGCTTATTGGGCCTGGTTGAGTTTATAGGTTGAGTCCGATCGCCCTACCAATTCTGGTTTCACAAACCCTGGCCGCGTATTACCGCCATATCTTTCTTGTCTACATGTGATTCATCATACTTCAATACTTCAACTGCCCAAGTCTCTCAGATTTCACACATGGCTTTCCTTACACACTCTTACTCTCACAGGCAGGAGACTCTTGCTAAAGAGTAGATTCTGTGAAGTGTAATCCTGCACTCTGAAGTCAAACGCTGGTATGACAGAAGAATGATCAAGTCACTACACCAGCTCCTTCCTACCTGAAAGCTGGTAAGACAAGACTAAATGAGCTCGCTGGCATCATGTAGCACTTGTAGACAGGCGCATTATCCGAGCTTCCGTGGTATAAATAAATGCAGCCACCGAAGAGTCAGACTGCAATTTCAATCATCCTCGGTATATCACGAACCATAGTCTGTTCTTACTCGTCGCTTTGACTCAAGTAAAATGGCAGACGACGACAAATCGATACCTCCATGGAGGGAAGAGAACATCGACCTCGCTCGAATCCTCGCAAATGGTGCCGGCAAGTTTCTGGAAGACTATGCCAATATATCTGCCGATGAGCTGGAAAACCACGTCAGGGATATAGTTAGTCCAGCCGCAAGACTTCTATTCAAAAAATCGAGGCGCAGCAGCCACAGAAACTGACAAAGCCCTTACCCTCCCATAACTAGGCAATTCGGGGCTGGAAAGTCAAGCCCTATCCATGTTTCGCGAGGTTCCTCTTCCTGGACTTTGACCTAGCTCATTCCCCGGCCTACGACACCATCATCGCACACACCCAGGCTAATCATCTCTTCCTCGACCTCGGCTGCGGCCTCGGGCAGAACATCCGCCGGCTAATATATGATGGTGCTCCGGCGGACCGACTGATCGGGCTGGATCTCTTTCCGGAATACATCTCGTTGGGCTATCGGCTATTCAAGGACGAAGCGACGCTGCCGTCTCGGTTTCTGGTCCAGAATTTCTTTGAGGATACACCCAGCATGCAACAAATCGCGGGGAAGATCAAGGCAATCAACTCCGGATACTTTATGCACCTGTGGAGCTGGGACATGCAGTTAAACGTCGCAAAGCGTATCATCCAAGTGATGGCTCCGGAGAAAGGGGCCATCGCCAGAGGGGTTCATTTCGGGAGGCATGCTGCTGGGGTGTGCGGGCATACGGTCGACGGACTAGATGCTGAGAGCATGTTCCTGCACACCCCAGATTCGCTGACGAGGCTGTGGGAACAGGCAGCGGAAGAGATGAGTACTAGGTTGAAGGTTGATTGTGTTTCTGAAGACGCTGGCTATTGTAAGAGCCTGGATCACGATGGTTGTCGGTTGAGGTGGGTTGTTGAGTGGTTGTGAGTTCTTCATGGGTTGTGCAGGGTGATCACTGGCTATGAATTGCTTCAACAGTAGTCATATTTCTGTGTACATTTTTGAATGTCTTCTTCTTGATTCTGGGTAAGAATCACCTTTCGAGCAAGAGCCAGTACTACTCTGGGGTACTGCGAGTTCTCTTCTACGGGCATAACTTAAGGCGGTTGGGGTATGCGCGTCCTGCTTAGGAGCATGGATAGTAAATAGACATCATTTCTGAGCGTGCCAAAGTAGCGACCAATATCGAGAGGTCTGATTGCACGTAGAGTCTCGTGTGCGGAGGTGGTGAAGGAGCACCTACTGTATGTCTATCACAACTATACACGTGACTGGCTGCGTTCTGAGCTTCCCTGCTGCTCCGTACAAATTCTAGACTCCGCGGCGCCGCCCTGCCGCCTTCCGATAGTCTGCCATATCAACGACGCCTACCGGCGACGTGCTTGTTTCCTCCGATTCCTCTTTCGATCCGCCATACATCATGGATGGTATAATTACGAACGGCTCCTCGGAGGCGCTTCCTCCTATGCCCCCTCCAGAACCCATCGAACGTCCTCCCACCCCTCCCCCGCCTCCAGAAGATTCCTCCGCTCCTCCTCCGCCGCCAGACACGTCCGCTCCTCCGCCACCACCGGAAGATCTTCCACCTGCTCCACCGCCAGAGCCAGAACTCAAGAAAAAGAAAGTCGGATGGGGTGCTCCGAAGAAACCCGCTGCTACGCCCCTGAGTGTCGAGGAGCTGGTGCGCAAGAAACGAGAAGCTGATGCCGCAGCTGCCAAGGTAGATAGATCTGTTGCTGGCTTTGTGAATCCAAGCTATACACCGCTAACCATCATCCCCAGCCCAAATTTTTGTCAAAGAAGGAACGAGAAAAGCTTGCCCTCGAGAAGCGCGCCAAGGAAGTCGAAGCTGCTCGGAGACTCAAGTCCGACCCAACGTCCTCCAACGGAGTCAACGGCACATTCTCCGTCCCGTCTTCAGAATCGCACTACAATGGCAATTCTCGCTCGATCCCCACCGGTCCTCGGGCCATGCGCAACTCCTCCGATGCGCCTAACGCGCCGGCCGCGATGCGCAACAACAAGAACTACGATCTCTCACCTCCTCCCCCTCCCAAAGCGATGTCGTACAGTCTGACCAGTGGCGCTGGCAAACACAATAAGAACCGACGAAGCGCCGTGGATGACGCCGAGGAGGAACAAGCAGCACAAGCCGCTCTCATCAAGCAACGGTACATGGGCGCTGATCAAACGTCAAACTTTTCCGCGAAGAAGAAACGCAAGCGCACGACGGATCGCAAATTCAACTTTGAATGGAACGCCGAGGAAGACACTAGCGGCGACTACAACCCGCTCTACAAACACCGACATGAGGCCAACTTCTTTGGCCGCGGCCGTCTAGCTGGTTTCGGTGATGACGTCGCTGATGCAGTGGCCAAGAATTACGCGAGGGCCCTTGAAGACCGCGACACCGAAGCGGGCAGCATCCGCGCGCGCGAAATCCTGGAGATGGAACGCCGTCGCCGCGAAGAAAGCACACGCAATCAGTTGGATAAGCACTGGTCCGAGAAGAAACTCGAACATATGCGCGAGCGAGACTGGCGTATCTTCAAAGAAGACTTCAATATCAGTACCAAGGGTGGCAGCGTGCCGAACCCGATGCGCTCGTGGGACGAGTCGGAGCTTCCTTCGCGTCTCCTGGAACTCATCGGCCAGGTTGGCTACAAGGAGCCCACCCCCATTCAACGCGCAGCTATTCCAATTGCTATGCAAAATCGCGACCTCATTGGTGTGGCTGTCACCGGTTCCGGTAAAACAGCAGCCTTCCTCCTCCCGCTCCTCTGCTACATTGCAGAGCTTCCTCGGATCGACGAATTCGAATGGCGCAAAAATGACGGACCATACGCTATCGTGCTTGCGCCCACCCGTGAATTGGCGCAACAGATCGAGATCGAAGCCAAAAAGTTCACTCAACCACTAGGATTCAACGTCGTTAGTATTGTCGGTGGTCACTCGTTCGAAGAACAGGCCTACAGTCTCCGCGACGGCGCGGAAATCATCATTGCTACTCCCGGTCGTCTCGTTGACTGTATCGAACGCCGGATGCTCGTCCTGAGTCAATGTTGCTACGTGATTATGGATGAAGCCGATCGAATGATTGACTTGGGTTTCGAAGAACCGGTCAATAAGATTCTAGATGCTTTGCCCGTTACCAACGAGAAGCCCGACACTGAGGAAGCCGAAAACTCTATTGCCATGAGCCGCCATATCAACTCGAATCAACCATCCCACCTCCAACGTTATCGTCAAACTATGATGTACACAGCCACTATGCCTTCAGCCGTCGAACGTATCGCTCGGAAATACCTCCGTCGCCCGGCGATCGTGACTATTGGTAGTGCCGGCGAGGCCGTCGACACGGTTGAGCAGCGCGTGGAAATGATTGCGGGAGAAGACAAGCGCAAGAAACGCCTCGGCGAGATTCTGTCGTCAGGCGATTTCCGGCCTCCGATCATTGTGTTCGTCAACATCAAGCGCAACTGCGATGCCATCGCTCGGGAGATCAAGCAGTGGGGCTTCTCCTCGGTTACGCTGCACGGTAGTAAGACGCAGGAGCAGCGTGAGGCAGCGCTGGCGTCCGTTCGCAATGGGTCGACGGACGTGCTGGTGGCGACCGATCTGGCTGGTAGAGGTATCGATGTGCCGGATGTCAGTCTCGTCATCAACTTCAACATGGCGACGAGTATCGAGAGTTACACGCATCGTATCGGTCGTACGGGTCGTGCTGGGAAGAGTGGTGTGGCCATCACCTTCCTGGGCAACGAGGATTCGGATGTTATGTATGTTCCTTCTTCATATGCGCGCATCCCTTCCGAGTCATTATGTCGTGATCTCACTCTATTTTGGATCCTCTTACTGACTATGCTCTCTATAGGTACGATCTCAAACAGATGCTCATCAAGTCGCCTATCTCTCGGGTCCCCGAGGAACTTCGTAAGCACGAGGCGGCCCAGTCGAAGCCCACGCGAGGTATGCCCAAGAAGATTGAGGAGAGCTCGGGAGGTGGTGGCAAGGGCAATTGGTAGTTCAACCTTTCAGCGGGCTTGGTTTGCGATGAACAATACCATTTCTCATCATTGCATATTTTATATCAGCTAGATATCTTAGATCGTGTCCTTGTAGGGTTTGTACCGTAGTAGGTGTAGTTGTCTGCATCAACTGGAGGTGAGATAGAGATGGACATGAAGCCAGGAAGAACACTGTGGATGAAGATACAGTTGAGTGACATCGTCCAACTGAGCCAACTCTCACATTCACCACCTTCACCACCACAGAGTAACACCAGTTGATCACCCAGAGACAATACACAGGACGTTGACCCATCCTATCTATCATACTTCTATCTTCCTCTTCTCTTCTATCTCCTCCATCCACCCACACATTATCGCAGCAGTCCATCAATCCACAAAACTACACACAAGAAATCACTACAGTACAACAAGCTCCATCCACCAAACCACGTCACACTCGCAACAAAATCATATCAAGATGCCGGTGCAGTGGACCGCGGAGGCCGACGCCAAGGTCCGTTCTTCCCCCTTTTCGCTATCCATCTCCCATCTACTTAACACCAACACCAACAACAACACCCTCCTTTCTACCGACATACCGAAAAGTAACATCATCATCACAACCCCAGCTCTTCGTCGGCGTCCTCAACCAATGCCAGGGCCGACTGAAACTCGACTCCCGGAAACTCGCCGACTACATGGGAGGAGGTAAGTCCCTCCGCCAGTTGCTTTTCACTCCTTTTATCCCATTGGGTCAAACCCAACCTGCCTTGTAAATATCACTCCGAAGTGCCGGCTGGCTGCAAACTCCTGATAGGCTTCCACTCGCTCCTGACTCACCCAAAAGAACCCTGACTGACATGCAAATACACAGACTGCACTGCCTGCGCTGTCGAGCAACGCATGACCAGGCTCAAGAGACTGGCTAAGGCTGTCGTCACTCCCGGTGTCGGTGCTGCTGCTGCTGCTGCTACATCTTCGGCCAAGCGTAAGGCGGCTGTTGCTGCTGGATTGAGCGGAGAGGAGGGTGATGAAGATGCTGCGCAGAAGAGATCGCTGAAGAAGGTGAAGGCGAAGGCGCTGATGAAGATGCAGGAGGTGAAGGATGAGTAGCAGGAGGGTGGTGTATTATGATGGAAGAGCAGCACCAGCGTGCGGTTTGTCCCGGTTCTGAGGAGCTAGAACTTTTTGCTTCGTCTGTGTCATACTTCTTGTGAACATCGTCCGGCCTGAGCTGGGAAACACCGGTTCCTCGCGCTCTACACAGTCAGATGGACAACGTGCGACGTGATCATGACTATTTCTTGAATTACACAACTGCTTTCATGGTGGGGTCTGGGTTTGTTTGGTCACTTCAATTAAGTGATTAGGTTGGAGGGGAACGTTACGTTGGCAGGTGTCCTCAGATTTGTTGTATTCATTCTCGACTTCTAATAAGGGTATATCGGAATAAATCATCTTCTACAAAGATTAAAAACATATATTATGAAATGCTATTCTCACATACTCGTAACTATACTTCCCGAATTCGTCTCTTATAAGCCTTAGTATTTCCAGTAGGCCGGCTTGCCATGTAGAGCAAGAATAATGGAATATTCTTCTCACGGAGTTCTCGCGTGGCGAAGTTGTAGAGGCCGCTCTTACGGATCACCAGGTCTTCGCCGTCGAAGTGTGCCTGCAGAATCCTTGCCTTACGCTGTCTCATGCAGGATATCATGTTGATCTATACAACGAGTTGTTCAGCCCGTGCGAAAGGTCGATGACCCGAATTCTCGAATCTCCTACCGGGATAATTGTATGCTCCTTCAAGGCAGCTCGACTCAGCCGCGTCCTCATTATGCCAACCAGGGCAAGGACTTCGGTTCGAAGTAGCTTCTCAGCCGGAGCTACCTTATGTGTCACAATGAGGCTGATATGAGGATGTTCCCTACCGGCACACCACACCTCCTCGAACTTGAAATCTGCTGTTGAAGCAGCTACTGGCCCAGCGTCGGGATCTGCTGAGGAGCTAAAATTCATGTATCGCGATCTGATGATGCCATTTTCCAGGTTCCTGGAACACTCCTCATTGCCCATCAGCATTGCGAATCTTGAAGCTCGAAGTGCAGTCACTTAGCTGACCCTTCAGTCCAGAGAGAGAATTGCTCCAAAGTATCACGCCCCAGCGGACCCACCCGCAGGTATTCGAGGAATTCATCTGCAAAGACGGCGCTTAGAAATCCATCCTGATCAGCCCTCTTACGATCGAGGCGCGCCCAAAGCTTCTCTTTGACTCTCGCGGAGTCACGAGTGGTTGGGTCAGTCATGTCAACAGGGTGAGCCTCGAGGCGCCTCATAGGCCAAGGCTGGAAGTACACGGCTTCTCCTGTGTTTGGCAAGAGTCCATCAGGCTGGAGAGGGAGCTCGACGCACTCGATCCCAAGTTCTCTGGCATCAGAGTCGGAGAAAGCAGCTGAAGGTGAAGCTTGGACCCTGCGATGGAGTTCCCGCAGGTGGGCGCGAGTCGTATTGCGCGCCTTGTGCCGCAGCTCCTCGGTGGAGTCGCGCGCCAGGGTCGGTGGTCGCTGTCGCCGTCCCTTGGGCTCGGGTCTGGCCCGACGCTCCAACTTGGCTGGCGGATGGGGGTCGCGTGAGACTAGGAACCTTGCGCAGATGCACTTGATTGGCATAGTGAGGTGTTTCAAACCCGTGCAGCTGGTGGTTGAATACCTACGTACTTTCGTCGAGCCGTCAACCGAAAGCAGTCAGATCCAGCAATTCCTTAAATTGGTGCTACTGAGATTCAGCCTAGGAAATGTGAATACCGACCTTCGCCAATACTATGATTATGAGGTGGTTGTGGTTCGTCTGTGTTGCAGTGCAATGGATTAACTGTTAGTAGTTAACGAAGAGGTCCTTCATAAGAGACGCTGGCAGCCTAAACGGGAAGGGATGGTGCTTCCTTCACGGTAAAGCAACGCAAAGCAACGCAACACCCGCTGGTCACGGGACCATGCCGTCAACTTCGCCTGGCCAACTTGTCAATCTCAATCCCTTCAATGTCTTGCATCCTCTTTCTGCTTAATTCTGTTTCTTGAACACTGTTGAATTGCTTCCTTCATGGACTGACTATACTTCGGCAGCGGACGGTCAACCACACTCTACCTCTTCCATACCTCACATTACTCAAGCTCAAACTGACCAGTCTATGCATCTCAAGCCAATGGAACTATGATCCGAGAAACATGAACTAACGAACCATAGATCAACTTTTAAGGGTTGACTTCGGGTGTGGATTCTGGAAGTTATGCCTTGTTCCTGATTAGCATACCAGCATCTACCGTCTTTGGTTCGATTCCCCTGCGAACACTAGACTGTGATCGCTCGTCCCATTCTTGGGTCTCCCACATTAAACTCTTGCACTCGATCAGAGAAAATATCGGTGCCTGGCAAATCTCAGTCGGTGTGACCGGTGGACCCAGATCCTCCGTCGACCCAAAAAGTGGTCCTGTGCTGAAACACGCCGTTGGCCGTCAAGCGAATAGCCTCATCCACCATTCTCGGGCAAGCCACCCGTCAGGGTCTGTTCAGGGTCCTCGGCAGCATATACCCGTGGCTGGCAACTGTATCAAGGAGGTGGTCCGTTTTTCTCCTTGGGAACGCTGCGACAGTATGAAACGAGAGTCATGCATGAAACAAGCACACATCCAAAAAAATTTCCCATTCTATCATGGCGGTATAAGGGACCTCCTTCGACGACAAATAGACTAGTCTTGATCATGGAGACCTGGGAGACTTATATAAGTCGGCTTGCTCTGGACTGATTGGTATCTGAGTGATTCGAGAGGCCAACAGTCCCAGCACCTCAAACCCACTATGAAGCTTCCATTGTTCTTCCTCGGCCTCATGTGCCTGGCAGCGGCCACCCCAATGGGTCTCGAGTCCCGTCAACGTATGGATTCCCTGCCTCGGCTATCTCTGGAATGGTCTTGCTAAGTTCCCTGCAGTCAGTTCGGGAAATGAACTCCGTGACGGCTCTTGCAAGCCCATCATCTTCATCTTTGCGCGCGCTTCCACGGAGCCGGGCCTCCTTGTAAGCCAGACTATTCCTTGCCCTCTCTCTGGCCCGTGTCTGTCTCTATTCTAAGATGGGAAAACAGGGCATCTCCACCGGCCCGGCCGTCTGCAACGATCTCAAAATGGCCAAGGCCGGCCAGGTTCTTTGCCAGGGTGTCGGCCCTGCCTACACGGCTGATCTGATTTCTAATGCCTTGCCCGGGAACACTTCCCCAGCAGCCATCAGTGAAGCAAAGTCTCTCTTCAACCTTGCCGCATCCAAGTGTCCGAACAGTCAAATCCTTGCCGGCGGATATAGGTAAGACACACTCCCCCACCGCCCCCCCGAACAAGTTCAAAAAACCTAGCGCATACTAAGAAATCCTGCAATGTATATAGTCAAGGAACAGCGGTGATGGATGACTCCATCAAAGAGCTCGACGACAACGTCAAGGACAAGATCAAGGGTGTGGTCCTCTTCGGCTACACTCGCAACGCCCAGGAACACGGCCAGATCGGGAACTTCCCCTACGACAAGGTCAAGATCTACTGTGCCGCGGGCGACATGGTCTGCGACGGCACACTACTCGTCCTCCCCGCCCATTTCTCGTACATTGTCAACACCGGTGAGGCCGCACAGTGGCTGGAGTCTAAGCTGGGAACCATCTCGACCTCGTCGACTTCGTCTGGAAGCACTGGCACAAGCACTAGCAGTGGGAGTTCCACCTCGTCTTCAGGAGCCTCTGGACTTTCTGGACTTGGCGGTCTGAGCTCGCTTTTCGGCGGCGGCGGCGGCGGCGGCAGCAGCAGCAGCAGCAGCAGCAGTGGTTCAAGCGATAGTTCGAGCAGCTTGGGGTCTTTCTTTTAGAGGAGATTGTCCGACCGAGAGCAAGCGGAAGAAGCGGTTCACGATAGTGGGTGCGGAGTCTGGGCTGGTTGGGCAACATTGTTCTCGAGGCGTTCTATTTGCTTTTTGCCCATATTCTCTGCCCATTCTTTGCTTGATCCACTTAGTGATTTTAGTCATATTTCATGGTAGCGGGTTCTGTCATGACTAGTGGCATACATGGATTGACTGGCTTCTGTAGATTAATTCTGAACCAATAGATTACACCATCAGACCTCTGCCTGGTCTCGGACGCTAATTGCTCGCTACGTTCTCATGAGAGCACGCCGACCTTAAGCGGGAAGTGGGTTCTACGCTGATACAGATGGGTTACGAGGGAAGATTGTGTAGACTTTTCGCAACTCCGACCAAGACAGATGTTGTAATCGACTTGTGAACCGAGCTTTATTGGTCGAATGCACTTTATGTAACAACTTGACCGGCTTTATATACCTCTCTGCCAAGACCAGAGCAATCATACAGTGCTGCTATATGACACGTCCAAGAAAACGCCATGAATGATGCAATATCCCCGAAGTTCAGGCCAGCACATTCGAAAGAAAGAAAGGAACAACATCAACCACTGGTTCAAGCGAAAGTCAAGTACGAAGTGCGGAGAATATATACGCTTGACCAAATCGATGGATAACAAACGGGGGAGGATTGAAAAACGCTTGGAGCTGAAACGGAAGCTGCAAACTGCAAGAATTCGGATTCAAGCGTTGAGTCTCAGAAGCTATCTACCCGTAGCGTGCGCTCAGGCTGGCGAATGCGTCGGGGCTATGGCGGCCACTCTGGAAGCCATTGATGTCCACACTTTGCTGGCTCATGTGACCACGAGGGAAGGGGCCGGCTGACGTCGCGGGTCGGTAGCCGGCCGGTAGCTGGGGTGCAGCCTGGGGCGTAGCCGTCGAGTAAGGAGCGGCTGGGGCGGCGGTGAAGAAGGGGTTCCGTGTCCCTGTAGCTTGAGGGTCGGTGGCGGCGGGCTGTTGGGGAGTATTGTAGTTGGTGGGTGGGTTCATCGGTACTTGCTGGGCCGGGTTGGCGGCTCCCAGAGAGTGAGATTGAGGATGTTCGGGGATAGTAGGGGGTTGGGGAGAGAGATTATACAACGCAAGAATACTGTTCTTGTCAACCCGCGCTGTGGGCTGAGCGTACAGATGCTGAGCTGGCATCTGGTAGCCGTACTGCGGCGGAGCGGGATAGCCCGCACTCTGAGGCGTGAGCGGTGCGTTCATCATATGGAAGGGGTTCATGGGATTTTGACCGGGTTGTTGCGTAGGCGGCATTTGCAGCTGAGGCTGCGCTTGCTGTGGCTGCTGCTGCTGTTGTTGAAAGGGCGATGGCTGGCCAAAAGGCGACGTTGCAGACATAATAGGCATTGTATTCGCATGTCGCGGAGGGCCAAAGGGACTGGAAGACACTTGGTTCTGCGCCTGCGTTGATGCTTGTTGTGACGTTACATGTCCGAAGAATGGGTTGTTTGGAACAGCATTGGGATTTGCGATAGGAGCGGTCAAGCTGGCCTGCGGCTGAGCTCCAGTTTGGAAGAAAGGGTTGTGGCTCCCTTCCAGTATCTGCGGAGATGCAACATATCCGCTCTGATTCAATGTAGAGGTTGCAGGAGGCGCAACACTCGCCTGCTGATACAGGGGCTGAGGAAGTGAGGATTGTCTGTACGGGTACCCCCCTGTGGAGTGAGGAAACAGAGGCTGGGTGACCTGCAGGCCTTGAAATGACTGCTCAAGGGGCTGCATAGAGGCCGACTGAGGTAATTGTTGCGGCGGCGGCGGCGGCGGCGGCTGTACTTGCTGTGGAGGTTGTGCGTCGAAGGGATTGAAATTGCTGCTGGGCTGCGCTGCTGGTCTCGAGTCTAGTTGATCAAAGGGGTTGCCAGACTTGGAAGAATCCACGGTAGGAGTAGAAGCCGAGGCGATCGGCCGCACCACAGATCCATTGCCCTCTCCCAACCTCACCAACGTCTCGATGGTTTTGTCAAGGTTTCCATTCAGTTCGCGGAGAGCAATAGCATTCCGGCGCTCATTGGTGAACCCCATGTCCCTCAGAGTCGCCAACTTCGTTTCGAGCGACGCATCCCCGGAGGCCTTTCTGATACCTACTGACGGCGAAGGTGAGTCAAACCTGTCCGATTGTGGAGAGGAGGCACTGCGGTTAGAGATGCGGTTGAGATTCGTCGCGGATGACGCCGAGCGAAGGCCGAAGCCAAACGGCCTGGCAGGTTTCGGGGGTAGAGGAGGCGGCGACCCCTCCGGAGATCTATCATATCCCGAATCATGACGACTGGGAGGCTTCGGTTTGTTTTCATCCAGAGACCGATGCTGGTATTTCTGTCGAATGAATCGCTCCATGCAAGAGTCCGCCTCATCAACGTCGGTCGGAACAGGTGGCTTCACGTTCTTGGGGTTAAGGATCTTGTTCATAATGTTGTTGCCGTGCGATTTCATATTCTAGCGCACACCCGGTTACGAATCAGTTTTGTCCATTTGAGTTGGCGGAGTGGCTGTCACTCACATCGACTTGATCGTCCGTCCATGTGTCCATACTCAGGGACTTGACCTTAGAGATATGCGTGCCAAGCTTTCGATGTATGGCGGCGCATCGCATACAAAGAAAGATTCCCAACTGTATTCGTTCCAGTCAGAATGCCAGGTCCTTCTGCCTTCTCCGCCCCTCGAATGCGTGCATAGAGCGGTGATAGTACGTACGTTCCAACTAGCCCAGCCTAAATTTCAAGGGATTCATTAGCAACAGAACTTATCGTTTCGTCTGCAAGTGTAAGAGACTCACCAGGGTTCATAGCCTCGCAGTCAGCGCAGCGGTCGTTGCCAGGAACGGACCGGATAAGGTCCTGCAGTGCCCGTTCATTGCGGAATTGCTGCCGCTTGCTAATGCCTCCAACCATGGTCGCGATTGCTCAAACGACGACGACCTCTGTTGCGCAGGTGGGGTGACGGGCTCCAAGTGTCTTGAGGCCAAGCAAAAAAAGAGTTTCAAAGCTGTAAGCTTGCAAGGGAGGGTGCCGTAGGGATAAAAGTCTCAGTGAATACACGAGCCGAGCTTCCGGAACGGGGAATTCGGGGCGATATCCTCAGGCGGCGAGATCAAGCATATTTACACAATCAGCGCTCGAAACATAAAGCTGGATAGAAGTCGTATCGACGGCGTATGCAGGAGAAGGTGAAAAATGACAGAGAAGGGTGGGGTGAGGTAATGTAGGATTGAGTGAGTAAAATGAGGGAGTGAGGCAGTGAGGGAGTGGGAGGGCAGCCGACGGAGAATAGTGGCCAGGGATGAATAATGAAGATGTGGGGAGGAAAGATGTTGGATGGTGGACTCGATTTCCCTCTCCCTCTTCCTCTCCTCTGCTTGTCTGTGTTCTGTAATCCTCACTAATTAAGTTACAGATTAGTTAGTTATTTCATTACCTGCTGACAGATTGGAAAGCATCTTGATTACAATCACTTCAGAATTAAAAGGCAACCGGAGCCCTCTGGTCGATTCTGCATCCGGAGCTGAAGACGGCGCTCGCAGATGCATCCATCCATGCTTTCTTTGTCAAGAATCAGGGGCAAGCAGCCCCCAACTAAACAATAGACCCAGTTTCATAGAGACCGGGCCATCACGGTTCTATTTTCAGCGCTATTGACATCCCCCAATTTCTGTCGCCAATAATTGATTTGCAGGCACTTAATTCACTTTATTACATGCCGCGGTCTGGGCGGAGGACAGACACTCCTTTTCGCTCAACAGACAATACTCCTAGGGACCAAGGCCCACGTTCTAAGATTGAGCTTACAATCAACAATCTGCACACGCGAAACCTAATCGAATGATCCCTGAAGGCCAATCCGCGCTTACGAAAGGCTGGTTGGTACATGGAAATAATGCTTTCTTCTTGAGCATGCGTGACCTGAACTACGGAAGGGGAGGGGGGAACCGTTCTCTCCCTCCTTCTCTCACTCCATCTCGCCCTACACACAAGAGATAAATCTTGCATCGGCATGTATGAGCAGCAAGTGACTCCATCCACCATCGCACTGGAAGCTTCCGAGGAAACCCAGCACAGTAACGGAGTCATAGCGAGAAATTTGCCCGGTGTTGAAAACGTCATTCTGGACCGCCAATATGACCTGCCATCCTATGGAGGATAGGAGTGTAGGTTGATTATGCGTTCGTGAGGTATGATAAGTGTGAAGAAGAAAGAAGAATTTTGATCTGCCGCACGGAAGAAGACTTTCTAAAGGATGCCCAACGGTGCGCCACGTGACACGTGTTTCGTAATAATGCCTGAGGCACCAGAGTACATGCCGTTATCATCATGAATTATCTATCACCCCAGTCCTTCGTCGTCCATCGACTCAACCCAGCGCGTGATACCTTGCTCTATCTCTAGCACTCTCAGAAGTGAGACAGCTGTCTGTATCCCCATCTCATACCCAATGATGCCCAGGCACTTCATAGCCCAGGAGTGTACAGGGCTTGACACGCCATCAACCACCGCAGCTAGATAGAGGGGCAGAAGTAGTGTGAATCCAGTTCCAGCTTTGACCCCCAATGATTCCAACGTCATGCTTTCCGCCTCATGAGCAAGGCCGAATTTCTACGGAACCGCGCAGCAAATATCCATGGCCAATTGCCTTGAAAGGGCACGGGCGTGGCAACAGCGACTTTTCAAGGCATGGGAAACTGAGCCGCGGTCATGTTCAAAGGTCAATTGTCGAGAATTGTCAGAATAAGGCTGTTGACGAGAATGCGCACCCATCGGTAGTTGTTCCAAGTGTTGCACATCCACATGGAAGGGTACACATGGTACCTTCCATTGTAATGGTTGACCGTATTCACCACTTCATCTTCAGAGGTCTTTGTGTGGCTCCGCAGATGTACGGTGAAGGACATCTCGGCCGAAAGTTCCCTAGTGAAATCCTCCAACTCAGAATCCAGCCTCACGGCGAGGGCAAGGACTTCAGCACTGTCAGTGACTGCTCCCTCGTTCACTTGGACTTGAAGCTCACATAGACCGGCAGCGATCTCTATCAACCGGTCCGCGCAATATGTCTGCGCAGTTGAGTCTGCCCGGCGCGGTTTCCTGATAAGTGCAGGAGGCAGTCGTGTTCGTTTTTGTAAGCAGCCAATGAGCTATGATGCTGTTAGAATTTTCTATCACTTGGCCAGCTCCGAACCTGTCCAATGGCTAACCACTTCATTTCTCAGAACCTGGAACACTTGTTGACCTGTTTCGCGATGGAGCTGTTCTTCACCGCGAAGTTCGAGGAGGGCCGCAATGCCCCGCGAATGCTCATACCACGACAGCAAGGATTCCTCCTTGTCGCAGCAGATAATCTGGTGAAACAAATCAGTTGCCTTGTTTTCAAGGTCACGAGTCGAAACTCACTTCAAACAAAGAGAGGCAAGCAACGGCGGTGAGCGTGGTGTCCGCTTTGACTGCTATTGGATCACGTAGGGCAGCATTCGTTAAGTGTAAGGCAGTAGTAGTATACTCGCATCTCGAGGCATTTCGAAAAGACTGCGATTTATGAAGATTTGCCAAATTTGCCAGACCCACCGACGCGATCCCCGTCATCATGGCTCTCTCGCCAATGGATAAAACATGCGTCTGGGATTGTGCTACGAGGCATGAAACATCGAGCCATGGGTACGACTTGAGAAAGAGACAGGTGGCTTGGAGGATATGGTCCAGCGTAAAGTTGAAGACAGGAATTGAGAATGTCAAGTGCTGAAGGCGACATACTTGAGCGGCTGCTTGTCTTGACCTGACAACTATCCCTGGCGGGGCCGAGTCATCTAAATCCAGCCTGTTCAGGGCCTTCACTTTCTGCACAACGGCATCGCTCTCGTCTTTGAACCATAGGGAAAGTTGATCTGGTAGCCGGAGCAAGTGCGCCGAGCTTTAGTACAACGTACACAAATGGGTCGTGTTTCATCACACTGAGCTCGTTGATCAGCGTTGTCGGTCGTGGGGGCCGAGATTGATTTCCAGGGACCACAACGGCCTTTCAGCCTTGACCGCAAGACACACATTGACCTTTCTCGCGCGACAGGTATCACAGCCTCCGCTCGGTTTACCACGATATACCATGGCGAGTCGGGAAATCCGAGAAGCTAATGGTGATAAAATGGTAAGGCTTGGGCTGCAGTATAGCGGCTGGCCCAGGAGCTAGATCGTGCATAACTCTGAGATTTTCAGATATTTGCCATGACCTACTTAGGGACCATTTCATGGAAAGAAAGTAAAGTCGGCGGCAGTTCTCCATTATCAACCCATCGCACACAGTGCTGACTTGGACAGCCAAAGTCGGATAAGGTAAGAGACACGCGAGGGAATGAGTGTCAAGTGGAGTTTGGGTGGAGAGACTCGAGAGGCTTCGCTCGCAGAATTGCGGCTGGGTCAAGCCTCGGGCTAACCGCTTCCGGTATGCATGGCGAGCTCGGCCCCGTTGTCCGTCCTCTTCATTGGTCGAGTCTATCTCTTTCAAACAATTTCGCCCTGGAAGGATGCAGCATTCTTCATTATTTTGTATTGAGGAGTGAGTCTCGTTAAGGGTGGTAAAGATTGCCCCGTGATCCTGCCGGAGACTGGTAATGATAAAATGTCTACACAGCCCCGTGGTTCTAAGGCTAAACCTCGCGATGGAGACTGCAAAAAGCCCTCGTCGAGAGGGTTAAATAGCAGCAATCCTTCCCTTTAGTCGACCATTAGCATCAAGCTTGTCACTCTCGATTGAAGCATACCTTCCGGGCATCAAATTATTCTAACATCGTTGCAATCATGGCTGTCGACTACCGCCATGGGATCTCCATCCTCGAATTGATCGTCTACATTCCCACCTTGTTCACAGCCCTATGGATGGCCTTTCGCCACGGATTCACACGGAGCTCAGGTTGGATCTTCTTCGTGATATTCTCCTTGGCTCGGATCATTGGCTCCTGCTGCTACTTGGCGACTATCAATGATCCTACGTCAATCGACCTCTATGTGGCATGGGCAGTTTGCACTTCCATCGGAATCTCACCTTTAACCTGGGGCTGCATTGGTCTATTATCCCGAGCGTATGCCCTCTGTTTATCTCCCGTACCGTATTCATAAGGGGCATTGTTGCTAATATACTCCTCTTCCTATAGTAACGACTCGATCCAACGCAAGTCCGGCCACGCCCTGCATCCCTTACTGTTCAAAGTGACCGGGCTGGTCACCATCGTAGGCATGATCCTCGGCATTGTGGGCCAAACCACAAGCACAAACCCGACGGAGGGCCTCTACAGCTCCAAGACCAAGGCTGGCTTGATTCTCTACATCATTGCCTGGGTCGGCCTCTGCATCCTGCTGCTCTTGATCTCCCTCCGTTATCAGCGCATCGAGGAAGGGGAGCACCGCTTACTCTTGGCCGTGAGCATCTCGATCCCACTACTCTTCGTGCGAATTCTCTACTCCCTGCTGTCTACTTTCACTCGGAAGGCGGAGTTCAGCTCTATCTCTGGGAACGTGAGCATCCAGCTGTGCATGTCGGTTCTGGAGGAGCTGGTGATCGTCTACGTGTGCCTGGGAATCGGGCTCACGTTAACTGTCCGGCCCGCGTTCGAGCCGTTCCAGGCAAACATCCAGGATGCGTCGACCCTCGAGTCACAGCCGGATATGTCGAGCATGCAGTATGAGAGCGGGAAGCCGGGGGCCCGGTACAAGAAGCGACGCGGTGGACCTATCACGCAGCTCGTGGGGCTTGCAATGGATGAAATCAATTACCGACGCCAAAAATGAACCTTAGAATGCCGGATTTTTTGGATACTACTATGCTACTAGTGTCGTACTGCATGCGAGGCACGGTACTTTATGGTCAGGGCTGTATTTCTTCTTATTTCTTCTCTCTTTTGCGGGCGTTTATTGTTCTTGTCTGGGATTGGGATACCCGCAAGGTTATTATATATGTGACCAAATCTGCATACAGAGACTACTAGTGCGTTTAGTCATCAAGTGACTATCACAACCATTTATTCCTTCGTCTCCGACTCGATCTGTGACACAGCCACTCAGGCGAGCTATCAGTAGCACTACAATGAGTTTGTTAGGATTGTAAATGCATCACCTTCTGTCAGGGTCCAGTCTTGCTTCTAGGATGCCTAAAACCCGTGCGGACAAACACTTTACCCGTTGCGAGCTAGCGTACGAATCACATGACCACATTAAGCGAAGCATTTAATCTCATGTGATTGTGTCCCTCTGAGTTTTTTCCCCTCTCCCATTCGTTTTTCTCCCATCAACACTTCCCCTCTACAAAGAGAGGCATTCACTTCTTCGGCCATGATTATACACTCCGTATTATCGAAGGGCTTAACTCACCCCCTGTTTGCAAAATGATGGCACCTGGGGCTCGCTTGCGCCTCCGTAGAAAAACATACATCACGAACATTCAAACCCACACAGTGCGCGTCTAGCCTTTTCAATGGCAAAGAGGCATACTTTTTTTTTTAGTTCGTTCAGTGGAAGATCAAAACCAAACAGTTTTTAGCAGAGCTGCGTCTACTCCACCCTGGTGTTCGCTTTGATCGAACGGCAGGACTATTTTTACGACGGACATTCTGAATTGTAAAAACACTCCTTGTTGAATTTGTACGGTGGGATGCCAGATACTAGTGCCAACAGGAGATGCGCTGGGCGGATTGAGCTTGGCACCTAGCGATGCTGCGTGATACTGTCGAATAGATGCTGCCTTGCGAATAAGGTCCGGCTGCGATGCTCAAGTCGAGCAAATGATGAAGACCGACGACACCCTGCTGGTAAGTATGAAAGCAACGCATTGGAATTGAAAAGTAATCCCTCGGCTTCTGGCGCGGCAGACTTGCGATGGAATTCTATTTCGATATCGCCATAATCTCACCATCAAGCGTGCGGACATCAGCAGCCAGTGAATAAGTTATGTTCATGGGTCACATGAATTGTACCTGTGCAGTCATGCAGTGATTTTCCTGTTGACTTTGAAGCACATCTTCCTCGGCTCTCTACGGGTTGCCCAGCAATTCTTGTGTATGTATCGAGGATGCCAAATTTGAGACGACGGCTGGAAATCGGGAGCCGTTGAGGTTCCGATGAGTAATGGGCGACAAGTCTGGAGTTCTGGACAGGCACGATTTGGTAGGTAAGACAGAGGAAGAGGAGAGAGAGAAAGGTGGAGCCGAGAACGAGCAAAAGAACCAAAGAGAACTCGCAGGTTAATAATCGGAACGCACCGGACCCGCTTCGGTATTGTTGATTGGATTTAATCGCATGGGGATTGTCGCATCGTATCTATCACTCCCCGAGTCTCCATCCGCCTACGCGAGAGACAAGACAAGGGTTAGACTAACCCCTCTCGAAGCTGACTTGTCCACGTATTGCATTAGAAGGGCAATTTTCTGAGCAGCCAGAACGATCCAGGGCATAAGACCTATACCCAGAGATGAGAAGGTTCCAGGGCAGGCAAAAAATGCCCCGGGAAGTCCCATGGATTGAGCCCCTGGGACTTGCCACGATCCGTAATCTCGAACAGCCGCGGCAATTAGTCCATGCGGTAGTCTTACGGCAAAAGTCAAAAGTTCTTCTAGAAGAAGCTGCAGGAAATGCGGAGAGACGGAATAGTTAACTAATAGTTAGACAGGCACTTGCTGACTCAAAAGATTGGGCTAGAGCCATCTTCCCATTCGCCCTTGTCATTGGTGCTTCCGGGGACTGTTGGAGGCGTCGCGAGCAAAACCGATGGAAGTGATTCGCAGCCTAGTGAACTTATTAGTATCCCTGTCTTCGTCCTTCTCCTCTTCCTCCTCGTGATTCCTTGTCATCTCTTCTCCCTTGCTCTCTCCTCTTTCCCTCGTCTTTTCGTCTCACCTCCCAGAGTACTGTGTGTACCCTCCTGTCCTACCTCTCCGAGCAAAATATCCCTTCATCCCATACCTTTCTCTCACACAATGGCCTCCGCTGCTCGTTCGGCCTCTCGGGCCTTCCTTCGCTCGACCCCTGCCACCTCGGCTTTCAGACCCGCTGCGCGCAGTGCTCGTTATGCTCTTCCTTCGCAGGGCTTCCGCACTGCTTCGCGCCGGGGATACGCTTCTGAGGCTGGCTCCAGCAAGTCCTCCAACGGCCTCCTATGGGCTGGTCTTGCTGCTGCTGGTGCTGCCGGCGCTTTCTTCCTTTTCCAGGGCGGTGATTCTTCCGTGAGCTCCAAGACCTTCGTTCCCACCCAGGCCGACTACCAAAAGGTGTACGATGCGATTGCCAGGAAGCTGGTGGACGAGACCGACTATGACGACGGCAGTTACGGCCCCGTAAGTTGCCAAGACCTATCGAGAATGAGCTTTGCTTGACATGACACTAACGCCGGAACCGATGATAGGTCCTTGTTCGCCTGGCCTGGCACGCAAGTGGCACCTATGACAAGGAGACTGGCACCGGCGGTAGCAACGGTGCTACCATGCGGTTCGCTCCCGAGTCTGACCACGGTGCCAACGCTGGTTTGAAGCACGCCAGAGACTTCCTCGAGCCCATCAAGCAGCAGTTCCCCTGGATCACCTACTCCGATTTGTGGACCCTGGCCGGCTCTGCCGCTATCCAGGAGTGCGGTGGCCCTGCCATCCCTTGGCGCCCTGGCCGTCAGGACAGGGATGTCGCCGCCTGCACCCCCGATGGCCGTCTTCCCGATGCCTCCAAGGACCAGAGACACATCCGTGACATCTTCTACCGCATGGGCTTCAACGACCAGGAGATTGTGGCTCTGATTGGTGCCCATGCCCTGGGTCGCGCTCACACTGACCGCTCCGGTTTCGACGGCCCCTGGGATTTCAGCCCTACCGTTTTCACCAACGACTTCTTCAAGCTCCTGCTTGACGAGAAGTGGCAGCAGAAGAAGTGGAACGGCCCCGTTCAGTTCACCGACAAGACCACCAAGACCCTGATGATGCTCCCCACTGACCTTGCCCTGATCAAGGACAAGGAGTTCCGCAAGCACGTCGAGCGCTACGCCAAGGACAACGATGTCTTCTTCAAGGAGTTCACTGACGTGTACGTCAAGCTTCTCGAGCTTGGTGTTCCCTTCACCAGCAAGGCCGAGGACCGCTACGTCTTCAAGTCCCCCGAGGCATAAATTATACGCCGAATGTGTGAATAGTTCTTGTTCTTGTTATTTTGGGGATCTTTTATATTCGCGGGGCATTGCGTTTTTTAACATTGTTCGACATTTTGATATCCGATCTATGTTTTCACGGTTCGCTCTTGGACGGCCGTAGCCTCTCTGTGTGGCATTTTTTTCCAGCTTGATTGTCATAGATGGCATTGAATGATGGGTTCTAGGTAGAAGACTTCTAGAGCATCAATACTAGACCTATCCGCTAGAGGAACTGGCTTCAACAGGGCTTGTTTTCAAAATTGAAAGAAGCTTACCTATAAGAGAACAATGTGTAGTGTATAATGAGTTATTGTCGCCGCTGAATCTTTAGAGTGGAGTCAAATCTGAAGAGCATGGTTCTCCATGACAGGATGTTCAGGAGTCATCTATTGACTTGTCGCGGGGAAGCCGGCGGCGGCGGTAGGGCGGCCGACCTGGCAGATGCGGAACGGCCAAGACACCCGTTCGCCGCATTCTTACCTTTTTTTCCCCCATTTCTTTGCGAGCGCGGGTGGCATTCGAAACACCCATGGTGCTAAGAGTACAATGATCCGAACTCCAACTTGCAACCTGCTCACATAAGAAGAAACTTGAGTTTTCTTTTAAAGGGCAACCAGACCGAAGCTGTCCGCAAGACAACCGCGCCGCCATCTTCCCTGAGCAGACCAAGGATAAGAGAAAGAGAGAAAAGGAAGGGCCGTCAGAATGACTCTCATCACTTCTTTACCACTAGATTACTACGAGATCCTTAGTGTCCGCTTCACATCTGCACCTATTTCGAAGCAAGAACTCAAGAGCGCATATCACCGCGCCCTGCTCAAACACCACCCAGACAAGGCCGCCGCCAGCGCAGGCGCTGCCGCTCAGGACGCGCCTGCGAGTCTTCTCGCCTCGGATACACATGGCTCCCAACCCGCAAGGGCCTACACGATAGACGAAATCACTGCTGCATACAAGGTTCTCTCCGATCCGTCTTTACGCGCGGAGTATGATCGAACCCTGCGACTTGATCGCGCGCGGGCCGCGGGGCTGGAGAAGGCTCGCGGCAATGGAGTTCTGTTTCATACGGGGTTGGAGGTGGTGGATCTGGAAGACTTGAGCTGCGAAGAGGGTGAGGATGGTGAAGATTTCTGGTACAGAGGGTGTCGTTGTGGGGATGAGAGAGGGTTTCTGCTGACAGAACGGGACTTGGAGAAAGAGGCGGAGAATGGGGAAATTGTGGTTGGGTGTCGGGGGTGTAGCTTGTGGATGAAAGTTCTGTTTGCGGTGGAAGATGACCATGATGCCGAGCAGGAGCGAGGGGCCTGAGGTGGTACTCGTGGACAAGTTTGTGTGAGGGTCTGAAAATACTCTCATCCTAGTCCTCCTGTCCCAAAAGGGTGGGTTATCATGCGCACGATTGCCTGATCCAGCAAGACAAACGCGGTGGATCAGTCTCTTTGGGGGAACATGCCCCAGGCTCTTCGAGATCCGAGTCCGATACGGTTGTGGAACATGGTCCGCATCGCAGGCGTGGGATCTGTGGCCATAGAGCTGAGGCACTTGAATTGCGAGGTGGTGTTGATATGCTCATGCTTGCTCTCTCGAGCACTTGGGTGCAATCATGTCATTTTGTTGACATGGAGAGGATCATCAGATTATGGGTGCGGAATGAAGTCCAGAGCTCACAGGTTCAGCGCTTTGCCATGAGCAGAAGAAGCCTAGTGCGGTCAGAGTGTGCTGTGTCGTCACTTGACGAGCTGGGAGAAAAGCCTCGCCATCAATGGATCCAGAAGAGCTTAGCAGGTTGACTATAGAATGACCACGATAATGTTCAATACTGTAACAAAAAAATGGATCAAGTAGAGGTACCGTCGCAGCCGCGAGGGGAGTGGGTTGACTCGGAGTTGATGACATGATATAACAGATTAGTCCGGAGCGGGGAGGAGGGAACTCCACCACCTGCCCTGCCCGGTCAACAACCATTCTTTCTCTTCTCCTCATCCCAAACCCCTCATTCATCCATCTTTAACCTCCTCGAACCACCCACCCGTCACGATGTCAAAACTCGTGCAAATCACATCCAAGGAGCAATTCAGCTCTCTGCTGAGCTCCTCCACCTTTGTCGTAGCCGACTGTGAGCCTGTCTTCCCAGCCCCAGCTGCCCCGCCTTCCCCTCCTTCGCTTGCCCTTTACCTGTCTCATACCTACATCGGTCGCACGAACCCCAGTTAACTTGCCCTTTCGCTCAAAGTCTACGCCGACTGGTGTGGACCATGCAAGGCCATCGCACCCGCGTACGAGCAGCTAGCCTTGCAGCTGTCCCGCAAGGACCGTATCACTTTCACCAAGATCAACGTCGACCATCAGCAAGATATTGCCAAGGCATATGGCGTCACGGCGTATGGCCCTTGTTCCTGTTACTTCTCCTCACCGGGGGGCCCAAAGCTAATGAGAATTACTGCCATAGGATGCCCACCTTCATTGTCTTCGAACGCGGCCGCCCTACCTCCACCGTCCGCGGCGCAGATCCAAAGAAGCTCAACGACGTTGTCCGTAAACTCGCTGCGGAGGCCAACAAGGCCGAGCCTTCCTCCGCCGAAGGATCGGGCAGCAGCAGCAGCAGCGGGGGATACTGGATCGGAGGTGCAGTGCCGAAGGGCTATAGTGACATCACAGACCAAGCCGACCCGAAAGGACTGGAGCTGTTGAACCGAGCCAGCGAGTTCGGTACGGCCAGGACGCTCTTCGATGGTCCGAAGCCCTCCGCTTTGAACAGCAAGGGCAAGCAGGCGGGAAGCCCGGACTGGGTGGAGAGTGACACCGATGAGCAGCTGATGCTGTTCGTGCCCTTTCAGTCAACTGTCAAGGTGCACTCGCTACAGATCACATCCTTCCCACCTACTGACGACGATGAACGCGACGAGGACGAACGCCCGATGCGCCCCAAGACGATCAAGCTGTATACGAATCGCTCACATGTATTGGGCTTCGACGAGGCGGATGATATCGACCCGGTACAGGCAATCGAGATCCAGCCACAGAGCTGGGACTCCAAAACCGGAACCGCTGAGGTGGATCTGCGATTCGTCAAGTTCCAGAATGTGACCTCGTTGGTGATTTTCTTTGTGGATGGCGAAGGGGATAGTGAGAAGTTGCGCGTGGACAGGATCCGCATCTTCGGCGAAGCCGGTGAGAAGAGGGAGATGGGCAAGTTGGAGAAAATCGGCGACGAGCCTGGAGAGTAAGCAGCGATGCAGGCGAGGTGTGGTGTACCAATGTACTTTGCACTAGGCATGTTCTGAGGAGTTGGGCGCAGTGTTTACGCTGGCGGCTTTAGTGAGTGCATGCAGATAGAGCTTGCATGAAGTCAGAAGACGGCAACATCACACCATATCTCCAAGTAGAGATGGCAGCCGTATGAAATGCTTATGCGTCACTGTTCACATGGGAGCAGCATACACCGCAGCACTAGACTTAAATCCATAGGAATGTACAGATTTGTGTGGTCTGGTCAGGACGTTATCGCCCACCGATTTACATACTGACTACGAGTCTTTTGCACGCAAGACCCAATCGATCTACAACAACTTCCCTCATAGATGTAGCTTCCCAGCCCTGCACGAAGCACGGTATAGAAGCAAAATCATGTGATGAGAAATAGGTAATGTCCGATCCCAAACCAAATGGTCTCATCCTTGTGAAAATTCAGAAAGACCAATAAAGTAGAACCGGTGTGCAATTCCGTTCGTCTGTGACGCAACTGACACCTGGGTAAAAACATCACGGTGAAGGATGATGTCCAGGCAACACGGGTGAATGTAATAGTTGCGTCGCCGCACGAAGAAAGAAAAGAAAAAAAGAAAAAAGTGGTGGGGAATCGGAGGCCCAAGACTTTATACTGTCAGGGTGGAGACGGATCGGACAATCGGTTAATCCGGAGCAGAGGCTCGCTTAAGCCAGTTTGGTTGGACTCAATTTATGTAAGCGATCAAGCACGGTGTTTGCAGGAGTTTGCTTTGCTTTGCTTTGGGCAGGGAGGGCGGTGAGAGCGAGGAAACGCCGTTGGCTCCTTTTTTTGGGCTGGTCGTTTTTTTCTTCTTCTCTTCTTTCCCACAATCATATTATTATGGGCTGATGATGAGACAATTTGGATGTATAAACATATGATAGGAAGAGACTGACTCCCCACGATCAAGGGGAGCTTGATCTTAACTACCATCCACTGAGGCCTACTTTCTCTCTCTTTTTCTTTTCTCTCTTTCATTATGTTCTTGGCTATTGTATCTTTTGTTGCGGCGGCACAGCTTACTCGCCTTTCTCATGCTTATGTTCCACCTGGCAGTCTTTCCGTATCCCCGGCTTTGCTCACTTTTCCCGGCCCTCGACGGATCTTCAGACTGATTTTTGGGGTCTATATTTGCTTCTTGCTGTCTTGTTTGACTTTTCTCATCTTTTTGTTTCTTTTTGCGAGTGGCGTCGGCGCTGCTGGCCCTAGCTTTCCATATGGTGCAGGCACCTTGATTGCGCCCCCCACCCCCAATCCTCTGCCACCCATTTCACGAAGGATCTCTGAAGGATGCTTATATTGACTGAAGAAAAAGGGCCTCTTGCAAGGCTCGCTTCCTTCGCCGATTCCGGCCCCGCAGCCCCTATCGCCCCTTCTGTGGTCAGACAATTGGGGTTTGGGCGGTTCACTATGGATCAACTTATCTCAGTCAGAACGAATGTCGATCTTGGACTGATGTTGTAGAGACTGGCGGCCCATGCAATGATCATGGGGGCGAAGGAAGAAGGGTCGCCGGGACTTGATGCTTCTCGAGGAAAGTCGAGGCCCGTAGTAAGGTCCAGAATTATTGTCGTCGTAATCAGTAAGACCTGAAGGCAGTGATTCCTCCGCCCGCGTCGATTATCATGGGCTGGGCTGGCTGTGCAATTGGGGTTGCAAACCTGCAGAGTGCAGAAAGACAACGCACTAGTCAGTCAGACCAGTCAGCCCTGCAGTAGTCTCTAATCGTACATCACTGCAGCTTGCGATTTGCCATTCTCTCTCCATCTGCAAGATTTTTGTGGGTTGCATTGCAACTATCAGCAATCATCGGGCTTTTCTGTCAGGCGAATATTTCTGCTCGCTTTGCTTGCCTCGCCTCGCTTGCTTGCTCGCCTGTCTGCTCGCCTGCCTGGCTGCTTGCTTTCTGACTTGGCCCCTCGCGTCGAAGCTCATGCCCACCGATCACTTCGCCCGACGCTGCCCTTTCCAGCTTGCCCGGAAGACAAACAAAAATAAAACAAGACGTACGTACGTTTGAGGCTTGAGGATGATCCATGGTTCGATATCGCTGCAGCCTCGAAGGTCCTTGCAGGTGGAAGAGAGGGGGGAGGGAAAAGTTGGCAGGTGCAATCAGAGGATTCCGCATTGTACTTGGTGATCGGTCCGGTCCAGCTTCCCGTGTGATCAACAAACCCGTGGTTGAGCTATTGTTCTTTCGTCTTCGCCTAACTAATGCTAGGTAGATACGCGACAAAGGACAAATCTGGCGTGTGCATTGTTCATTTTGGGACTCGGGACTTGCCCAGTGCTTTTTTGGTATCGTATTGCGCTGGGGACATTGGAAAACCGGACCGCGCAAAAGTCCACCGCAATCCATGGAACCGCACTCGTCCTCCGCTCCCATCTCGAGTTCTTATCTGATACTAGTCCACCATCATGCCATTTTTGCCCCGGCTCCATGAGTCGGAAGGTAAGACAAAGGCCATCATCACTTTGAGGATGTGGGGAGTTTCTGATTTGTCCTTTTCTCACTTCCTCGGGGGATTCTTGTTTTTTTTTTTTTTTTTTACACAACAACCCCACCGAGAGACAGCTATTGTCTGGCCGGGCGCACGCATTGCGCATTGTGCAGATAGCAATCCAGGTCCCCCTCCCCTCGTCTGTCGGGGAGGCAGATACCCGGAAGGGGCGCTGGCGTCGATCCTCTGGAGGACCAGCCCTCGGCCCTGCGCACCCTCCCCTCCCCTCCGATCGCCAAACGCGGGTTACAGATCTGTTGCCCGTCTACGGCATGAAATCATTCTCCGATCCTCTTCAATCCACGGTTCCATAACCTGGACGTCGTGTTGTTTGCATCTTTGCGCAGGGATGTTCACCGTAGGATAATGCATGGCTGGAATCATACCGCACACACACCAGTGTAGCACCTTGCGACAGGCGAACAAGGTTTGCTTCCTCGTGTGGAGTAAGCGCGTGCTCTCGCAAATGCGGCGGTTGCTATTTCAATTAATTAGAGTTCATTCTGAATACTTCTGGGGGGCAAATCCCACTATCAGACCGGAGAGTTGGCAACTTGGCAGCGACCCGAATTTTGAAACCTCCCCCATTTCGAGGATGAATGACTCTTTTTGTTCCGTCTAAATTTGATCGTCCGCATGTCGGACGGTAGGTTGGAGTAACGAATGCCTGCGAGCTCCCTCTATCTCTTCAGGCAATCAGAACGTTCCCTGCCTTTTTGAGGACTGCGGGATCTTCATTATCCCTGCCGAACGAACGATGAATGACGTGCCGGATGAAGTGGCTGAAGACGGTGTGCTCGTATGATAAGGATGGGGCTCAAGCCACACAAAACGCCCGCATCCACACTGGAGCTCGCGACGCAGCTGGTATCGTTTCATGGACAATCCATAAATGTAAACTCAAATCAACCAGCTCCCTAACAAAAAGAGTCAGACATGTTTAGAAATGAGAGCATCGCTCTGGCACAGTGGCTGGTTCACATACCTTACACCATTCCACGTTTTCATAAGGTTTTAAGCATGACTCTTGAGCCGTGTAAATGGTAGGTTTGATTGAAGCCGAGGATCCGACCCATGCGGAGGATTTTGGTTCGGCACTATCGTCTTGTGCTTAACCTTCACGATGATAGGCTTTCACACTTGTTCCGCCCGCACGAAGAAGGAACTCGGATAGCTTCCGCGGTAAGTCCCCGATGTTTTCTCCAATGACGCCAGATTCCCAAATTCTCTCACAATGGGGAGAGTAAAAAAAAAAAAGGGAAAAAAAGAGAAAAGGTCCACAAAATTGGAGGCACTGCGGGAAGAGGGCCTTGGTGCTGATAGTCAACCAAGATCGCGCGGATGGATCCCACGTTATCTCGTTTCCCCCGGTGAAATCCCTCACTGCGTGGGCCGCCGCCACAACTCCTCTACAAGCCGCACTGGGCTAGGTCGAGGACAGCGGACCAATACCCTCGTTGGTGCGGAATGTGTGCCATTGAGACAGACCGATAGTGGCACAATTAAGCGGCTTCTTTTGAGTTCGGTGGTATTGGTTAGGGGTTGTTTAGTGGCCTGGGGAGCCACTTCACGGGCTGCACGCTCACGCTCACGCTCACCGTCAATCATATACTGCCCCGTCATTGACACTGGATGGCCGACATGTGCACGTGCTGCGCCAGTGGCTTGTTGGCCCAGATTTTCAGCTCATGCGACCGGCCGCTCTAGTCCATGATCTTCCCTGCAAGCACCCAGGAACAGAAGTCAAACCTGCCTCTTTGAGTCTGGAGTTACCCGAGCTTGGAAGAGGCGTTCCAGAGTATGTGTGCCGTTCTCTCTTCTCGCTTCAGATGTTCGGAAGATTGCTGCCCGGACCCTAAAACGTGCGCAGTTGAAGCTTATAGCTTGAATTGGGAGCATTTATCATCTCTGCTGTCAAGAGGTGCCGCCACTTGAGCGCGAAATCGCGAAAGCTTCGCAAGTTATTGCCAGAGCGATGTGCTCATGGCTTGACGATTGTGCGGTATATGCCAGTGTCCTGACCGACGGCACAGAAGAATGACCAAAAGAAGGATAAGTAAAAGAATTGCAGGCTTGGTAAGTGGCAGCAATCGCTGGATACAGACAAATGCTACTCCAATTCCATGCTCGAGTGATTGGATGAACACGGTGTCCCGGTATCTAGCTTGTGCAGTGTCCCCGCAAAAGATGCGGTATTAGCTTGAAGCCCTATGCCGGCAGTCGGAACTTAGTACCTCTACCCACTTACCGAGCTAGGAAGCTGGTTGGCAGCCAACAAAGTACGAAGGATGCAATTCTCATTACTCAACCCACGGTGGAAATTCTTGCGTACTGCCTTGGAAGTTGTTCTGTAGCTTTGCTAGACAAGCCACAGTCTCCATCGCAACCTCGTTGAGGATACTGTGTTGCATAAGGAGCTTCAGCCACAGAGCTAAAATGTGGGTTCCTCGGGCCCCCGGGGACGAGGGAGAGGAGGACCCAGGGTCCGGCGGTATTGGTGCTAATTAGTTGTGCATGATAGGGAAAGGCTCCATGAAGAACACCATACAACACGTTCATCCGGCCTACTATGCGGGAATCACTCTTGCAAAATGCAAATCAGAGGTGGCGTCGGAAGTTTGCCGGCGGCCCCCGTGTCCACTCAGGATGAAATGGTCAGAATATGGATCCGTCTCCATCGAAGTCTTCCAAGGCGAATCAATTGTGGCCCGTCTCGAGTCGAGGAGTTAGAAGGTTCGAAGAATACTGCTTGAGCTCTTCGGTCACGTTAGAGCCGTTCTAGTGGCCGCGACTAGGTAGGAGATAAATCACGTTAGCTGGAGTTCTATCCTGACTATCATGGCCCTTGTCCTTATAGCATAATATTCATCCTCGTGGGTGTGTCCCTGACAGGTTTCAGGATGAGCTTACTTGTATCGGAGACGCCAACAGCGGCCCCCCTTTGAGGTAGGCTGCTCTTTGAGGGCCTAGAGGCATGGAGATATTGACAAAGATGGCATAGTAGGGATTGCTCTTTGAACACAATGAAATGCACAATAGTACTCATACCAATTACGTTGCTCGGAGATGCTTACCCTCTTGAATGCTGAGCAGAAAGCTTTCCTGACTAAGACGGAAGCCGAGACACGCCCCAGTTCAGACGGAACAGTGATTGGCGGCAGGCAGACGCATTAGTCTGTTTCAGATCTGGCTTGTCCGGCAAGGTACGCGTGCGGCGCGACAGGCCGACAGAAAGCGACAGTAGCAGTTTAGTTCCATGTCCGTATACTCCGTAGGCCCGGGATTTCCGGCCAGATTCCTCAAGTAGCCTAGTACTAGCTGCGTACGAGTAGACTAGAAGATTTGGAAAAGTCTCTCGGCTTGACTCATGTCTCCAGAGCGGATTGTTAGTGTGCGATCTGCTGATTCCCGACTCTAAGGCTTCCTTAGCCCTCTTCTGTCGGTGTCCCGCACCCTATGCATGTGTGTATCTCGAGGTATGTATTTGTGGAACCAACCCACTTGAGCAGAGGGACCATCTGCCAGGGAAGCCCCCAATCGAATCAGAGGATACTTTTGGGTCTGGGTAATGTTACCGTTTGCCAGTTTTCTATCTCACTGCCTGACTTTGCCTCCTCCGTACCTCAGTCTAGTATGAACCCTCAACACTAAATGCTGCACTATTGGTTCATCTGAACTTAATCAGAGAATGTGCAGTGTCGATGCGATCTCACAGACTTCCTGGAGAGGCAAGGCTCTTCATTTGGGCAGAATTCTCCAAGCTGGCTTATAGGAATTGGTAATTGCAGATATGCATTGCAACTTGAAATATATAATGATCATCTGTCTGTTTAGCGGCGGCGATGCACCGTCGGTGGTAATCAGAAACCCCTTGAGGTTCTGCCAAACTTTGTTATAGTTTGTTCTAGTAAAGATCCGTTTGCCTCTCATTTCCTTCAGCGCGAACCCGCTTGGTAGGCGTTGCCTGATGTTCTCGCATAGTCGTAGCCACAGCACTGAGCAATAATAGGATCCGCAATTTGTTCATGTTTTCTTTTCTGAGGGACTGGCATCCCGATACCATCGCCGGCGACAATCCGCAGGCAAAACCATAGGGAGTAGTCAATTAATTGAGGCAATTGCTTTCTAATAGCTTATCAACAGGGCTATCTCTAAGCCTATTGGTTATCGTCGGGATGGAGCGACAATCGAGCGGGGTGAGGTTCCGGTACCCTGTTAGTATTGTCTGTTTGTTGTACGGAGTACTGTTGTGCCGGTTATCCCCTCACAAAATCCCCCTCTGCTGTTCATTCGGGTAAACGATATGGCATCCGCCAGGGTGGCCGATAACCGTTGCCTCCCTTCCGGTTTCCGAAAGACCCATCGCGCCGGATGGCAAAATACCAAGTCAATTCAAAGCTCTTTTGATCATACTGCTCGGATAACTACTGGCTTCGACACGCTTGACGGCGAGATCAAGTGAAAGTGGCCAGTTCGACCGAATTCCGGCCGGAAACGCACCACCGAGGTACTGACGGTATACTGGACTGTATGCACAGTCGTAGATGTGTCCCAGTGCCGGATTACTGTCCTGTGATTCGCCTACAAGGCAATGCGGCCTAGATAGTACCTTACACAGTACAAGAGCACCACTTGGTAAATTGGCAAGAGGTCACGGTGGGACACTCACTTGACATGAATTCTGGCGTTTTCCTCACATGCCCGCACGGTCGCTTATTTGGGGACCTGAGTGGCGCCGCTTGCTTGGGACTGGGTCCCTACCGCCCCGGCTGTCATCCCACGGAGAACCCACCGCGGACGTCGCAGAATGAGTCGATCACAGGTAAGTCCTGAGTAAGAAAGAAATCTAACTAGAAAAAGGCATAACAAACACCAGCCCTGTGGATGACGTTGACATCAGGTTGCCATTTCGGCTATACTCATGACTATGGTAACAGGCTACACACAGAGTGAGCGAATCATCCCTCATTTCGGTCCCAGACCGAAAGAAGAAGTAGAAGAAGTAATTGGATTGAAGCGAGACAGCGGTCGGGTTTCTTTTCCATTTAGCTCGCACTCCTCTCATTTGATGTGGAGACAGCGTACGGAATGCGGATGTAACTGGGTCTTTCACGCACCGGTAGACGGAGCAAGGTAAAGTATTAACTACTGGCGACCTCGAGAAGGAGCGAGCAGCAGTCGCAGCTCCACGGAACCCTCGCGCGTGGTTACATACAGGCACAACAATGGTCAACGTATTAGTATCGCCGTCGATGGACTACTGAACATCCATGGAATACCTGACATGGACGGGAAAGATGAACCTCTCAAGTCAGCTGGGGTGTTCCCCAGTCGATGACGACAGTCCATCGCTCATCGCGTCCGTGTGTGTTCCTTTTCTTTCTCTCCCCCTCCGGCCCCTTTCCGCTCTAGTTTTTCTTTCGGAGCTCAAAAGCACAAAGGAGCAAGGGTCGTTTACCGAGGGTTCGCTTCGTCGTCGCTCGTGGCCAGGTGCAACGGTTTTGAGACTTTTTTTTTTTGGCCTTTGTGGCAATGACAGGGGTCAAGCCGTTGTCGCCAGGCCTGGACGGGTCAGGAGGTCGTCTAGCTTTAACGTAATCCCTGGCATCTGCGATGGGATTATCATCTAGCGGGCTGCTTTCAGTGCGAGGTCCGACAAGGTCGAAATTAGAGAATTGTGATCTCCTCGGCCTGGGCCGATGCCGTTGTTTCCTCCTTTTCGGCGTTTGCTTAATCACTTGCTACTCCCCTGACTAAATGACCGCCGCTAAGCAGTAGGCACCAATTGATGTCTAAGGAGGTAGGAATCTAACTAGCTGTTGGACAGCGATGGAGTTACGGGGACAGAGAAGAAGAATGGAGCAATTCTTTGTGGACAGTGGAGATTGACCGATAGTAGTCTCTCGAGCTAGTACAGTTAGCTACTCAGACGGAGTGTCAAATGCTGCTTTTCGCGGGTCTTCTCGAAGGCCAGCGACCTTCCATGCAGATATTAAGCCAAGGGATTCCCTAACCTGAATAAGTAAAGTTGCATGGTCGCGTTATGGGCCGTTGTTCGTATTGCCTACGAGAGTGTTCGAATAAGTTAGCAGTAGTCGTAACTTGTCGGCGTGGCAAGGAAAAATCTTGACATTTAGAGCGCCCCTCCACGACTAGACTCCAAGCTTCCAAATCCTTGTACTGGAGACCAAAGTTTCCGACGGTCGAGCGGTAGAGCAGAGTGCCTGTCCTTCTCTTGGTCTTATCGCTCCTGGGAATGATATGGCCTTTTGCACCGCTGTCAGTGGCTAATGCTAATATACCGGACCCCGGGGAAATTCGGAAGCTTCGCCCGCATGAAGTAAGGTCTCTCTTACTGGGCTCCCAGGCTCACAGTATGGATGGTGGGTTACTCGTGAATAGTACGTATCAGCGGACAGTTCTATCTTTAGACCCACCAATGAGATCGTCTGATATGCTGCGACCGAGAGAGATTTATTTATGCCTTGTTCACACGGTAACTTACTTTTGTCATCGACGAATGCCTGCACTATCACTGTAAGAGAGAAGCACAGCGACGAGATGGGATGGGATAGATGAGACCCTGGTACCTGCGCCATGAATCCTGAAACAGTGGCAACACTGACGAGTCATGCCTGTATCTGAGCGCGGACGGATGCGAAAAGCTCAGTCGGGTCTGTAATCGCTAATGGCCACTCGGTCGGCAACTGCATAGCGGTTGAGGCAGCAAGGTGTGCAGTGCCACGGTGATGCCCATGGCCGGGTGCTTGAACGGGTAATTGATGGTCTTTGGGAAGAGGGAAAGGAAAAGGTCCGTGTTATGAGTTCTGACAGCTCTGGCTGAGTCCCCTTGCATCGCCTTTGCGGTGGCGTATGTGCTGTGCATTACTCTGTAGTTACAGTAGGTCAGGTAGCATTCGAAATACTCAGAGGCCTAGGTATGTGACAAATCGGATTCGATTGGCTGTTTGACTCTCATTGTTCATCAATTGACCCCATGACGTGGACAAGTCAAGTTTTCGCGTTCCCTCGCATCATTGATTGCTGCTAATCACAACATCAGCTGTTTGGAAGGAACCTGTGAATGAACTGAGTGTTGTTTGCCCGATCGAAATCGACGCAGAGCAGCGGAGTAATGATACACCCGCAAATGTCCTGCCAAATTCTGCTCTCAATCGTTCAAAATTAATGCAATCAAGAGACCAACTATTGAGGTGAGATGGGAAGATTGGAGGCTTGCAGATGATGGCACTCGACAGTACAATGACTGATATTCTTTACTGGGAATCGGCCCTACGCCAGACCGACAACAAAATGGGTTCAGGTGCACCTGATCAAATACAAAGAAGTCAAAAGGTTCGAATTAAATTGGAGCAAATCAGAATCAGAGGGTCTGTTTTGACAGCTGCATTTCATATGTACCTAAGCCCTGTGTAACCGTCTATCGGACAGCAAATAAACGATGCAAGCAAGGGTTGGATGGCATTCCAAGAATTCCGGCTTGAGTGTTGCTTTCCCCCTCTCCGGCCATGCAACCTCTAGTTCCCCTCCGCTTCGGTTCCTGCAGTAGGCCGCCCAGACCTGATCGATCCCATCCGCCGTTGAACAGGTCGAATCTCTAAATGCGAGCTATTTCAGGAAGGGAATTCTTTTGGTGGTGCGTGTCTGACTTCGTTGACTATCTGCGTGCGCGCACCGCGCCTGTGTGGACTTGAGGGACCAAATTATGTGCTACGTGGCCAAACTCTCATATTTCAGGACACTAAAATTGGTTTTAGCCTATACATGGGTGCCAGTAATCTGAGATCTTTCGTGCTTCTGGATTGACATCGCCGACCAATTTCCTCAGAGCAACAAGTAGACCGACCGAGGATGTAGGAACTATATCTACCTTCCACTCAGGGAATGATCTAGGCCGTTAGGTTCAATACTGGATGCAACTTATGCTCGGCGCAGCATTTCCAGCATATGACAAATTATCGGAATTCAAAGCCACCCTATGCCTGGTTATCGATCTCAATTCGCGATCAGCAATGCGAACCACTCAAGCAAGACCTGCCAGCGTGTCGTGTCTTGAGACCAGTAGACGGCTAAGTATTCATCTCTTGCATGACAACATGAGTTACCTAGGATGCCACAAGGGAGCCAATAGGGTTGCGCACCAGCTCTCCGGGTGTCTATCTCGTATGATACTACCCCAAGTATGTAGTTCGCTATTCAGTATGGAGTGGTAGACCGGTAGTAGGTACTAGTCTAATAGTCTCACCCGTAAGGATGGTTAAAGCATACCTAGTAGTACTTACATCGCACCATGCCAGAGGTGGTGGGCCTTTGTCATGTCACGACCGTTTCACCAGTGAGTGCGATGTAGACAGCTGGAGATGAATGCCACAGTACAGATAGTAGTGTCGCTTGTCGAAATTGCTTGTCTCCATGCCGTTAGAATGGGCTGCTAAAGATTGCGAACGTTTTTTCCGTTCATGCCCGCTTATCGAAATGGGACCATACTAAGTTAACCGAGTGGTCTCACCTACGCCGTTACGCCGGGGAAGTTCGTACCATTAATCGTCGTCATCAACACCACCACCACCATCATCACCCTTGTCGTTATCTTCCAATACCCCGTCAATCATGATCATCCACCACCGCCGTCACAGAAGCGCAGACCGAAGGGAAGGGAAAGTCCAGAGCGACCCAGCGTGAGTTTGAGGGTGTGGAAGTCGATGGGGAGGGGCCGCGGACAACAGCTGCACTGACCAGGACCAGGACGCCCCCAAATCAGCAGCCACGGTCTGTCTGTCCATCAAAAAACTACTAGTACCTCAGCTATCCATCACATCATCTATCCAACCAACCAACTTCAATCTTCACCTGCTGATCTCACTGTAAGTGCGAGGCCGCCCAGAGTGAGGGTACATGGAACAGCATTTTCCTTCGGTCAATCTTTGTTTTTGTCTTTCCTGTTTAATCATCCTCTCTTTGCCTTTTTTTGGGACGGTTTTATACGGATTTCCCCAAATGGCGGACGGGATGCGCAGTGGGGCCGACTAGCTTAGCCGGCGAGTCAATCCCTCCCCTTCACAGGTTGAGGCTATTGGTGCAGCTTCCGGTGCACTCGCCCTCTCACACCTGCAGCTGCCAATTCTTCTTGGTTGCCCAAATCCAAGTCACGATGTCACTTCAGGTTTCTGACTCTTTGAGGGTGGATGTGTGTGTGCCTGTGTGTGTGTGTGCGCGCTTACACAGTATGCCTGTCTGGGAATTTTGACTGACTGACCAGCCTATTGGGATCGCACTTTTTGTCTTCCACTCCCCGCCCAACAGACTCACACACATCATCTCTCCGGCTCTCTCTCTCTCTTTCCCAACTCACCCCCCCCAACCCCACTTTCAGTTTGCTCTAGAGAGGGTGAGTGGCATGATTGGTTTTCGTGCACCAGGCCGGTGGGACAAACAGGCCGCTGATAAGCCCAGATAGGACAGCCGAAGTTGCTGATGCAGGTCTCATTGGTAACGGAGCATCCGATCTATGTACTATGTATAACATATCACCCTCAGCATTACGATGGTCACTGCCATTGACAGATAAGTGGTCTCTTCCGTAAGCGCGCAAGGTGATGGATGTTGGTCTCAGCTGAGCATCTGAGCAGTTGGAGTGGGAAAGACCACTGTGACTGGCAAAGAGGCAAAAGGTTCGTAGTGAGAGAATGAAGCAGCGTGAGGAGGGGAGGATTAGGGGGGGCCATTGAGTCGACCGATACTTGTGGGGTGCTATTTTGGGAGCAACACAACTGCCTGGGAGTCTCGGACGGAAGGTGTGTTGTGGCAACTTTCAGCCATTGAGGAAAGGTTACCTTACCACTCAAATTACAGAATAAATTACACTCCGGAGTGTTTGGGTGAGAAACGAAGGTATCAGAAGACGGGAACTGGACTCTTGACAGTTCTGTAGACCTCCCTCCTACTTGGGTAAGTTCCAGAAGTATTCAAGACTATAGAACCCGCTTTGCCCCCTCTCCGATTGTTTACAGTAGTCTGCACTTTATATGGAGATGGTGTAAATATGGCAAGTGTCTATCTAAAACGTGAGTAAAGAATTGGCCACAGGACAAGAGACAGCCAGGAAGAGTGGGAAAGCCACATACTCCGTAGGAAGTCATGGCCAGAGTTGGCCGTAAAGTCAGTTAAGTTACCATCACTCAGCCCACTGCTGTCATTTGACTTACAGTAATTGAAGACTCTGAAACAGTGTTTGGGAGTCAACCTGGAAGATATAACTGGTGATGATAATTTATTAAGCATCATTATGATCCTTTCGTGATGAAAGTGCCACCAACAGTCGCCGTCATCACAGTCACAGTCACAAGCAGTGGTCTTTTCTCTCTTTGCTGGCTCGCAATTGGCACAAGATCCTCTCCGCATTTTACCTATCCGTGACGGTCAGACGTGAGCCTTTGTCGTTTGGTGGTAATAAATGGACGGAGGACCGAGTTTCCATGCACCATTGAAATGGGGCTTGAGGACCGCCAATGTTCCCACTCGTGCTCATGTGCTCCACGCACTTACGCCTCTTTGGGTTCCCCGGCCGAGGTTGGTGGGAACGATTTGCTGGTTAGCCGGAGCTGGAATTCGCCCTCGCTATCTGACTGTCTCTCAAACTAAGCTCTGATCCAACGGAGAACAATCGTCCCAAAAAGGTTCCACTCCTCAAAATGAGGAATTGAATGGCACAAGATTTTAGTTTTGGTCGTTAGTTGTATATGGTGCACACAGTATGTATTTTGAAATGTGAATGGGGGGAGGGGGGGGAAGGAGAGGAGGAGGATACCCTGCCTTTATTGTTATCACTTCTACCTACTAATACTTCTCTGTGGTCGTCTTCTAACGAGTATCATGGAGTAGGTAGTACTCCGTAGTAGCTTTTCTATGTACAGTACACAGTACAGTAGTCCGCAAGGTGGTCCACCTCCCGTTGGGTTGGTCTCCGCTTTCCCAAATTTCTAAACTGAGTTGGAACTGAGATGTGCACCGCCGACGCCAATCTGCTTTCTTTGCCGCCCCAGACTAGAAAGTCTCCTCAGCATTCAGATGGTGCATAAGATGGTAAGAAATAATGATAATCACCGGTTGGAGAAAAATAGGATCTTCCCACATCCACTTCCCCTCTCCTCCTCGGCCCTCTCTCTCTCCGCTTTCCATTGTTCCCCGAAAATCATTCAAATCATCTTCCTAATAAAAGTCTATAATATGGAATATTCAAGAATTGGAGCAAGATATACTGTTCATACACAATTTCAGCACAACACACAAGAATCAGAAAGGCAATGACAGGCAAGCAATACAGCTGGTTGAAGACAAGCCAAAATCCAATACAATACCATATGACACAGTACTTGGTGCCGGCAGATTTATTAGGTTGATTTATTAGTCTTATATTACAATTACGACTATTATAGACTGATTGCTCTCTCCGTCTCTTACTGGCACCACCATCGACACCACCCTAAAAGTAAAGTTCCATGCAGCCCATCATCTTCCCCCCCCCCCGGCCCAAGCCCAAAAAGGCTCAGACTCGCCAGACTAAAAAGTACGGCTCCAGTCTTAGTACTGCTCACTACGTACGGCGCTACTACCTCGTAGCACAAGCAGATCAGTCGCTCTTTTATCCACTGCCTATCCTTCTGGCCGTTTCCTATTCCTCTCTTGTCCATATCGGCCCTGTCTCTCATTTTCCCCGCGACTGTCCTCTCGTCCTTCTCAAATTAATCTTCTTTATTTCCTTCATTATTTTTAATTATTATTATTATCATTTTTATTATTCTATTCCATTTTTGCCCTTTTTAGACTCGTCTCGATCCTCATCTGGTCCTCCTCTTCCCTTCCTCTCTTTTTTATCTCTCTAGTCTTAATTCCCCTCCCTCTCGCTCTCTCTTTCATTTGCGTCTTCAGTCTTTCGGTTTCCTTTATCGAGCGCATTCTAAACCAATTTCATTCTCTGGTTTGGATCGTATCGAATAGAGGTACCTGTCCTTCCTTCAGCAGACCTGCGATACAAGCATTAGATATAATTACACCACCACCACCACTACTACAAACCATCGTTCTTCGCATCAACAACTGCACAGCGCTGTCTTCTTCACTCACTCCTTCAAGTGCAAGAGACTATCAACATTCTTTCAACACTGTCGTCCTTTATATAGACGGCTTTTTTTTTATTGCTCAGTGATCACGGCTACAGAGACTGGAAGCTTCCGCGCAGTCCTACAGTCCGGGCAATACTGACCCAATAATATACTTACCTTAATAACACCCAGCAGGGTAGATCAGACTCTACTCGCGTGCGCCAACCACAACAACTCCACAATCTGTGAGTTTCGACATCAAAGTATAGGTATTGCGATCCAAGTGGCTGACTCGAAGACGATCATCAGCTCCAGACACAATGGACGCAACATATACAATGACGCCGACATCGGTGCAAGGACAACCATCCTTTGCATACTACCCAGCTGCCGACTCGCAGCCCCGACAACACTTCACTAGCCACCCTTCAGATATGCAACAGTTCTATGGTCAAATGCAGTCGTTCTCCCACCCCCAACAACAACCCCAGCACTGTGTGCCGGACCAATCCCTCTATGCCGCCCAGTCAGTCATGAACATGCACCAGATGGCGACCACGAATGCCTTCCGAGGTGCCATGAACATGACCCCCATCGCTTCTCCTCAGCCTTCCCACCTCAAGCCCACCATCGTCGTGCAGCAGGGCTCGCCCGCTTTAATGCCTCTGGATACGCGGTTCGTGGGGAACGACTATTACGCCTTTCCCTCCACCCCGCCGCTCTCCACAGCCGGAAGCTCCATCAGTAGCCCGCCCTCGAGCATCGGATCCCTCCACACGCCAATCAACGAGAGTTTCTTCGCTTTCGAGAAAGTCGAGGGTGTGAAGGAAGGATGCGAGAGCGATGTTCATGCTGAAATTCTGGCCAATGCTGACTGGACTCGCTCGGATTCGCCTCCCATGACACCTGGTAGGTCCTAATTTGTGCTTCCATTCGACAATCCGCTAGCGCCTATCCCACGTGCTACTAGAGTGCGAAAAAGCGTTGAATCAGTCAATAGTCTAGGGTTATTCGCCAAGCTAACTGAACTTGTTCTAGTGTTCATCCACCCCCCTGCATACACCGCCTGCCAGACCTCGGATCTCCTGTCTGCCACTAGCTCTTGCCCATCCCTATCTCCGTCGCCGTCTCCTGTTGCTCCAACCCTGATTGCTCAGCCCCAGACCGCTCTTTCCCTTGAGCAGTCCACTTCTGACTTTTGCGACCCTCGTCAACTCACTGTCGAGTCGACAATCAATGTCGCTGAGTTGCCACCTCTGCCCACTCTCGCCTGCGACGAGGAAGAGTCTAAGGTTGTCTTGGGTGGGGAGGCTGTAACACTTGCTATTCACGAGAATCTTTCCCCTGTATTCTCTTGCTCCTCGGAGGATCCATTGAGCAGTCTCCCTACCTTTGACAGCTTCTCTGATCTGGACTCTGAAGACGAATTTGTCAACCGTCTGGTTGACTTTCACCCTAGCAGCAACGCTTTTTATCTGGGTGAGAAGCGCCAGCGGGTGGAGTCGTACTCTTCTCTTGATGAGGAAGAGTTCTTCAGTGAGCAGAGCTTCGACGAGTCGGACGACCAAGATCTTTCTCAGAGCAGCATTCCATTCCTCGGCGGTTCTGATTTCTCCCTGCAGGCCACTGCTAATGACACTGCCGAGGACGTGAGAACGAAGAAGCGCAGCAACTGCCGCAAGTCTCCTAAGAGAGCCGGCTCCGAAAGTGATGTAGAATGCTTGAGTAAGAAGGCACAGGTTTCCACCAGTGAATCGAACTCTTCAGCTACTCAAGCAATCCAGACCCGTCATAATTCGGACGCCAGCATGTCTAGTTGCTCTGATGCACCGGCTGCTCCAGTCTCCGTCAATCGTCGTGGCCGCAAGCAGTCGTTGACGGATGACCCTTCCAAGACCTTTGTATGCACTCTCTGCTCTCGCCGTTTCCGTCGCCAGGAACACCTGAAGCGTCACTATCGCTCTCTTCACACTCAGGATAAGCCTTTTGAGTGCAACGAGTGTGGCAAGAAGTTCTCCCGCAGTGACAACCTTGCTCAGCATGCTCGGACTCATGCTGGCGGATCTGTTGTGATGGGTGTTATTGATACTAGCAGCACATCCTCGCAGACCCCTTTTGAGGAACGCAGTCCTAATTCTCTGGGTGCGGCTCTCTACGAGGCTGCAAATGCTGCCGCCACCAAGTCAACCTCCAGCGACTCGTCTGATGAGAGCTTTACCGAGACGCCATCTGCTGATCGTCGAGCTCCCAAGAAACGCAAGCGTGATGCGGATGCTTGAGCGGCTTGTCGATTGGGCTTGCAAGCCGTCATGATGATATGTGACCAGGAGCTCCTCTACATCACTTAATCACATACTATAAATGACCATCCAGCTCCAAGTTTGGTCTGACTGGGTCTCTTTGCAGAATGGCGTCCGGGTTTTGATTCTGGCGGCGACCAGAAAGGTAAAGGTGCATGGATTATTTTTTTTTTTGACAAAGGCCTTGAAGTCAATTGAAGCCAAATGTGACTTCAAGGCATCGATTTTGGCGAAGCATTAGACCGGCGGCAATGGAACATGGGCGCACATCGGGAGTCCATGGTTGGACCAAAATTAATAGAGCGCGTGCATGATGACTCTACATTGAGGCACTGGTGATTTGGGTTGATTTTCTTTCTCTTCATTATCCCCTTTCTATTTCTACTCTCTGTCTCAACATCCTCAACTTCATTGCGAATGGCTCGGACCCTCCCGATGGAGTCCGGCCACTTGTTTTCGTGTACCTCATCCCATCCCAATCTTCTCTTTATTGTTTCTTCTACATACTTCTCGTTGATCTACCGTTCTCTGTCCCCTATTTCCACCCACCCTGTTTTGATCTGCTCCTGTGCAGTACTGTGCTGGTCACTTGTATACTTTAATAGCTTTCCCCAATCGTTGCCTCATACCCCTGTGCGCATACCCCCTTTTCTTTCCGTCTCTATCACTTGTTAGCATCTCCAGTGTGCATAATATTCCCATATCTGCCATTTTGGGTGTGTTGAGCGTCGTCACATTCGTTCTGCAACACAGCTTGTGATAATTGAGAATTGTGAGTCATCGAGATCCTATAGATGAGGGAGTAATCTATGTGTTTCTGTGGTATGTAGTTGTAGAGGATTTGATCCGCCCTTGGAGCTTATCTTAGCAGCACTCCGCCTCGGCAGATCTCGACGTCACCCACTCCATGCTTCAACGATTCTCTGGTTCAGGAACAATGCTTGAAAACTTGATGTTCCACAATTTCAAGTCCGAACGAGTATGGCCAGTGGCAAGTGATAGTCTTCCGTCTGATGCTCACACTTGTTTGATTTTGCCGCGCACCCACTCTGTCTCCTAAATCCAGGACCACGGACTTACTGTCTGCGGGGGTTGCCGAAGATCCACCACCGCGAAAAAGACCTTCTACCCCTCCCTCACATCAACCTACCGGACTTCTCGTGTCGGGCAACTACACCATACAAGGAGTCATGCCTCCCCAATCGCAGCCCCAACCACCAGCTCCACCACCAGGTTCAGGTCTCAATGTCATTGCGCTTATCTCTGGCGGGAAAGACTCGCTCTATTCGCTCCTTCACTGCATCCGCAACGGCCACAAAGTGGTCGCATTAGCGAACCTGCACCCAGCAGCCAGGAAGCAGCAAACTGTCCCCACCACACCACCACCATCATCGCCCTCGTCTATCCCGCCACAAGATGTCGCAGAAGAAGAGGAACAAGACCTCGACAGCTTCATGTACCAAACCATCGGCCACAGCATTATCCCTCTCTACGAGACCGCCCTCGGCATCCCGCTTTACCGCCAACCCATCCGCGGCGGCGCGGTCGACACGTCTCGAATCTACCGACTCCAAGCTGAGGATCAGATGGCCGAGTCCGCTGTCGTTCTCGACGGTAACTGCAACCATCACCGCCACCACCCAAACAACGAGGAACCCGAGGAGGACGAAACTGAGTCTCTGATCCCGCTCCTGAGACGGATCATGCAGGCCCACCCGGAGGCCAACGCCGTCTCCGCGGGCGCTATCCTCTCGACCTACCAGCGCACCCGCATCGAGAACGTGGCCGCCCGGTTGGGCCTGGTGCCCCTGGCCTGGTTGTGGCAGTACCCCCTGCTACCGGATCGGCGACGGGCGCCGGAGGCAGGTCTGCTGGAGGATATGGCTGCTGCCGGATGCGAGGCAAGGATCATCAAGGTGGCGTCGGGTGGGTTGGATGAGGGATTTCTCTGGGGGGATGTGGCCGCTGCAGACGGGCGGGTGCGGGCCCGGATCGTCAAGGGGATGCGGAGGTTTGCGGACGCTGGGGATCTCAGAGGCGCGGTTCTGGGAGAGGGCGGCGAGTATGAGACTTTGGCGTTAGATGGGCCGTCGTGGTTGTGGAAGTCCAAGATCGAGGTTGCTGGGTGGGAGGGGTGTGTGGGGGATGGCGGTGTTGGGTTCGTGAAGTTGAAGGGAGCGACGTGTGTGGGTAAGGAGGGTGGAGAGGGGGACGCTTCCAGCGGTCCAGAGAGTGTGAGGCGACCGGACCTGTTAGATGAGCGTTTTGAGGAGGTCTTGGGGTCTGTGTTGGAGGTTGAGGTTGCGCTGGGAACTACAGAGCACAACAAGGGGGAGGGTCTCGAGCATGCGGCGCCGGGGGTCTGGAGTGATGGGCTCGACACTGTTCAGACTACGGAGGGCAGAACGTGGATAATTGCTAACGTCACAGCGCCTGAGGCTGGTCCTGGCGCTGGTGAACAGATGAAGGCGATCTCGGACAAGATCCAGGCGATTCTGCGCTCCTCGACCCGCGAGGAATCTCGGACGACGGCTGATATTGTTTTCACTACAGTGCTACTTCGCTCTATGTCAGATTTCCCCTTGATGAACTCCATCTACATCTCCATGTTCAAGAAGCCAAACCCCCCCGCGAGAGCTACAGTGGCCTGCGGTGATAGCCTACCAGAAGGGGTGAATGTCATGGTGTCGGCTGTGGTGGATTTGGGACCCAGAGATGACCGGCAAGGCCTTCATGTTCAGTCTCGCTCCTACTGGGCTCCCGCCAATATCGGACCGTATTCACAGGCCATGTCGACACCTATGCAGGGTTTCGAGCAGCTGGTATACATTGCTGGGCAGATTCCTCTCGAGCCGGCCTCGATGGAGGTTTATGGTTCCGAGCAAACCTGGTTCAAAGGCTTTTCTTCGCGGGCAGTGCTTTCGCTCCAACATCTATGGAGAATTGGTGCGGCTATGCACGTGGACTGGTGGTTAGGCGCCGTCGCTTTCCTGGGAGGAGCGGACCACATCAGCCAGAGAGCCAAGATCGCCTGGAATTTGTGGGAGACGATGCACAGCAGTCAACAAGAGGAAGAAGACGTCGACGACGGGTCGGGTCTGGATGCTTGGGACCTCAAGTACGGCGGACGAGCCCACGAGCAAGTAATGGATGCCTCGAAACCGAAGCTCCCACGGTTCGACGTGGTGCAGTCGGAAGGATCTGCGGTCCCGGCCTTCTTCGCTGTGCAGGTAGAAGAGTTGCCGCGAGGGAGCGATATCGAGTGGCAGGGTCTTGGGCTCCGATGCGACAAACTCAACATAACCACCGAAGAGAAAGAGTGTGGACAACAGACTGTAGTGACTACAGGCCACAATATGGGCTACATTGCTATCGAAGTGAAAGCACAATCCTCAGGGTCTGGCCTTGAATCTTGCCTCCGGCCGATTCTGCAGCAGTTCACGCAAGAACCTAAGAGCCCTCATGTAACTATTTATACAACCCAGCCACTGTCGAAAGACCCATCCTGGGGCCAAATCATTCCTTGCAAATCGGTTTGGGGCTCGAAGGGTCGGCAGTTGGCCGCTGGGATTATCGTCCAGACGCAGCTGTCTGCATGATCGCTGAGACTCGAAAGGACAAGATTGATATGAATGCACATTCGGATTTGAGGGATTTGCACCGAGTTGATGCCATTTATCTCAATGCAGTAGAGAAGACCTGTACATAGATTAAGTAGCAACACCAATGCGGGGAGGATGGCTTGATAATGAAGGCATTAGCTAGCGAAATCACTTCTATCCGGCCGGCATGCCATATGGATCAAATGGGATCATTCGGGACAAGAGCCCCGGTGCAGGTGGGCTGACGGCTTGAATCTGACCAGGGAGTTAAAGAAGAATGGAAGAAAGGGGGGGCTTCATTCATTCCTTTATTACCATCTCCTGATGCGCGCCTGACGTGCCCGCTGGAGCCGGCATGTGATAAGCGAAAAAAACCCGCTTTCGCCTGTTGATTCCTCCCGCGATAACAACTTCCCTGTCATCCTCTCCTCCATCTGCGCCCTCCCCAACACACCATTTAGTCTCACGGCCAATTCGTTCGGTATGCGTCTTGTTCTTTCAAAAGTGCTAATTGAAATCCGGAGCAGTTGCTAATCTCAAATCCTGGCCCCTAGACCCTCTTTTCTTCTCTCATCATATGTTTATCGACATGACGTACGCGCTATAAGAACCAGACGGTCTGATCAGCATCACTTATGACCTCAACACAGAGCCAGGAGGAAGACGGGCTACTTCCTATTAAAGATCCTGCATCGGACCCCGAGGCTTTTGATAGTTTCCGACAATTATCGCGATCCCCACATCCTTACGCTCGTCCGGGTTCGCACAGTCCCTCGCTGTCTGCGGATCCTGGTGACCGATCAAAGCCTCCCCGCTGGCCCCGGACTTCCAGTGACAGCGGCACAGAAGCAGACGATGAAAGTACGGGTCTCTTAAGAGGACTACCAGCACCCCCGCTGCGACCGCGCAAAGGATTGCGCTCGAGTGTTCATGGTGCAGGCGAGATTGATCAGTGGCTCCCGGGATTGCGCCCGTGGCCGTCGATAACACGATCCATATCGCGGAGCTCCCGACAAAGCTCTGGAGATGATGCGGGGGTAGGGACAGCCGAACTACGGGAACGAGAATACCGTAGAAAACAAGTAGCTGTCTTACAAAGGCTCCTAGAAACTGCCTTGCTACTCTCTGTGGGTGTTGTCGTTCTAGGACAGGAGGATGCAAGAGCGGCCGCCTGGGCCTGGCAAAAGGGTATGCCACATCTTTCCTACGTGCATCTGAGGTTTGGTCTTTGGCTGATCTTTACGGCAACGAATTGCAGAGCTCGCGGCCTTCTTCTTCCTTGTCATCGGCCTCTATACCGCGTACCCTCTGCATCGTGATGGCCGCATGCGACTGTCTCGATTGTTCACCTTTGTCGTTCCTTCCGCCTTCGATCCGGCTCCATTGCTTTATCCCGTACTGATACCCATTTACGTTTCGTTGTCTCTGGCGCATCACAACCCCTACTTGATACTACCTAATATTCTTCTCAGTCTTTCGTCGCTCCCTGCTCAGATTGTTCCTCTGCGCGAATGGGTCCACGGTCATAGTGTCGTCCATTGGCTGGTCACGTTGATCCCGATTATCGTTTCTGAGCATCTATCGGCCGGTCCTTCATGGCCGACGCCACTGACTCTTCGCGGCTTGGACGCGGAGGTCCTGACTCTTATTTTCCCTTTCCATCAAGCGTTGATACCCACTCTAGATTTCCTGTTGACTACCAGCATCCTTCCCGCAGAACTGCAGCTCCTAACTATCGCTTTAATCAACCTCTACTTATTCGCGGCATCTCCCCAGGCGGAAATACTCAAGGCCTTGCTATGGCTAGGTGGCATGTGCACCTTCATCGTTTGCCGGGGGGTTCTTCGATGGGAAGTTGCTTTAGCTCGAATCCCGACATGGAAGTTCCGACGCTCCCCTAGTGCTTCGCAGTCGCCTCGCAGTATTTTCAATGTGATTGATCACAAACTTTGTCAAAAGCTCAGCAGAACAGGGTCCTCAGATGATACACTTTCTGATAGTGACTCGCCTGACGGACACTTCGTGCTTGTCTCTCGCAAAACAATGTTTGATCCGCGGGAGAAAACGCCATCTCAAGGGCTCAGTGTCACTAAGCAGACCAAGGGCCTGAATGGTACACGCCGGCGATCCAGGACTGCGCATCGTCGACGACATACCTTTTCGAGCCTCGATGATGTCAAGCGGGCAGAGAAAGTCAGGACTACACCGGGAGGCCGGAAAAAGCGATCAATGGCTCCCGGGCTTGCCTCTTTTCTGTCGCTCACTGTACCCCAAGCTCAAGTACGGAAATGGTTGTATGCCCTGTATATCTACCTCGCTATTTTGACCATCATTATGGTCCCCATTCGGCATTACGTCAGTGGTCAAGCATTGCAGAAAAGGGAGCCATTCGGGTGGGCGCTTGGTTACCTTTTTGGCAATATTTCTGCGTTCAGATTCTGGGTCCTCATGTGGGGTCTGGAATACTGGATACCTCTCCCGGCTCGCCTAGATGGCGACCTATCGAACGCCTCCTGTGCTCTCGGCTGGGTTGAGCATCTCCGGCAGGATACATTCGGGGAGGCTAATTCGCGTCTCCTGATTGCTGCCTATTGCGTTCTGGTACTGGTAACCGGCTTGGCTGTTGTGTTACAACTCAGTCCAATCGCAGAGGTCGACACCCGACGCAAGGTTTTCCATGGGATGATGGTCTTAATGTTCCTTCCGACCATTTACATTGACCCCCTGTTCTGTGCTCTCGCATTGAGCCTCGCCTTGGCTATCTTCCTGCTCCTCGACTTGTTCCGAGCCTCTCAGCTGCCACCGATCTCCCGGCCATTGACGTATTTCCTAGCGCCCTACGTGGACGGTCGCGATCATCGTGGTCCTGTCATTGTCTCCCATATCTTCCTTCTCATTGGATGCTCTATTCCACTATGGCTCTCACTGGCCGATGTATCTCGGATAGGAGAATATCCGTGGGAGGGCTGGAATTCAATGACTCGCGACGTCAGCATGGTGAGCGGCATTATATGTGTCGGCATGGGAGACGCGGCGGCCTCCCTCATCGGTCGCCGGGTCGGCCGGCGAAAATGGTTCTGGGGCGGGGGGAAATCGTTGGAGGGCAGCGTGGCTTTTGCAGTCGCTGTAACCAGCGGGCTGATCCTTGCACGGACTTGGCTTACCCTGGGCCAATGGCACACGGACGGACGCGACGAAGCGAATCTCGTATACCCCTGGCTGCTAATAGTTTTTAAAGCCATTCTCGCAGCCGGTGGGACCAGCGCAACCGAAGCGATTCTGACCGGGTGCAATGATAATGTTGTTGTCCCAATTGTGCTGTGGCTGTTAGTGAGAGGGCTCGGTATCTGATGCTGTTCGAATTGACATAGGGAATGGTTACAGCCTGCTTTGGAGGAGAGCTTCGGCGATGTCTGCTTTGCTATATACCCCACGAGACGAAGCGCAGCAGAGGCCTCCGGCTTTTCCTTTTCAAATTGTTTTTACAATTATTTTTTGTACAGTTCCTGCTTCGGGTTACTCGCGGACGCATAGATAAGGTGTCAGATTAACTGATGGTGATGACGTGGAAGACTAGCTGGTCTCGCTGGTCATGGCATGCTTCGCTTGCGAATGATCAATACACAATCCCAACAACATAGAGCAAAGACTTGACAGTGCCACTGTGCCAAAGGCACACCATCTCCACAATCAGGCAGCACCCTTGAAGGACCCATTTGCTGCATGTACTGTAAACTGAATCGTCCTTTGTCGTCTTTTACACTAGCCTAAATCCAAGTTAGCTGACGAGCTAGGAAGCCTCGGTCGCTCAGGGACGTTTTGCTGCGTGCCGGGCGGGATTGCGCTGTTGTCGATCGCCACCGACTGACTGGAGACTTTGGGGGGAGGACTACTTAGATGGGCTTAGCCGGGGATCAGCCAGCAAGGTGTGGACTGTGGACAAGGCCTGCCCCATCAATTGGCTGGATTGTATGTACCGGTTAGTCTGAGCTTATCAGCCCGTTCGCGATGGATGGATGGATGGATCCGAGGTCTCTTTCCTCCAAGTGGCAATTCCTGATTATTGTAAGTTAGGTGCCATGATGGTTGACTCATTTTTTTTTTGAGAGCAAGCTCGAATAAGAACTAGTTAGTTAGTTAGGTTAAGTAACTGAGTAGTGAAGAGTCAGTGGTTTGAGTCACCAGATGGCCTTGTAACCAGGTAGTATGGTAAAGAGTGGGGGGAGGCATTAGTTGCAGTGCCCGGGCAGTCAGTTGCTGCTGATCAATGAGATGATCTGTCTGGCTGACAATACGGCAAGTGGCTGAGTAGAAGGCACGAAATGGGTCGAGTCACTTATCAGCTGGCAGGCCTCAGGCCAGCAACTTTGGTAGTCAATACATCATGGATCAATCGTTATCGGGTGTCCCCCGGATTCATCCTGTTCCGTCCACGTCTTATCTTGTCTGGAGATACTACTACTCCTACCAGCAGCATTGGAGTGTACTTGTGTAGTACTGCACTCCCCTGCTCTGCTTCACAATGATCAGTGTGTGATTACTTCCAACAGTCAAAACCCATCTCCCTCTTTTTTTCCTTTTTTATTTTTTTTTCCCCCTGGATGTATCGTATGTATAAAGAGTCCTTTGTAGGTAAGGGTGTAAGATACTGGTGGAGTACGAGAACCACTTGAGGATATGCCGCCCTGCTGACCGCCTTTGTTCTCTGAAAGGTCATTCCCCAAATCTATCATGGATGATGATCTTATCGGCGGTCACGCTCCCCTTCCCTCCTCCCGACTCTTGTCTGAGACTCTTGAAGTACTCGCCCGGAGTACAACGATGCTTGCTTGCAGGTCCCACGGTCCAGCTGCTGTTCCCGCCTTTCTTTCTTCCCCCATCAATCACATCATTCTCTCTCTCTCTCGCTCTCTCTATTCTCTTACTTCCTCTTCCCCCTCCCTTCTTCTTTTTCCCATTCTTCAGTCATCACTCCTCATCCCTTGTCTTCGTGGCCTTCGACTTTATCTACGAACCTACTCTTTGTTCTTGTTCTTTCTTCATCCCTCATCGTCCAAGCTGCACTCTTATTTGCCATCCGTCCTTCATTTACTTTCACGCCGCGACCTACAACGACATACCTCATCTGCCGAATTTAGTATATGTCTATCAGCACTACAGCTTAGGCCACGCCCAACCACCCCCCTGTAGCTGTCGCCTCCATCCTATCATACACACCCCCGTCTATCCGCCTCACCGCTCTCCTGCTTCCTACGACGCCGACACCTATTCTCGACCTATCCACTACCTTTGAGTCGATCCCTCCCCTCTCCTACACCCAGACCCTGTCGAACAGGTAGAAAGCGTCTACCTATCCCTTGTCCTGTCGCCTGCGCTTCCCTGCCGCTCTGCCCGGCGTTCCTTGACTAGCTCCACTCCGTCGCGGTCGACCATTATTCTCTCAACCATATCTATCGCTGTCCCCGTCTTCTCTGTCTAGTATTTTATTATCACCGATCCTCGTCAATATCGCTTGCCACTCCCCTGATGGGCCTCATCCATCAGATACCGTCGTCATTTTTCTTGTTGAGGTAGTTGTAGGTTAACGGGGCGTCGCTGGGTCCTTATTCATACATTGACTTCGCCCCGTCGCGATCATGGCGTCAACAAGTCATTCGAGAAGGTCCAGGGAGCCTTCCCACGCCGAGATGCCCATCGGCCGCTATACACGGTTGGACGAGATCGGCCGAGGAAGCTTTGCCACTGTCTACCAAGGTGTTCATACGGTATGTTTGCCATGTCGCTGCCCGAAATCGCGCTAGCGTCGAGGCTGGATCTTTATCGGTGTTCAAATTGAAGCTTCATAGAGCCCTTGCTAATCAAGTGTCGTTCCATAGAAAACTCGCACCTTCGTGGCAATAAAGTCTGTCAATCTGTCCAAGCTGAACAAGAAATTAAGGGAGAACTTGTCGTCGGAGATCCAGATTCTCAAGGGCTTATACCATCCCCACATCGTGGCTCTTATTGATTGCCATGAGTCTACATCTCATATTCATCTCGTGATGGAGTACTGTGCCTTAGGCGATCTATCTCTGTTCATCAAACGTCGAGATACCTTGGGTGACCACCGATATACGCGAGAGATGATCTCCAAGTATCCAAACCCTCGAGGTGGCGCTCTCAACGAGGTTGTGACCCGTCACTTCCTCAAGCAGTTGTCGAGCGCTCTCAAGTTTCTTCGAGATCGGAATCTTATCCACCGTGATATTAAACCACAGAACTTGCTCCTTTGCCCATCACCATCATCTTACCGCTCAGGCACAACCCAGGTTGTACCGTTCAAGGGCAGCGAAGATTCCTTCAGCCCCACGACAGGACTTGAATCGCTGCCTATGCTGAAGATAGCCGATTTTGGGTTTGCGCGGTCCCTTCCAGCCACGTCTCTTGCGGAGACCTTGTGCGGCTCTCCTCTTTACATGGCTCCCGAGATTCTCCGGTACGAAAAGTATGATGCTAAGGCCGACCTCTGGTCTGTGGGCACGGTATTATACGAGATGGTTGTTGGAAAAGCACCATTCCGGGCATCGAATCATGTCGAGCTGCTTCGCAAAATCGAAAAGGGAGAGGATAGGATCAAGTTTCCTGAGGAAAACCCTGCGTCTGAGGAGATCAAAGCGTTAGTCAGAGCGTTGTTGAAACGCAACCCGGTAGAAAGACTGAACTTTGCGGACTTCTTTGAGAGCAGAATTATCACGGGTCCTATCCCTGGTTTGATAGCCGATGATGCATCCTCGCCGTACCGTCGTTCATCCGTGGGTACACCAGCTACCGAGACAGCGCCTGTCCCGGAACCACGGCCGGAGCTGACCCCTGTAGCGGCAACGGTCCGCCAGAAAGAAGTTCCCTACTCTGACGACCGTGTGGAGCCTTCCACGTATCCAGTTGCTCGACGCTCGATTGCACAGACTTCGCGTCCCGGTACTCCAAGTAAGACTATGCGCAGTGCTAATAGACCATTGTCTATTGCAAAAGAGTATCCATCAGCGACAGGCTACCCTAGTCCTGTAGTAGATGCTCAGGCTCATCTTCACCAGGAGCCGCCTGAACGGGGTGCAGCTGCCACGCCCATTGAGCGTCAGCGAAGCCAGACTGCCCCATCTGGTATTCCGCAGGTGGATAGATCGGCGGACAAGACGAAAGAAGAGCGCGAGCGCGCAGCGCAAGAAGTAGCATTTGAGCGAGATTATGTGCTTGTGGAGAAGAGGGCAGTGGAGGTCAATGCTTTTGCTGATGAAATGGCCCATAGTCCTCGAATCCAAGGGGGCTTTTCTCGGCCTGGCCAAGGGGGTGTGCTCTCACGGCGCGCAGCAACAATGCAGGGTGTACCGACAACTTCCAGTATATCACCACACGCGTCTCCCAGCAAGGCGATGCAGATGATCACCGGGCGCTCTCGTGCTGATTCTGCGCACATACGCCAAAACTCTTATGAGCGACGGTACGGACAAAGCCCGACTTCTGCCACGTCAGCTATATCCAAAGCCCTCAATATGGCCAGCGGCCGCTTGTTTGGAATGGGATTTTCACCACCCTTGACGATAACAAAAGGCGGACGTTCTCCTCCGTTGGCTTATAATCCTTTTCCCGCTTATCCCAATCCTCAAACGAGCTTAGTCGTCCTTGGGGACAATGCCAGGACGAGCGCGACGTTAGATGAGGACGGCAAGATTGTTCAAGAGCTCGAAGAGTGTGCCACTCGCAGTGACGTTGTTTACGGATTTGCCGAAGTCAAATACAAGCAGCTTATTCCTTTGGCTCCTTCTGTTCAGACAGATAACCCTGCGACCACGACTTTACCAGTTCAGCCAGAGACTACAGATCCCACCGACATTGGACTGACGGCGGACGCCGTTGTGACACTATCAGAAGAAGCATTGGTTCTCTACGTCAAAGCGCTCTCCTTGCTGGCAAAATCTATGGATATTGCAAACGCCTGGTGGACCCGCAAGACTCGGGCCGAAGCGTTCAGCGAGTCGGCGGGCAGCAAGGGAGATACCACCAGCACCCTAGTCAGCAACCGGATCAACAACGTTGTGCAGTGGGTGCGCAATCGGTTTAATGAGGTGCTCGAGAAAGCCGAATTCGTTCGCCTCAAACTGATTGAAGGACAAAAACGACTACCGCTGGATCATCCCAGCCACCCCAGTAACTACTCAGTCGCCTCGTCTCTGGGCTCTGGTGCACCTGGGGATGTTGTTGTCAGTTCGGGTGTGACGGCCGAGAAATTAATGTATGACCGCGCCTGGGAGATGAGTCGCGCGGCAGCGATTAACGAACTCACGGGAGAAGACCTTGCCGGGTGTGAAATCGCTTACGTTACGGCAATCCGAATGCTAGAGGCCGTCCTAGATGAAGATGAAGGGTCTCGGGCCGGACAGAGTAGCGGCACCAAAGCCGAAAGCCAGAGAAATAGCGACCGAACCGTACTAGATGGTGTCCAAGCGGAAGATCGACAGGTGGTGGTCAACTGTAGGTTCTCGGTTCTTGTTTTCTAGAAGATTTCCCGATTTTACTAACGTGTCATAGTGGTGTCTAGCATCCGGGGACGATTGGCATCCCTACGCAAAAAGTTGGCCATCATCTCCAAGCGGCATACTGTGACGCCCCCTTCGAGCGGCCCGAGCAAAATAGCTCCCACCACCTTTGCATCACCAGTTGCTCAAGCAATTGGAGCCACGCCGCCCAAATGAATTTTGTCGGTTTTCGAACACCTTTTCGTCTGAGCATGCTGGACCATGCTCCATTACAGCCCGCGAGTCACGGCTGACATTTTCCCTCCCTCTTTATTTCTCTATGCTCCTCGTTTCCGCTTTTCTTTCAATTCTCTTTCCTTATCTTATAGCTGGTTGGTTTCTTTATATACGCGTTACTGCGACCATATGGAGTTTGTTTTATTTCATCCATGTTCCCGTGGAGTTTTGCCCAATTTCTGTTCGGCGTTTGTACTGGGAAAGATACACCACACACACACACACACACACACACACACACACACACACAAATTGCCAAACATACGCACACATCATTTGGATATGGAATGACGATATTGCCTTAGGATCACGGAGTTTGGGTGGAAGGAATTGATGGATCTTCTAGATGCAGATACGGACTGCCCGTCACATGAAGCTGTTCTTGTATATACAGTTAATCAGAGGAACTTTATTTAGGAACTTTACTTTTCTGTTCTGATCCTAGGTTGTGTTTCCACTCGTTCTTGTTCTTCTACTTCTTTTCTGAGTCCTGCGGACAAGAGAATGCTTTCCTGGCTAATGGTGAGTTGAGTTTTTGCCCCATCGATGTTTCAGAATGATCCAGAACCTTACCTAACTTTAACTCATCATCGCAGGGGGACAATGGCGTGCTCAATTTGCGTGTGTCATAAGATTGTGCCAAAGTCCCAGGGGTTGGAGCGGTTTCCATCCATCCACCGCGGGTTCCGCCCGTCAGCCAACTTTTTTTCCTTTTCACGACGTACTAAACCCACTGCCCACTGCCCACTGCCCAGAACCAAGACAACAGCCATGGCCCGCTGGACGTACGGCGGAGATCCGCCAAATCCACATGGATTCGCCCGACTCTGCATGAAATTTTTCCCATTGTTCCTCGGGGAATCTCTTCTTGTCCCCGTGGTCTCCTCTCTTTGCTTCTTCGTTGACTTTCGTGATCACCAGTGATCAATCTAGAGTGCTGCCTCCCACTCAAGATTCTTCGCTGCGACTGGTATACTAGCTGGGTGCTGTGCCCGGACCAGGACATAGATTCCAGTCGCGCTTGCAGGTTAAACATTATACTCATTCATTATTTCTTTCATTGGCCACTCGATTGTTGCCTCATCTTGCGCAGACAAGCCTTCTGACAGCCTGACCTTTCGGAGTTGCTGCTGGGGTGGTTGCCTTCGATTGCATCACATTTAGTCTCAGCACACCATCCCATCTGACGGTCTCACGCCTCCGTTACTAACCGCTCTTTTCTCGGTCTCGGGGCATTTACATCCCACACTATATATCCTGCGCCCACATCGGGGCTTTTCCAGCACGCTCAAAAACGAGTCTCTGTGGTTCATTTCAGTATCAACCTCGTCATGGGTGATCTTGAACCCGAGTCAGGCTACAAGGTGCCTGTTTCCGGCGGCAAGCCTGTTGAGGATGGTCTTCGGAGGACTGATGGTGTCTCTGGATTGTGTATGATTGTCCCCCTTCGCGGGCAATCTTCCTGGCATGTTTTGATTCTAATCGACGACTTACAGACGAAGGAAATGTCTTTGAGGCTACTCCTGACGACCGCCGCCAGATCGGTGTGATCAGTGCCTCCTTTTTGATCTTCAACCGCGTCATCGGTACGGGTATCTTCGCCACCCCCAGCACCATTCTTTCTCTGGCCGGTAGTGTCGGCCTGTCACTGATTATGTGGGTCATCGGTACTTTGATTGCCATGGCCGGTACTGCCGTCTACCTCGAATGGGGTACGGCGATTCCCAAGTGAGTGTTCTTGCCTTAGCCTACCACGAAGGGTTACTGCTTGCAATGCTAACATAGCTTAGGAACGGTGGTGAAAAGAACTACCTCGAATATGTCTTTACCAAGCCCAAGTTCCTGGTAACCGCCATGTATGCTTCGTATGCTGTTCTGCTGGGTTGGGCTGCAAGTAACAGCGTCGTCTTTGGCGAGTACATCCTCAATGCCGCCGACGTCGAGGTGGGACGCTGGAATCAACGCGGCATCGGATTAGCCTGTATCACGGTAGCTTTCTTGATACATTCCTTTGCAGTCAAATGGGGTCTCATGCTTCAAAATGCCCTGGGAGTTGTCAAGCTTGTCATCATCGTCTTCGTCGTCGTGACCGGTTGGGTGGCTCTTGCTGGCCACATGAAGATCGACAACCCTCCCCACAACTTCACAAATGCCTTCGAGGGCACCACTGACACCGGATACGGTATCGTCATGGCTCTCTATAATGTTATCTGGTCCTTCATCGGTTATTCCAATGCCAACTATGTGAGTCCCCACAATTTGTTTCTCTCTCATGGAACGGTTGCTAAACTTCACAGGCCCTGAGCGAGACCAAGAACCCTACCCGCACCCTGAAGATCGCAGCCCCAATCGCTATTTGTTCCGTGGGCATTCTTTACATGCTATGCAACATCGCATACTTTGCTGCAGTGCCCAGAGAGCAATTCTTGTCGTCTGGTCAGACAGTTGCTGCCGCTTTCTTCGGCAACATGTTTGGTGCGCGGGCAGAGAAGGTTATGTCCGTCTTTGTCGCTTTGTCGGCGTTCGGTAATGTCTTATCTGTGATCTTCTCGCAAGGACGAAGTACGTAAACCCCACCTAAGTCGGTTCTAGAAGACAAGTTGCCTAACAATGGTTGCAGTTGTTCAGGCTCTGGGTCGTGAGGGAGTTCTGCCCTTGTCGAAGTTTTGGGCCAGTAACCGGCCGTTCAACTCGCCAGCCACTGGTCTTTTCGAGCATTGGGTGGTGTCTGTCATCATTCTTCTGGCGCCCCCTCCCGGCGACGCTTATAACTTTTTGGTCAAGTGAGTATCTGCCACACTTTCTCTGGCCTTGCTATTTGATGCTGACTTGGCATGTCTCTAGCCTTATCACGTATCCCTTGTCTATTGTCAACGTGTTTGTGTCTGCTGGCTTGATCTACATTTATCTGACCAAGGCGAAGAAGTTCCCGGATTGGGCCCCAGGCATCCGCGCCACCCTACCGGTCACCATCTTCTTCTTCCTGTCGAATGTGTTCTTGGTGGTCGCCCCCTACATCCCGCCCAGCGCGGGTCAAAGTGTGTATCAGAGCCTTCCGTATTACCTGCATTGCGTGGTGGCATTGGGTATCTTCGCGCTTGGTGCCATCTACTATGTGGTGTGGGCGGTTCTGATGCCCCGTTTCGGAGGATACATACTGGTCAAGGAATCTGTGATTGACGCCGACGGCTGGTCCAGAAGCGTGTTCACTAAGATGCCTATAAACCAGGCTGCGCAGCTCTCTGAACCGCAGCACTAGACGCGCCCGCGCGTTTGTTTGGGTCCGCGAGGTTGGGTCCGAGCAACAACCGGAGCCCAAATCGTCGAGACTTTCTTTGTTGCTTGATGCTTTATGAGGAACGATTCAACATCATAGCCGCTTCTGGCATAATCACAATGTTTTAATACCTTATTTCGTCACATTCCTGCGGAGTTATTTCACGGACGGGGTTTGTCGATTTTTACACGGGATGGAAGCAGCAAACATGGTTCGGCACTTTCTTTTTAGTATTTCATTCAACATTCGATTCTGTTATACTATACTTGATCATTCGAGAAATAGACTCCATGGCTAGAGTGGCGTTGCGCTACCATACTTCACAGAATAAATGTCCCAGACCTCTATGGAAGCCCATTCACGGGAAGGGCACGACTGACGCGTACCCCAAATCATGAACCCCTCAAACTGGCTGGAGCACCGTCTGGCAAGCACCACCGGCCCCGGAGGGCCAGCGGAACCGCCGTAGACCATCAGAGAATGGGGTTCACGGCGGTGGTTGGCTTGCGTAGAATTATGAATGAGGGGAAGGAGAGGAGAGGAAAACCGAGCAGCAATAAATAATTGAATGGGAGAATTGAGCAGTCTCATGTGATGCGGAGAAGCCCTGGCGCTGTCCAGCCCTGAAGAGTTATCGAATGAGGCATAGTGCCATTTGCCAATGACCGTAATACGGGCGTCACAATACAGCAGCCTCAGAGCCCTCACCGCCTGCTCTTCTCGACAGGGGGAAATTCTTCCGTCTTTTGCCTTTCTTTCAGTCATTGTCTGAAAGAGAATCCAAGAAGGAATTATTGCTCTCAATCCATGCACAGCACAATTGCTCTTGTTTGAGTTGGCTCTAATCCCCGGTCACTCTCCTCATTCGTTGTTTGGGCATTCCTGCCTCGGTTGAGCTTCGTCAATTCCCAGTTCTTCGCAATCCCGTCTCTTATCCGTTCAGTCATAAACATTATGCGACGCTTTACCTCAGCCCGACGGTTACCGCTCCTTCGCCGGTGCTCCGCTGCCAGCAACAGCAGCATCAGACCCTCCGCCTCTGCTGCTGTTGCTGCGCTCTGCCCCTCCTCCCCCTCCCCCTCCTCCTCTACTTTACCTTCTCTCTCCACTCATTCTTCCTCTATCTCTTCTCTCTCTTCTTTCACTTCGGCCTCGTCCTCCTCCCCATCCCTCACTGCTACACCTCCTTCCGCTCCCGTTATTCGTCGGTCACCTCTTCGCTCTACTACCCTTCCCAAGCTCCAGAAACGTTATTGCTCTTGTCGCAGGATGTGTGGAACACGTCGTGGAGAAGTGTCGGGCTCGACCAACATCACCCACGGTCGTGAGGTCCTCCCCACCAACGTCAAGCCCCTTCACTATGACTTGACTCTCGAGCCCAACTTCGAAGCTTTTAGCTATGACGGCACTGTCGTCATTGAGTATGTGCTCCCTCCCCCACATCCGTTCTTATTGCTGCGCCGCTGGGTGAGCTGAAGCTTGAGCTGACACGGGGTTGTAGCCTTCAGGTCACCGAAGATACCAATTCCATCTCCCTCAACTCCAACGAGATTAAGATCCACAATGCCGTCGTCTCTGCCCAAGGCTCTGTCGTTGCTTCTCAGCCCGAGGTTTCCATCAATCAGGACACCCAGGTGGCTACCGTCAAGTTCTCTGAGACCATCCCCGCTGGCTCCTCTGCCCAGCTGAAGCTGACCTTCACTGGTGTGCTTAACGATAATATGGCCGGTTTCTACCGCTCCTCCTACAAGACCGCCGATGGTGAAACCAAGTACATTGCTACTACGCAGATGGAACCCACCGATGCTCGCCGGGCCTTCCCTTGCTTTGACGAGCCAGCACTCAAGGCCAAGTTCACCATCACTCTGGTCGCGGACAAGAGTATGACTTGCTTGAGCAACATGGATGTTGCTTCTGAGTCCGAGGTCGACGGCGGTAAGAAGGCGGTCAAGTTCAGCACCTCTCCGCTCATGTCTACCTACCTCGTCGCTTTCATTGTCGGCCACCTGAACTATATTGAGACCAACGCGTTCCGCATTCCGATCCGCGTCTATGCAACCCCTGATCAGGACATTGAGCACGGGCGTTTCTCGCTCGATCTGGCTGCCCGCACCCTGGCCTTCTATGAGAAGGCGTTCGACAGTGAATTCCCCCTGCCCAAGATGGACATGGTGGCTATTCCTGACTTCAGCGCTGGCGCTATGGAGAACTGGGGTCTAATCACCTACCGTATTGTTGATGTTCTGTTGGATGAGAAGACCAGCGGTGCGGCCCGTAAGGAGCGCATCGCGGAAACCGTCCAGCACGAGTTAGCTCATCAGTGGTTCGGGAACTTGGTCACCATGGACTTCTGGGATGGTCTCTGGCTCAATGAGGGCTTTGCTACTTGGATGTCTTGGTACTCCTGTAACGCCTTCTATCCCGAATGGAAGGTCTGGCAGACTTACGTTATCGATAACCTGCAGAGCGCTCTGTCTTTGGACTCGCTCCGCAGCAGTCACCCCATTGAGGTGCCTGTGAAGCGGGCCGACGAGATCAACCAGATCTTCGACGCTATCTCCTACTCCAAGGGCTCGTCCGTCCTGCGCATGATCTCCAAGTACATGGGCGAGGACGTGTTTTTGCAGGGTGTCCGCAACTACATCAAGAAGCACGCTTACGGTAACACCCAGACGGGTGATTTGTGGTCTGCTCTGGCCGATGCTAGTGGCAAGCCCGTTGAGCAGGTCATGGACATCTGGACCAAGAATGTGGGATTCCCCGTCGTTACTGTCTCTGAGGATGCAAAGACTTCGTCCATCAAACTCAAGCAGAACCGCTTCCTGCGTACGGGCGATGTCCGCCCTGAGGAGGACACCACACTCTATCCAGTCATCTTGGGTCTGCGGACCAAGCAGGGCCTCGATGAAGACACCATGCTCAGCGAGCGGGAAGGCGAGTTCAAGGTCCCTGATCTCGACTTCTTCAAGCTCAACGCGGATCACTCCGCCATCTATCGCACGTCCTACACTCCGGAACGCCTCACTAAGCTGGGACAAGCTGCCAAAAATGGCCTGCTGACTGTTGAGGACCGTGCTGGTATGATCGCCGACGCGGGTGCGCTTGCTGCATCTGGTTTCCAAAGCACTTCCGGGCTTCTGTCTCTCTTGAAGGGATTCGACAGCGAGTCGGAGTTCGTCGTGTGGAACGAGATCCTTACTCGCATTGGTGCTCTTCGGGCCGCTTGGTTGTTCGAAGATGCCTCCAGCAAGGATGCCCTCAAGGCTTTCCAGCGTTCCCTGGTTAGCGAGAAGGCCCATGAGCTCGGCTGGGAGTTCTCCGACAAGGATGGACACATCCTGCAGCAGTTCAAGGCTCTTATGTTTGGTAGCGCCGGCTCGGCCGAGGATCCTGTCGTCGTCAAGGCGGCTCACGAGATGTTCGAGCGGTTTGCGGCCGGTGATGCGAACGCCATCCACCCTAACATCCGTGGCAGCGTTTTCAGTATCGTGCTGAAGAAGGGCGGCGAGAAGGAGTACAACATCGTTTTGGACCGGTTCCGCAACGCTCCGACCTCCGATGAGAAGACCACCGCCCTCCGCTGCCTTGGTGCGGCCGAGGACCCGGCTCTGATCAAGCGCACCCTGGAACTGGCCAGCGGGGACGAGGTCAAGAACCAGGACATCTACATGCCCCTGAGTGGCCTGCGCAGCCACACCAACGGTATCGAGGCCCGCTGGACCTGGTTGACGAATAACTGGGATTCCATCTTCAAGCGCCTGCCCCCATCTCTGGGTATGCTGGGCACTGTCATCCAGCTGAGCACGGCCAGCTTCTGCACGGAGGCGCAGCTGAAGGAGGTTGAGGCATTCTTCAAGGCCAAGGACACCAAGGTAATCACTATTCTGCCTTGCCACTTATTTGATTCCACTTTACTGACATCCCTCATCAGGGTTTCGACCGTGCCGTCGAGCAGAGCCTGGATGCCATTCGTGCCAAGGTCAATTGGGTCAAGCGCGACCGTGCTGATGTGGGATCCTGGTTGAAGACCAACGGCTACCTGCAGGGTGGTAAGCTGTGAGCAACACATCTCCTTCGCATCTCCGGAGTAGTGGCAACTCCTCGCGATTGCGGATTCGGACGCAGGACCCTGCCAGGGTTTTACACATACGCCTTCATCAGTTGTAGTATAATTCTTTCTTTTCTGGACAGATAGTACATTGATTCGGTCTTCTTCATTAAGGCCCTTCCAAAGATACCAAATATAACAGCACTCTTCACTCCAACCTATGCTTTCCATGTCATGACACCTTCTGCTACTTCTTCGACGTGCATGCGTAATCAAGACAGCGACCGCTGTACTGGGATAGCCATCGGGCACGCTTGGTGGGCACGTGATTGGTAGCCGGACACCACCCCGTAATCCGGCAAATGTATGTGACAAGAGGAACGGCGGTAATAGAACAAAGCCCTTTTATGTCAGGCTGGAATATATTTCACAGAAGAATCTTCAATTACAGTACTCCTTGGTCTCAACGACATTTGGAAGTGATATGTCATGAGATAATAGAAGGCTCAAGTATGTGCAACAACAAGCGTAAGCCGTCAAGAGCGAACAGTAGTAGCAAGTGAAGCTGACCAGGAACACTACAAGCACGAGCCGAGCTATAGACATGGAAAGTACACGGTGACACAAGATATGGGTATACGTGTTCACTTCGAGGGGAAAACAAAGGAGAAAAAGTGCTACTACCTGCTATCACCAAACATAATCCCAAAGGCGATCCAACCAGCTCGGAACTTCAAATCCGAGCACAGTACGTCTGGGCTGCTGATACCACGGCCACAACCATGACCACGACGAAGACCGGGGACGCGAGGCTGTCCAGCGGCCGAGATACCACCTCTGGGGTCTGCCGCCTAAACTTTGTTTCTTGATGGTCTCGACAATGCGGTCAAATATACGATCGCGCTGCTGCAGTTGGCGGGCCCGTTTCGTGGCCCGCCAGTCCATTTGCTCGGATGGGTCCAGACACCAGACCACGATATCGCCCTGACGACGCCAGTCATCATGCCAATCGGTGTTATGAGTACGCCAGCATTCGTCGTATGAGGAACTGCGAAGCAGTTTCTTGAGCGTAGGTTCCATTTGGGCAAAAAAGATAAGGTAATCAGGCCAGTCGTGCTTGGAAATCTTCTCGGACTGTTGAGACGAGCGGGGCCGTTCAGGGACCTCATAGCTCGGTCTCCGGGGAAAATAGCCTAACCCACCGGCCATATTGGCACGCAGGAATCCGGAAGGGTCATCGTAGAATTGATCAGCTTCGTCCCGATACACGGCCTTTTCGGTCGCATTCATGCCAACGGGAGGCTCGCAGGACAATGCCCAGGCATTGATGGAGGGGTAAATTATGTGTGATCGCCAGGGGGTGCTGTGACATGGCATGAGGAAGCCAGCGGTGATGCCCGGCCCATTAATATTGCCCATGTTTCTAGAGCCGTGGAGCTGCCGCTGGTCTCGGAGGTATGAAAGCACGGCATTGGGCCCAGATGCATGATATGTGGTGGTATAAAGCCCGATGAAAATGTTGACTAGCAAGAGAAACACCAGAAGAAGCCGTCGAGGAATGTGCTTGCCACTTGACTGTGTTACCGCGGGTCCGAAAAAGTCCACCAGGACTGGGCCAGTCAAGACATGCAGCGCTGGCAGCAACGGGTAGATAAATCGCACCTCCTTGTGAGAGATCAGTGAGAGTATAAGAGGCAAGAGAAGGCAGATGTAGTTCAATTGAATTTGCATTTGGGTCTGCGTTTGAACTTGCAGGTTAGTGTTGTCAGCTGCATCCGAGCGTGTCCAAACACGATATAAGCCCACAAGAGTGAAAGGGAGCGCAGTGGTGAGTAGCAAAGGGTACCCTTGGGAAAGGTAGTAATGCCAATCATTGCCCCCATAGAATACAGCTAGAGATTGGGCAATGTTGAAGTAAAGAAAGCGGAGAGGCGGTAACGTCCAAGTTCCATAAAACAGTCGATCTGCCACGACTGATACAGCTAGAACTGCAGAGCTATAGGAGGTTTTAGTGTAGATTCATGATGCAGCTTGAAGACGGCTCACCCCCAAATGCCAGCCTCACGAGCTAGAAGTCTCCTTCGCGCCCAAGTGCTGCGATGCAACACAACACTTGCTAAAACCAGCCAGATCAAGATGTTGGTGGGCCGCAGGATACAAGCCAGAGCTGCGAGCGGGAGACAACGTCTCAGCCTTTTCGCCAGATTTGTACGTTAGCCATCCACTCGTGCATACTAAATCTGACGAAGAGCATAACATACCTCTCTAGAACCACCTCATCGTGTTGAGCCCGTTGGCCCTCAATGACCACGTCCCAGGGCCTGGGAATTATCCGGCCAGTTGTCCTGGGTTGGGCGGTCGGCTTTGGGGCTACCGACCATTCCCACGGCCACAAATTGAGAGCAACAGCGGTGAGTGTTGTCTCCAGGCAGTTGGACAGTGTCCTAGTAGAACAAAACCATTGCCAAGGGCTAAGAGCGGTCAGCGCCAGCTGAGTTCCCGATTAGCTTTCCGCGCTGCACATGTCAAGTAGTAATCTGATACGTACTACGGCTGAGGCCTCTGGACTGGCTAGGCCGTAGACACAGCGAGCTAACTTCCAGGTATAATAGTCTCCGAGTGCTGCGATAACGGCCTGCGCCGCCTTCGGGGCGGCAATGAGAACATCTGCCTGCCATGCAAGAGGGAGATGCAGAGCGCGCGCGAGCCCGCTGGCGGCGGAATACACAACGGTGAAGAGTAGAGGATGAAGCGAGGATCTCAGCTGGTGCCGCCACTCCTGTGAGATGACACCATGTGGTGAAGCTATTAGTCAACAAATCGGGCCGGAGATGTGGTATGAGCGAACGATAGTGCTGAAGTTGGAGGGTGGGAAAGGGAAGCGATGCCGTAAGGGTGCAGATGGGATCCGCCAATAGCGGAAGACAAAGAACGGGTGGAAGGAGGGGACTTACCCAAGTGATCCATGCCCCGTGATCCGGACCAAAGGCGGCCTGCCAGGCTGGTTCCAAAGACTGGAAGTATTCATCGGGTTGGAAAAAGGTGCGGGTAGTTAAGGCATTTACAAGACGAAAGGCAAGCAAGGAGAGGAAGAGGGGCAGAGTCTCGGGCGGAGAAGGGAGGAAGGGAAAGCGAGGCGGAGAGGAAGAGGGAGTTCGCGGTCGGAGTTCGCGAGGCAAGTACAAAGGGCCATCGGGGTCATCCGAAGGAAAGCCAGAGCCCAGCGAGATGGAAGAAGAAGAGGAGGAGGAGGAGGAGGAGGAGGAGGCTTTTGATCGGCCTGACATATTGTGCTGGTGGAGACCTGGTCAGGGACGCGATGATATGATCCCCAGATTGTGGGAAATAGAGTTATGGAAATGACGGCAATGGATGATAAATGATGTTGCTGTTGATCTTGTTGTTATTGTGATGTAATTGAGCCGACACTAAACGGTGGGCTGCAGGAGAGTAACACTGCTGGAAGTTAGGTACTCGTACTTGATGCTTTTGGCGATAAGGATCGATCACCAATCACCGCGCAACCGATAAGGAGTGGCGTAGCGTGGGACGCATCAGCGATGAGGTGTAGTTGAGTCGTTGTAATGCAATGAGCGTCACTGGATTGACTGGGTTCAAAAGGGAGGATTTGCAAAGTGGACAAAAGTGGACAAAGTGGACAAAGTGGACACTGGAACAGACAAAAAGTGGATCGAGCTTCACCCTATTCCGGGGCTTAGTCAGAGAGATACAAACCACCCCCGGGTACACCTGCGCTTAGAGGTCATCCGCGTAGACTTGCACTTAGGAGTCTAGTTCCAACTCCGCAGAATCTCCATCTGCACCAATTCTGCCTCTTGGTTATGTTCGTCTTCGTTTTCCTCTGTCCATTGCTCCTCGGCCGGTGAACAATTCCTTTTTCCCCCACCTCTTCGCCTGTTGTTTGCCTCGCTACATTTGCCTGTTTGTGCCCACCCGCGCATTCCTATATCTTCCCTCGTCTGACCCGCTCCTCAACTCTTCCTTTCTTCTCTGCTTCCTCCTCATACCTCAACCCTCTTTTCTTCTTGCCTCATAATACAATCAAACTTTTCTCATCCCCTTTATCAGTTGTCTTCCACCATGGCCACCAAAGCCACTAAGGGCATCAAGCCTGCCAACGGCTCCAACGGTGCCGACGGCGTCCATTCCTACCACGCCGCCACCACTCAGGAGGCTATTAGTGCTGAGAAGGCTTTTGCTGCTCACAATTATCATCCTCTGCCCGTTGTCTTTGCCCGTGCCCAAGGAACCACAGTCTGGGACCCCGAGGGTCGGGAGTACTTGGATTTCCTGTCTGCATACTCGGCCGTCAACCAGGGTCACTGTCACCCCAAGCTGGTAGCCGCGCTTGTGGAGCAGGCATCTCGCTTGACCCTCAGTTCTCGTGCCTTTTATAACGATGTCTTTCCCCGCTTCGCTGAATTTGTCACCAAGTTCTTCGGCTTTGACATGGTCTTGCCCATGAACACTGGTGCGGAGGCTGTCGAGACTGGTATCAAGATCGCTCGAAAGTGGGGTTATAAGGTGAAGGGGATTCCCGAGAACCAGGCACTCGTTCTGAGTGCGGAGAACAATTTTCACGGACGCACAGTAAGTGGGCGGGCGAAACATCCCCCCAAGAACAGGGAATTAGTAAAAGGAGCTAACCTGACTGTGAACAATAGTTTGCCGCTATTTCGTTGTCGTCGGACCCCGAGTCGCGCGAAAACTATGGCCCCTATCTCCCCGGTATCGGGTGCACCATTCCCGGAACGGACAAGCCCATTGCCTACAACGACAAGGCGGCTCTGCGGGAGGCCTTCGAGAAGGCGGGCCCAAACTTGGCCGCTTTCTTGGTGGAGCCAATTCAGGGCGAGGCGGGTATCGTGGTTCCCGACGAAGATTACCTGCAAGAGGCTAGAGCCCTGTGCGATAAGCACAATGTTCTATTGATTTGCGATGAGATCCAGACTGGCATTGCCCGCACCGGTAAATTGCTCTGCCACGAGTGGAGCGGAATCAAGCCTGACATGATTTTGCTGGGCAAGGCCATCTCCGGTGGCATGTACCCCGTGTCTGCTGTTCTGGGTCGCAAGGATGTTATGCTCACTATTGAGCCTGGCACTCACGGATCCACATATGGTGGTAATCCCTTGGCCTGTGCGGTCGCTATCCGCGCTCTAGAGGTTATCCAGGAAGAACAAATGGTCGAACGTGCTGAGAAGCTTGGTCATGTTTTCCGCGACGGACTGTTGGCCATTCAGAACCCTATTATTCAAACGGTGCGGGGCAAGGGCTTGTTGAACGCGATTGTCATTGACGAATCGAGGACTAATGGTCGCACCGCGTGGGATCTCTGCATGCTGATGAAGTCCAAGGGTCTGCTGGTACGTTCCAACCCATCCGTCTCATTTGGAATCAATAGTGGCGATTTGCTGACTGTATCGATTAGGCCAAACCTACTCACCAGAATATTATTCGTCTTGCACCTCCCTTGGTCATCACAGAAGAGGAAATCCAGAAGGCTCTGGACATTATCAAGGAGTCAGTTGGAGAACTGCCCACTCTTACCGGTGAGGTTGAGGATGAGATCATTCCTCCACCCGAGAAGAAGGTCAAGGTTACCCTTGAAAACTAAAAGCCGAAACGCAAGGAGAACATGATCAGCCAAGTTCTCGAGCAGAGTCGATGATCTGTTCATTCACGAGCTGTCACGGGGCCTGGTTATTGTCGACGTCCAAGTCCTAGCTCATCCTCACTCAGGACTTGAATGTGTCCAAGCTCACTGGTGCCCGGAGCCCTTTGTCGCTCGCTTCTGGCGACCTGAGAGGTTTCCCCGTCACGATCCGCGACAACAGGATGTCTTCATTGGAGGCGCATTATTCTGGCTGGATAGTGGACTGGCGAGACGGGCAAATCTCGTGGCAGATGACGACCTGTAATGATTTTCGATGACATTAAAAGCAGTGCGTAGCAACAAAATTGAAAGCAGCACTTTTTTCTCCATGGAAGCTCTCAAAAAATATTCTACGTAGCGTCGGCTGATCCTTATAATAAATCATGTTGTGCGCGCGGGTGGAGGGGCTTGATTTGTAGACCCCGTGTCCTTCAGCTGCCACCCCCTCTTTCTTTCCCCTCTTCGACCAACACCTCGCATTAATCCCTCATTCTGCTATTGATTTCTACCTAGCACAGTTTTCGCCTAGTGCAATGTAAATCCTGGTCTAACTAGACACAAAAAAGGGCTCTTCTTGATCAGGAGTTCTTCATGTTCATGGCCTTCGGACTCGACGTCTGATATGTCATCCTCTGCGCGCATCCAAGGGGTGAGTTTCATATGAATTGGTGTTACACAGATTGCGAAAATAACGACCCATTATAATTGCTAATGACTCTATCTCATCTCCACAGACCGATGTATCGGCGATGCTGTGATCCGCGGATCCGATTGATATTGCTCTCAATTGAAAAAGCCGATCTGCAAGGGTGCAAGGAGAGTATTTCATCAAGTACTGCGGCAACATTCCTAAGAACGTGATCGTCGGATTTATGCAATGCAAGGAGCCTATATGGGTTGCACTTTGCTACTAGAGAGCAGGGACAAGCCCAGTTAATGCGTTTTGTTGCTCGTGCTTCGAGAACGTTTTGAAAACGCAAATACCCCTAGATCCAATCAATGCCCACGCCGTCAGCCTAGCCCCTGCCATGAATCTTTCCATCTTCCATTTCATTGCTCGAAGATGTAAAGACAGGGTACGGGGACTTCCAGTTCACTTCAAAAATTCAACAGGCTGGATTACAACTAATCACAGCACTAGGACTAACCTATATATATCGAACTACTCCGTTCTTTTGTGGCTTTGAGAGTTGAAATCAAAAAGGGCCTGGCCAGCTTCCCACAAGTCTATCAAAGTCAGAGAACGAGGCCAATCAATGGTGGCCGGTTATTTATCTCTGAACAGGAACCCCTCTTTTCTGGCATAACCGGTTTTCTTCTTCTCATTTCCGACGGTTGCCACGGTCGCATATAATTATATTACAACGCAATGCATGCTCTATCGACGTGAAGCTGTCCGCTTGGTAAATCTTCTCAACGGCCGTTGTCGAGGGCGCACCAACTTTACCTCTACAATTACGCGGGCGTTTATCCGCATTGCCCTACTTAATGCAAACTGCTCCGGACAGTTATTCAAGAGTTTGAATACTGCGCTGCTAGAGGAATCACCATGAGCCGAGATGAGAAGATGAAGCATGGGTCCGTCTTGGTCAATGAAGATGGAACAGGGCAATTGACAGAACGTGCAACGTCCTCTCGATCGACGCAGCTGGACAGTGAAAACGAAAAGCAGAACAAGGACCAGAGGGCACCAGTCCAAACTGCACGACGAAGTTTCAATCCGTTGCGACTTCAGAAGATCCCCCCAGTGCCAGAGGAAAGAGGAGTTTGCAAGGAGTACGGAGCCAACTTCCTCAGTCGTGTCACATTCCAATGGGTCGCGCCTTTGATCAAGGTTAGTTTACCAATTTTCCCGATCACTCGTACATAGTGTGCTAACAATGTTCAATAGACCGGCTACCTGCGCCAGTTAGAGATCCAAGATATTTGGTCAGTCAATCCGGATAGAAAAGTGGACCTTATGACGGCCAGGTTCGATATTGCACTGAAACAACGAATGGAAAGGGGCTCCAATAAGCCACTTATTTGGGCTCTATTCGACACATTCAGGCGTGATTTCATCGTTGGTGGTATATGCCAGGTGGTGAGCATGATACTCGCCGTCGTGACACCATATCTTGTCAGAAACTTAACTAGCTATGCAATGGATGCATATGCCGCCCATCACGGCAATCATCCCAAGCCCGATCTTGGCCGCGGCCTAGGAATCGCCTTCGGAATTCCTGTCATGCAAGCAGTACAAACTCTATGCTTAAGCCAGGCTTTCTATCACGGAATGTTATCGGGTGGCCAGATTAGAGCGGTGCTTGTCTCTGTGATATACACCAAGGCGATGAAGTTATCGGCTCGTGCGAAAGCCGGGAGCGGATTGTCACCTGCACGCAACAATAAACGCATGAAAGGTCCCCCGCGGCAGACTATGCGGGGAGGCCATGGCACTAATGGGGGCAATGGCTGGGGTAGCGGGCGCATAATCACTTTAATGGGTGTGGATGTGGACCGTATCGACAGAGCGTGTGGGCTGATTCACATGCTTTGGACTACCCCTATCGTTCTGGGAGTAGCCTTGATCTTCATGGTCATCAATATCGGCTACAGTGCGCTTCCTGGCTACGGACTGGCAGTATTCGGAGCGATTGTGCTGGCATACTGTGTCAAGTCCCTTATCACGCTCCGAAGAGCAGTAAACAAGATCACTGACCAGCGAGTGTCTTTGACACAAGAGATTCTCTCAAGCGTCAAGTTTGTCAAATTCTTCGGTTGGGAAAGCAGCTTTCTGGAACGACTGGAGGATACGCGCAAACGCGAAATCAGTTCTATCCGACGGCTACTGGTTATCCGACATGCCATAACAGTGAGCATGCTTTCGCTACCAGCATTGTCTTCGATGTTGTCTTTCATTACTTATGCATTAACGAATCATGCTCTGTCTCCTGACCGCATTTTCTCGTCGTTGGCCTTGTTCAACGCTCTCCGAATGCCGCTGGCGATCCTGAACCTCGCAATGACGCAGGCAACCGATGCCTGGACTGCCCTCGGCCGTATTCAAGAATTCTTGCTGGCCGAAGAACGCGAAGAAAGCATTATTTGGGATTCTACGATGGCAATGGCTGTTGAGGTTGAACGTGCTTCTTTCACATGGGAGAGTGTGCGCGACTCTACGGAAACATCAGCACACTCCCGTCCAACACATGCTGCCATCACTTCTGCCAAGTCAGAGCCGGCACCAGCCCATGCTCTTTCCGAGAAGGAGATTGACCTCAAACTTCCATTCCAACTGAAGGATATGAGCTTTGAGATCAGTCGCGGTGAGTTGATTGCAGTTATCGGGCCTGTAGGCAGTGGAAAAACTTCACTCCTGGCAGCCTTAGCAGGCGATATGCGACAAACTACAGGAACTTTACGGATGGGGGTCACTCGTGGGTACTGCCCACAGTATGCCTGGGTACAGAATACCACAGTTCGCAACAACATCCTATTCGGAAAGGAATATGATGAGGCTCGATACAACCAGGTGATTGATGCATGCGCACTTCGTTCGGATCTGGCGATGTTTCCGGACGGCGATCAAACTGAAGTTGGTGAGCGTGGCATCACTATTTCGGGCGGCCAGAAGCAGCGACTAAACATTGCGCGGTCTATCTATTCAGACTCAGAGCTCGTCCTCATGGATGATCCTCTGTCGGCGGTTGATGCGCACGTAGGACGTCACATCATGGATAAGGCCATTTGCGGACTTCTCAAGCACCGATGCCGAGTGTTAGCAACCCATCAATTGCACGTGCTTGGGCGTTGCGACCGCATTATTGTTATGGAACATGGGAAGATCAACGCGATTGGAACATTCGACAATTTGATGCAGTCGAGTGACGTCTTCAAGCGGCTAATGTCAATAACATCCCAACAAGACGCTTTGGATTCAGAACCATCGAGCACCAGCGCTACTACCGATGAGAAGCCGGAAACTGCGCGCAGAGTCCCAGGGGGTGCCTTGATGCAAAAAGAGGACATGGCAACTGGCTCTGTTGGCTGGGACGTGTTGAGAACATATATAAAGGCATCAGGGTCGTATCTCAATGTTCTTGTCTCATTGTGCCTAATCCTTATTGTCAATGGCGCGTTGGTGATGTCGGGGCTTTGGTTGTCATTTTGGACTTCTAACAGGTTTTCTAGTTTAAGCACAGGTCAGTACGTGGGGATTTACATCGCGGTCTGTTGTAGCCAGTTCATCGCAATGTATGTCTTCGCGGCGCATGTGACTATTGTCGGCGCCAACGCCAGCAAGAAGATGCTTCAACGTGCAATGTATCGGGTTTTACGAGCACCTATGTCCTTCTTCGACACCACGCCCATGGGTCGTATCACAAACCGTTTTTCGAAGGATGTGCAAGTGATGGACAGCGATCTACCCGATTCAATTCGATTGTTCTCCTTGACATTGTCACAGATCACATCCACGATTGCGATGGTGATTGCTTTCTACTACTATGTGAGTGACTCGGACGACTATGATCTGCATTGTTCTGACCATAATATCGCTAGTTTGCTATTGCACTGGGGCCTTTGATTCTCCTATTCATCTTTGCCGCGAGCTACTACCGTGCGTCGGCCCGCAATCTCAAGCGCCACGAAGCAGTCCTTCGTTCAGGGGTTTTTGCTCGGTTCGGCGAGGCCATCGCAGGTTCTGCGTGCATTCAAGCATACAAAGCCGAGGAGCACTTCAAACGGTCTATTCATAGAGCCATTGATGAGATGAACGGCGCCTACTTCTTGACTTTTGCCAACCAACGGTGGCTTGGAGTCCGATTAGATCTGATTGGCACGTTGCTAACTCTGGTGACGAGTCTCCTTGTTGTGACTTCACGCTTGGATGTCTCGCCCAGTATTGCGGGTCTGGTCTTGTCATATGTGGTTTCGATAACCCAGAGCTTTACGTTCACTGTGCGACAATTCGCCGATGTGGACAATAACATGAACGCGGCCGAGCGCGTGAACCATTATGGCACGCAGCTGGCGGAAGAGGCTCCTCTTCGCCTGACCGATGTTGGACCTGATTGGCCCTCTGCTGGTCGCATCACATTTACTGACGTGCAGATGCGCTATCGAGCCGGACTCCCTTTGGTCCTTAAGGGACTTTCCATGGACATCCAAGGCGGGGAACGCATAGGTATCGTAGGCCGCACAGGTGCGGGCAAGTCCAGCATCATGGCCGCTTTGTTCCGGTTGACGGAGCTTTCAGGGGGTAAAATTCATATTGATGGGGTCGACATCGCCACGATCGGATTATACGATCTTCGTACACGGCTATCGATCATCCCGCAGGATCCGACCCTGTTTAAAGGAACGATCCGCTCCAACTTGGACCCATTCCATGAGCACACTGACCTTGAACTTTGGTCTGCGCTACGTAAAGCGCATCTGGTACAAGACCAGGATGTTTCAGACGAGGAAAGCATCGATAAAAGCACCGCGATACCCGTGCCGGCCGACACGAGTCACGCCACCGTGCAGAAACGTCTGCACCTGGATACCGTGGTGGAAGAAGACGGACTAAACTTCTCGCTCGGGCAAAGACAGCTGATGGCGCTGGCACGAGCTCTGGTGCGCGACTCGCGCGTGATTGTTTGCGACGAGGCAACCTCGTCCGTGGATTTCGAGACGGACCAGAAGGTCCAGGAGACGATGGCGCATGGGTTCGAGGGCAAGACCTTGCTGTGCATCGCGCATCGCTTGCGCACGATCCTGAATTACGACCGCATCTGCGTTATGGGCCAGGGAAGCATAGTTGAGATGGACACGCCGCTGCGGCTGTGGAAGGCGGGGGGTGTGTTTCGAGACATGTGTGATCAGAGCGGGATCACTCGGGAGGACTTTTTCAATTGAGCAACTGCTCTCTTGTTGGTGTTCATATGATGTGGCATAGACCGACGGGTCCATAGATAAATTATTCTGTCGCAAGGATCTTGATCAAGGCTGCGGCTGCTTTAGGCATGACTATATGAACTCCCGGACGAGCCAGCTCGTCTGGTTGCATATGCTCTCTCTAAATCACAGATCGTCCACTTTCTGAAAGCGCGATAGGCTAGACCTCACCTTCTGGGACCAAGACTGACAGATCTAAGTCATCTATAGCTCTCCTAGGCTGCGAGTACAGTACAGTGTAATTTACTCCTTTTCCAAGACATCCCACCATCCTCTCAGCTCAGTGATGCCCTGATGCATGGGTTCGAAAGAAGGACTGTCCGATCTACGACGATCGAGGCACCCAGAAATCAACTTTGCTGAGATGGACAATGTGTCTTCCCCCTTCCCTGCAACCTTCGATCCAGTATCCGCGGACGGTAATCATTTCCCCGACTACCGGGCACTAACAGCACTACTTATACTCCAAGGTTGCCATACGCGGGCATAGTCATCGAACACACCGTGACCCCCCCCCCAAAAAAAGACTAACCATAAGCCTCGAATTCAGACTTACTCTATTAACAATCGGGATGCTCATTACCACGGACGCAGATACCTAGGACGTCGTGGCCATTTCCCATCTCCGGAGAAAGGTACCTACCCAGCCGGCCGAATGTTATATTCATAGGCTATACTTAGTGGCATCGGGAGCATGGTGACGCCATAGAGACGAATCCGCTTGTAGTACTACCAAACTCAAAGAAATCACTGAGGAGGAAATTGAAGAGTAAAACTGAGAGAATAAAGCTGAGAAAACAGCTTCGATGCGCGGTACTATACATCCCGCGAGGCAGGCAAAGTCATGCATGCCTAAGAACGTTAGGTGCTCGACGGCTGGCTGTACAGTACCTTTGCTCTCTGGAGAAGGGGGAGGGCGGAACAGGGACCAATGATGCCATCGGGTGGGCAGTTAGACTCCCAGAATGAGAGCTAGTTAAACAAGCCTACAAAAGCGACCTCTGCGCGTGGAGCGACGAAGACTGCTCGGAATGGTCGGATGTGTAGGTACATAGTACACTACTAAGCATCTGAAGGAGGGTACGGAGCCCTTGGGACGATCGTGGCACACACACTGCCCCCTCGTGTGGATGGTATTACGACACGAGAGAGGGGTACAGCAGTAAGTTAAGGGCAAGAGTTGTATGCTTGGAATGGAATGGTTCGAGCGTTGGTCTTGGGGCGTGGGCGTCTCTCACTGTTCACTACGTCCGTCGTTGGCGGGACTTTCGAGTTGTCGTTCGCCTTGCGAGGGCTTATATGTACATGTATGATGGTCATTTTCTAGCAGTCAATTGCAGGCCCAGGTATCTTCGTCCAGGCAGACAGACCCCAGGGTATTCGGCCTGGACGAATGGAGGGACTGCTAGGTGTCTTCTTTGTGGTCACTGGTTACCATGGATCCTTACCTACCTAGCAGTATCGCAATCCCCAATACCGATAACCGACTATAACTACCGGTTGCTTGCACCAAGCATGAACCGCCCACATCTCCGTCGCCTGCTACTACTTACCCAGTCGACCTTTCGAGGTTACAGTACCTGCCCGTGCGCTGCATTCGACCCGCTCGACAGTACCTTAGTACTACACCGGTACACCGGATCAAAGAAGACACTCCCTCGCTCGACTGGACGGGACCAGCCGGTTCTTCTCCTGTCGCTACTCCGCTGAAGCCACGTCCAGACCTATGAACGACGGGTCCCCATCACCACCACCACGACCACCACCAACCAAGACCCCCAAATGGAGCTTGATGATTGGGGAAGAAAGCTTTGAGCGGATAAGAGAGGAACGGGGTTCGTCCGTCTTGCCACCCCCAATCCAAGCCCGGGAAGATCCTTAGACACGTTTCGTCCGAGGCGATGATGAAGGGGAACCTGAAAGTAATATCTGGTTGCCTAAAGAAGTGGATCCAGGGACAGACGCTGGTCATCCCAACTGGAGGCTGATGAGTCGGATGCACTGAGCTTTAAATATAAGCTTATTTAGACGTTGCTTGATGCTGTACATGGTCGTTGAACAAAGGGCCGACTTCTCCATTGCTGGTGTTGGTTGAGGTTTTGCACGGATAGGACGGATGGATGGTGAGCGGATTCGGCAATGGGGTCAAGGACTAGATCAGTCACGTGCAGACAGAAAAACAGCAGAAAAAGTCCTGCCTGCCTCATTTTACCTGGTTATACAAATTTCAAAAACTGAAAATTTTGCATTGACAGAGATCTCATGAGTGAGAAAACCCCACCGAGGATTTGGACCACACTGGTATAGTAGGGCAACGGGCCACTCAGGAAGCAGAACGAGCCGGTGCAATGGGCGGGCTGCAGACCAGCCAAAGTGGAGTCCAACTCATCGTGTGACAGTAGCATTATTAATTCACACCGTGATTGTAAAGTACCTACCTACCTATACCTACTCAAGCGAGGGATGGTGACGGCTTTCGATTCCAATCAGATGACAGAACAATAGCCAGGATCGGACCACAACCAACCCTTTCTTTTGCAGGGTGTCGTCCCGTGCCCCTGCGGGCGCAAGGATCTGAGAGCAACACGGCCAGCCACGTCACGGTTGCTAATGATTCATGCTGATCAACACAGTAGTATCGCTAAACAGTCATTGTGAAGATTGTGTTGAGCTTACCACCAGCCGTCACTGTCAATCTAAGCTGCGCAAGGAAACTACAGTGAGGTAACTTACCAGGCGACGAGGTGAGCGAGGGCGAAGAAGAGAAGAAAAGACCAGAGGCATGACATGCCAGGTGATGATCGCCCGCAGTTGCTTGGGTGACGATCAATAGTTAACAATTACTCACTCATTCTACGGTAATCTCCGTCCGAGACTCCGAAGAGATCCGAGCAGTGGATGACGATCCTAAAGCCGAAACAACAATAGCCTTGAAAAGTTGGACAGAGATTTCAAAACGAAGATGAGCCGGAGTGACCCGAAGGTCTATTGTAGGGAGTACATTCTTGCTTGCTAATGGCGAGTCAGTACTCCGTAGTTACTGACTACTGAATATGAAGTAGGACTGGAAAACTTAGAAAGAAAGGAAACGGAAATACGGGAAACGAGCACGCGAGTGGGGCGGCGGACTGTTCGGCTTGTAAGTCCGAGAATTGCCTGATCGAGAGACGCGAGAGCCGTCAGAGCCGCGCCAGGGGAGGGAGGATAATGAAGGAGAATCCACCCACTGAAAATTTTCAGTCCATCACCTGCGACCGCGCGCCAATGGTTCTTCTACGGAGTACTCTTTCATGAGGGTCCTTGATCCATATTACTCTAAATAGTGAAGCAGAACCTCACACAATAGTATGCACTCTTTCGCAGTCACAAAGAGACTAGTATAATCACTGGCAGTAAGATAGTGTGACATACTTCAATGTCCGGCATGTCAAGCATTGACCGCCAAGGCTTGGTCAGCTCATGGCTTGGCGCTGCAGGAGCTTCGACCTGAACTGACGAGGTTCCACTGAGGATCTAGCTCCAAATTTTTTTCTCTTGGTGGATTTGGGAGTTCAACCTGCATAGTACGGTACTTGGAGTCTGAAAAATTGATGTAGTGATACTGCCTCCTCGTCATATATACTTATGTCCGTGACGATAGCAGCGGACAACTTCTCCGACCACCAGAACTTCAAGGAGCATAGTGTCGTGGACGATCAAGAGGGGAAAGAGGAGGTCTGTGAGGTGCAGGAAGGCCCTAGATAATGAAACTAAGGAGCTAGTTGAATTAGACCCTTTGACTCATACCAATTAACCGGGATGGGAGCTTGATTCATAAGCTAAGGGCTCCCGTCCGTATACTTGGCCAGCCCTAAGGTACTCTGACAGTACATGTCGTAAGTACTTTGGAGTTTGGAGTATGTACGAAGTACATGGAGTAGTAGGTAAGATAGTCGGTCAGTGACCAACAAAGAGATGCGCAGAGTCATCCGTCCAGTGTTCTGAGTGGTGGTGAAGCCATAGTTCGTAAAAGTCCTGCCCATTCTCCGGGTCGTCCCTCCTCTTTTGCCGTCTCCTCCCGTGCTGCTTCTTTCGACTCTTTCGACCCTTTCGACCTTTTTGACCCTCACCCTCAGCTTCCGAGACTTCCGACTTTGACTGCCAGATCCGGTGACAAGACCTCTCTGTAATCCACCCTGACTATTGCTAACTATCCATGGCAAGTCAAATGGCAAATCGGGCAAATCTGGCAAACCCATCCGTCTTATTAGGATTGCCCCCCCCCGCCAGTGCCGTTGTTCATGATATCCGTCACAGGGCGCGAAGTGGAAATTTTTCAATTACACGCTGTTGCGATGCTTATAAATTAAGCCTAGCCCCGCTCACATTCGATTTGCATGAAGAAGTGCGTCAATTGGCATGGTACCGTTTGGACAGTAGCTCTAACCGCCGTCTCTACCCATTCCATAAAAAATCCACTTGACCCCTCTCTCTTTTCTCCCAGATCTTTTCTGTACTTGGTCCCTATACAAGAATCTCGTTTCACTGTTCGATTGTGCAGGTGATAGTGGCCCTCCCTTGCGAACTGTTCAACCCCTCCAGTCGTGACTTCATTGTTAAGTATCTATAATGGAAACGCAAACCGTCTTGGCATCGCGCGAATCCGGACGGAGCTCCGAGAGCAGCTCTCTAGATGCCGTCGCCAACGAGAAACAGAAACTGGCGGCGCACGACAGCTTGCCAGACCTGACCAACTCGGCCTCTCCGAAAAGATGGAAGACCTTCTGGAAGTCTTTCCGGTATCTGCACAATCTGACGCCCAAGCAGGTGGATGACTTTATGGCTTCCTACGTCATCTACAACCTCGACTGGTCAGATGAAAAGCAGATGGTCGAGACCCTAGGCCCGAATTATCAGGCCAAAGTTGGGGACTGCCTCAAGGCATACTATGGAGTCCTCAACCACCTGTGTGCGCTAGGTGACGTGGAGAAAATGTACATCCCGCCGTTTATGAGCAAGAAGGCGACCGTGCTAGAGAACCAACTGTTGTATGAAGAGTCAATTGCGCAGGACATTGGCTTGTCGCCGGGGTATAAAGTGCTGGATCTGGGCTGCGGCCGCGGGCGGGTGGCCGCGCACATGACGCAATACTCGGGCGCTCAAGTCACGGGCTTGAACATTGATCCCAACCAGATCGCTCAGGCACGCTCCTACAACGAGCAACTCGGCTTCACCTCCAATTCTTTCATCGTCCAGGATTTCAACAGCCTGCCTCTTCCATTTGAAGATGCTAGCTTCGACGCTTTCTACCAGATCCAGGCCCTGAGTCTGTGCAAAGATCTGCCCGCCCTCTTCCGTGAGATTCACCGCGTGCTCAAGCCCGGCGCCAAATTCTCCTGCCTCGACTGGGTCAGCCTGCCCGACTATGATCCCTCCAACCCCGAACACGTCGAGCTCATGAGTCGCGTGAAGCCTCTCATTGGCGCCGTCGGTACTCCCACCCCCGAGAGCCTCGAAAAAGCCCTCACCGATGCTGGCTTCACCGTGCTGCGCTCCGACAACGCCAGTGTTGGAGGCTTGCAAGCCCCACTGATCGAGAAGGTCGATTTCTATTTCCGCTCAATGCGCCAACTGATCCTAGGTCTCGTGAAGGCCCACATGTTGCCGAAACACTTCAAGACTCTTATCAACCGCCTGTGCCTCGATGGTGAGGCGTTCGTGAAAATGGACACAATGAGACTCGTAACGACGAGTTATCGGATCATTGCGCAGAAGCCTCGCCAATAGGGCTCACTGCGAGAAAGACAGGAGAGGCAGGTATTAAGTCGACTTGGTGTCTAGATGCTTCGGCTGAGTGAAGTACCGGTGCTTGCTCTGGATTGACTGGTCTGTGGACAGCGCTGCTGCAAGGTGCGCGGGTTGCCGACTGGAACTCACATTTGTTGCATGCGACAGCCGTGACCATCATTGCTACCTCGCGCCATCCCCAACCTCGTCGGCACTTCCACGAAACCAATGGTTGTAATTGCTTGCCAGTCGGATCATAATACCCGGCCTTTCTTGTCGTCGTTTCTCATCCACGAGCGCAAAAGTAAGTCGAGTGGCAAGCGTCCCATCACCGGCGCGGCGATTCCACCTCACACAGCCGAGCACCGCAAATCGGCATCACAAATTCTTCAAACCAGATATGCTGACTTGATAATCAGTGTCCCATCCAGGGGCTGTAATCCAGTGATATAATGTTTTCTTGTTCTTCGGCGATTGCTCGCTCTATACCCACAAAGCCCAGGCGTCCCATGGCACGGCCGTTTTACCAAATTCAAGCCATCCACCGGCTGCAAGGCAAATCCAGCGTCGGTGTTACCGGAGTGGTCACCTCGACATTGCCATGCGTCTATCACAAATGCGTTGTAGCCGGTGTTGGTGTCTTTGCATATGTCTCTTCTCTTTTTCTTCTGCTCACATTCTGCTTCCGTTGAGATGGCTTACTCTCGGCGGGGGCGGCTGCAATAGACGTACATAGACTTTAATAATACAAGTTACTCCCTTTGGATTTTGGCTTTGCGTGGGTTTGAGGCAAACAAGACGCAAAAAAGAAAAAAAGAGGCCTTCCATGGAATTTGAACTATGGCGAATGACTCGACACGGGGAAACTGGCTGAGTAAGCTTCCTTCCCAATCGTTCTTTCGCCCACCTTACGATCGCACTACTGTTGATTCGATCCTCTCCATCGGCATTTTCGTGAAGAGTGGACGATTGATCAAAGCCGATTTTGACAGACGTGCATGCCCATGCATATCATTGCGAACTCAGAACAATCCCAGGATTGAGCTCAAATTGCCGCTGTCAACGCGTCCTGAAAAACGTGGACGAGCCGGCAGTCCCAATTCGGGGAACCGTGCGAACTCCCGCTCAGGACAGGGCAGACAGCCAAACAACAACTGAATTCTTCGGTTATTATGACGAATTGCTCAGCATAGCAAACATCAGTTATCTGATCCCGACGGAGGTACATGTCTCTAGCGTGAACTGAGGATGCATTCACCACGAGGAACTAAATTACCTTAACTACTAACCAACAGGCTGGACGGGTCCAGACACGATTCCCTCCCCTCCCGGGACTCCACCCACCCCAAGCTTTGGATGGCAGCCACTTATTTGAGCACGTTGACCGGTTATCCCCCGCCTCTGGATCTTCTAGAGAAAGGCTCCTTGGCTGGCTTGAATTCTATGGAATATGGATGACTCGCCGCACTCATTAGTTAGTTGCAACACATTCTTATCGGTCGCAGGGTGTAGCGGAGATATCCCGTAGTAGTTCTAGTTTTCTCCACTCGCACCAGGCCATCCGGTTGACTGTGTGATTGAATCGCTGACCATGCGTTGAGGCGTTTCTCCCGATTTACTCCAATCCTTCACCAGAACTCCTGAGATGATGAAAATCCACCCATTCCCTTCCCCGTATGTCAGTCCATCGTTGGCGATCCGAATGATCGTCCTAGTTCCCGGTGACATAGTGCCTTTTGCAGCAGCCAGGCAGTGGACCGGTGCGTCTATCTCTGCGAGGTAGAAGCTTTTGTCGATTCTTTGCAACCAGCCTGCAATGGGCCTGTCCGGCCCTCAACATGAGACGGAGGACTGGCCTCTTCCACTTTCCCGACGAGAAAGCACATTGTCCTCATCCACGCAATCATCCGGCCAGATCAGTCCGGGCACCTCGCCTTTTACCTCGCATCCCCTCAGCCGGACGGCTTCCTCCATCGGCTCGCGCTCAAGAGAAGCCTCATGCTACTCGCTACACGAAGAAGTCGCCCACATAGCCCTCAACAATACCGTCACAATGTTGGTTATGCCTGCTTCTGATTGACGGGTCTCCTTTCCATTGACGCGATGGCAGTACTTTTGTGCGCAGCAATAAGCTATTCAAGCTCCGCTATACCTATATCGATGTACGCAAGGATACCACTGGCAGCCTCAGATGTCTAGAGCTAGGGGGTGGCCCTGGCCAGCAGACGCCATTAATCCACACCTGTCTGTCGCCCTCCGCTGCTTTTTGTCGACAGATATGCTGACACCCTCTTTGTCATTTTAGTCAACGAGTCCAAACTTCCTGTTCCACATCTCGAACACCCGAAACGCCCTAATGAGCCTTCACTTCGAATCTCCTTTATGGAAGAGCAGACTGTACAGTCTGCACAGACCGTGTTTACCACGCAATTGTCGTATCAATTCGAGGAAGAAAGAGGTGCGCACTGCTACGTTCCGATAAAAAGGGGGTTCGTGCTGACAGAACACCTCCAGACTGTGTTCATTTTCAGGAAATCATTCTAGCATCGAAATTGGTTTTTCTTGCTGGCATCGCAGAGGCCAAATCGAAAGGGCGTGGAGAGGAGTGTATCAGTCAGAATCTTCGCATCCTCCGCGGGCCCAACGGCAAGCAGGTGATGCTATTTTTCGCTAATTCCCAACGAAAAGAGTTAAAACGATATTTGAAAATACCAAGTGAGCTGATATCCCGACCGATCGGCCGACTGACGCGGCTAATGTTTCCCAGTAAACTGCATTGACAGTTTTAAGCCCGGCAAGAAGCCCGGGCGGCCTGTGGTACTGCAGCTCCAACCTAATTTCGATATCCTAACTCAAATGAAATCACTACAGATCCAGTTCCTGGACGATATAGGTATGCTCCTTGGTGCACAATACAATCCTTTACCGGAACCCTACTAACGTCCAGACTAGACCGAATAGCTTTTTGCCAATTTCTGACCGATCACATCAATTAAGATAGAGTCCCTCATCTATCGAGTAAAGGAGGCGGGATGGATTCTGCCTCGGGAGAAAGACGAATGACCACCACGTGTGTCCCACTGTATAAACTCGATCCTGGGGCGTGCGGGAGTGGGTCGAAGGATTTGTCTCATTCGTATCCATTTGATTTTCTTTGTTGATTTGCCATGGCATAGCATGTCTCATTTTTATACCCGTATCGGCAATGGTTCAAGACAGCGCGTGTTTCTTTCTTGTATTCTTTTTGAGACATTTCTCCACGTGGTGAAAAGCGGGATTGGGATACAGTCAGTGCAGCCTTAAAGAGGGGGAGAGGGGGGGGGGAAGGGAGGAGAAGGTGTTTGGAACAGGAATCTCATGTCTAAGTTAGAAGGCAGTTAGTCGAGTGACTTATTACCGGGAGTGGGTCGTAACGCACCTCTCACTCCGCGCGAAGGCGGCACGTGGGGTTCAGGGTAGATGAAGTGGTCCCTGCACAATAATAATCTATACTTTACATGACCACTGCATACACTGCACCACAGGCACCCGCCCATTGCCACTCCACTTGTGGCCATTGCCATCAGGTCAATGGGGCCTGAATTCAATGCTATGGAGAAAGTACGGAGAGTACGGAGTACTGTATGGGCAAACCTTCGTCTCAGGTGTCCGGTCTTCAATGAACCAATTGAACCCACGCCACCACTAGTTATTGCTTTCGTTCTAAATTATTCTCATCCTTCCCTCCGCTTCCTTCTCTCGTCTCCGTGTCTTGCCATCGTCTCCGACACGGTGCATCTCTCTCACTCTCTTCTTTACCCTCTTCCTCTTCCCCATCTTCATCGATTACCCCAGTTCCTTCGTTTGGGGGCCGTTCAATCCTTCAAGATCTCTTTGCATTAGCCTAACTATCACTGCTTCATTATGTCATCTGGCTAAGCGTCATTTTTATCATCACTTCAGATCTGAAACAGCTTCTACAGCAACAAATCGACCGCTATGGGCAAGCGGTGGTACAAAACCGATCGCGCTCAAGACTTTGATCATGAGCAGGTATCGTGCACAGACTGCTACAACATCATGGAGAGCGTTGGAACTAACCCATTGTGTTACATGTGGATAGGATCGGCAGGTGCGGATGCGCCAGGTCTACGAGACCATCGATCGACAAGCGTTTCAAAGGATTGTCGTTTTCGTTGCCGGTGTCGGCTTCTTCCTTGATGGATACACAGTACGTGCCTTCTTGCGCCCATCATACCTACAAATTACTGATAACGCGCCGTCCAGCTCTTTGCAAGCAACATGGCGTTCCCGATGATTTCCTATGTATATTGGCGAGACCAATTATCTTCCATGCATGTCACCTGCGTCAACATTGCTACACTCGCCGGCACACTCTTTGGACAGGTGTTGTTCGGGTACCTGGCGGATCGTTATGGACGGAAGAAGATGTACGGCTTAGAGCTGATTCTGATGATCACTTCCACCCTGGGTGTTGTGATGGCTTCCCAGGGTGAGCACGGCAGTATGAGCGTGTATGCATGGCTGATCTGGTGGCGGATTATTGTTGGCATCGGGGTGGGCGCCGACTATCCTTTGAGCGCAGTCATTACGTCGGAGTAGGTGTTTGCCCTATGCCTATTATTTCATCGAGCTGTCATACTAACATGCGAGAAGATTTGCTCCGACTAAGCACCGTGCACGCATGTTGGCTTCTGTCTTCTTTATGCAACCTCTGGGACAAATTGCGGGTAATATAGTCGCCATTATCATTATCACTGCCAGTCGCAAACAGGGAACCGCGGATCTCACCCGGACAGTCGACATTATGTGGCGCTGGGTCATTGGCATTGGAGTCATTCCGGGTGCTTTGGCCACTTTGTTTCGTTTCGTGATCCCGGAGTCTCCTCGATTTGTGCTCGAGATCGACGACGATCCGGTGCAGGCTGAATTTGATGCGACCACTCTGTTCGACGACTTCCACGCTGCTTCGCCTTCTACCTTGACTGCTTCTCTATCCGGCGGCGACTCCGCGAGCTGGCACAGTTTCGCCATTCCTGGCATATCACTCACCACAATCACCGCTGGGGAGAATGAGGAAGATGACGAAGATCGTGAAACCCAGCGCTCGCCTTCCCAAACCGAGATTCTGCAACCTGCCACTCTGAACTCTCATTGGCATCTGACTCGCCAGGATATTCGCCAATATTTCTGGATCGAAGGAAACTGGCGCACGCTCGCCGCTACCAGCCTTGCCTGGTTCTTCCTGGACTTCAGCTTCTACGGCATCAGTCTTTCTAGCCCGCAGTTCCTGGCTAAGACGTGGGGCTCGCTGCATCTCAATGGTTCTGCGCCCTATTGGAAAACCGACGACCGCCCCGGTGCCAGCATATACAACATGCTACTGGCCAGCTCGACACATGCACTCGTCATTCTCAACAGCGGGAGCTTCCTAGGTGGAATTCTGCTCATTGTCCTGATTCACAAGATTGACCGGACCGCCCTACAGAAATACATGTTCCTCGCGCTGGCCGCCCTCTTTATTGCCCTAGGAACCATGTACATTACCGTGCACCAAGAAGGAGCCGCTGCTATCACACTTTACATTATTGGCCAGACCTTCTTCAACTTTGGTATGTTTGGTCCACTCGATTCCTCCTGTTGCCCGTAGATCTCGCTCCCAACTCAAAAGAAGACCCTCCCACTGACTCACATCAAATCACAGGCCCCAACGCTACCACCTACATCATCCCAGCCGAGATCTTCCCCACGCGTTATCGCGCCACCTGCCACGGCATCAGCGCCGGCGCCGGCAAGCTCGGCTCCATCCTCGTCCAGATCTTCTCGGCATACTATAATTTCGGCACGGGAGAGGGCGACAAGCCAACCATCCGCCACGGCTGGATTCTGATTATCTTCAGCGTGTGCATGATCTTTGGCGCGGCCGTCACGCACTTCTGGATCCCGCCCGTACAGCGCGTCGCCGACCATGGGTCGTCGTTCTCCTCCTTCTCGTCTCCCTCTGCCCGCGGTCAGCTCTGGGGCGGCAGGACCGAGACCCTGGAGACCCTGGCGCTGGGCCGGTGCGGATGGAAGAGTCGCTATGCGGCCAGGGTGGGCGCGTCGAACGTGCCTAGGAACCGTATCCGCGTCCGCCAAAAGGTGGTGGTTACGTGAACTGGGCACGAAATGACTTCTCTTCGTGGACGCTTTCTCATATTTTTATTACTACCTGCTCTTCTCGACACTCTCTCACTCTCTCTGAGCTCTTTTTCTTGTGATACAGACATTGTCAAATACGTTTTCCCACGATCTATATAATACCCTACACGAACAACGAAACACTTGCCACTATTGGGTAAAGTTAAGAACTGCACCCGAGGAAGTGAGCATAGCCATAGGTTGGTGACTGGCTTTCAGAGTAGAGATTCTCGTACTTAGTGAACAAGCGCTATATTCACGAGTCTCATGATAGGACTATGTTGTTCGCAGTATTAGTACGGCGCCTGACCCTGATAGTCTGACGGTAGTATCTCTTGGATTGTTTGTTTCCATCAAGAGATTTGTAAGGGTAAAAGCCATTGAGGGCATTGGGATATTGCCGTCCCTCTTTGCTCCGAGGCTCAAGTCCAGCTCAGTCGATGATATTGTTGCCAGAGCATCCACGGGGGAGATTTCGTCGACGGTGACGCTACGAGCACAGATTCTCCTTAACTGCAAGTTGACGCCTATATATATGCTGAAGTGGCCGTAGGCGAACGTAATTGAACCCGGATGGCCACCGTTGCTACCACCATGTACCCGAATCAACAACAAAAAGGGAAGCTGTGAAATCGAGATGACGATCATTATCGTGTGATTGAGCTTGTGAAAATAGAATTGTCTGCGGTTCACATCAGCAAGCATCATTGGTCTAGTGGTAGAATTCATCGTTGCCATCGATGAGGCCCGTGTTCGATTCACGGATGATGCACACCGATTTCTTTTTGCTCCCATATTTGCTCGATATGTCTTTTCTGTAGTTAGTTACTACCTACCCTGCTTACTGCAAGCCACTAACCACCAACATACTAAGTTCACCTCCCCTCTATCCCTCCCACACAGTAGTACACCACAACCAATCCAAGTCCAAGACCCATCCCTCAGGCTACCATGTTATCCTTCCTTTCCCCCAAAACCTACAGTACCACAGTATGTAAATAAACCCTATGACCGCAAGATCTGCCTCTCGATATCCCGCCTACACAACCTATCCGCCTGCCAATTCTCCTCCCTCGCAATCCACTCATACCGCACCTTCAAGCGCCCCAACTGTCGGACTTGGCGATCCAACTCCGCCGCCTGTTCCAGCAGATCGCGATTCACCACCTCCCGCCCGCGGGTATTCCTCCACCCATTCCCCGTCCACTTGTACCTCCACTTCGTCATACACTTCACCGCATACTGGGAATCGCTATAGATCGTCACCCGCATCTTCGGCCGGGTGTGGAGCAAGGGGTACCGGGCGAGCGCCTGCTCCAGCGCGAGGATGATGGCGGTGATCTCCGCTCGTTGGTTGGTCGGTGGTGGGGAGGCGGGGAGGGAGCGCGTCCATCCTTTCTTCGGGCCGTAGCGGCGCAGAAGGATGGCAGCTGCGGCGGCGATCGCGTCCGGCTGGCCGTTGCGGTGGCAGTTGCCGTCTACTTGGAATTTCATTTGGTAGGGCATTTGGTTCGTTGCTTCATTGTGCGTATCGATGGAGGGGAGTTGAGTGTAGATACTGTGTAGATGGTGTTGGAGGGGGGGTTTAAGTCTAGCAGTGATGGATGGCTGGTTTGGGACTTTGGGGATGGATGCGCTGCTCTCTCATATATCCCACATGAGGATGGAAAATGTTGATCACAAACGTAATATTGAGCTTGATGCCCTGAGATTCGTTGAACTATCAAGGGAAGAAGGAATTCTCCACGAATTCGTGGTGTTTACATATTCCTAGTTCTGTTTGAAATCATGTGATCTCGCTGGAGCGAGGCGTTACACGCACACGCCGATAGAAAAGATGATGAGTGACTGCGGGAGGGAAGAGAGATTGGTTGATATGCAGAATATCAGCCGTTGGGATGGGTTCATCCGTTTGCACGGCCTGTAACCTCTCGCTCTCCGTCGGACCCCAACAACAAACGTAACCAGGGACACCAGGCGGTGAACTGATCAGATGCTCTTCAGGATACGAACTGTTGAATTGGGCACATCGCATGTCTATGTTCTCAGCGTAAGTAGGGGTGATTACCTCTGTGCTAGGTTGGTCGTCCAGCTGCTGAGTCTGAGCTACCGTCCTCTCTGCTTAGAATGGATTCTTGTGAGGCAGATAGACAGAGATATTGAGGATGTTGAATCGACGAGTTGGGCTTTGTTCCTTATTTCCTGAGTCCCGGGCGAGGTGCCTCACCGCCATGCCACTCTGTTCATTGTTGATAAGCATGAGGGTCTCGACTTGCACACTAGGGGGACACTGGATGGGAGAGATGGGCAGATGGAGGGGATTATAACGTGCACTTTCACAACGCAATTCACTTTTACAAGGCAGGTCACCCTTCTTGTTGACACTTCGTCAGTAATTCACACATCAGAGACTCTTTCGGAGATACTACAGAACCTGCATTGAGGTCTTTGCTTATATCCCGCTTCGTGATGCGGTTGCTGCCTCCTTTTCCCTCTTTTGATGTCTATTAGCAAAGGCTCAGTGCTAGGGGCGTCCTCCTTTGCACGATCTGCTAGACTTTATGCTACTAGCAATTCTCTGTAGCCTCCCATATGTATTTGAATGGTTCGGAACTGGTCAATTCCGACGCATACAAGACATCACTCGTCCATTATTGAGCGCAAATATCGTTGATAGTAATGGATAGGTACGTATGACTTTCACGATCCCCTTTGATACTGCAGCAAACAACTCCGTCCACAAAACAGGAAAACGCAAAAAGCACCCGTAGAGAGAAAACATGACTGACGAGAACCCCCTCTCCTCCTTTCCCCTTCTCCACCACAGCACCAACGCAACGAGAACGACTACCACTCTAGACTCCGAGAGCAAAGGCAGGAAACTCTACCGTCGATGTGCAGCACCCTGAACCAACCTCCCCCCCCCCCCCACCGACGACTCCCCATGGACCTATGCAGATCTCAGGCGATTCTACGAACCGCACGCGTACGATGCGCAACCTACCATCGACAAACCCCTAGCGGAAGCTCTCCACGCCCTCTTTCGGGTTGGTGAGTGGAGGATGTGATATGGGTTGAATTCGGAGTAGGTGGGCGGCGAGGGATAGAGCTCGATTTGGTGTCTTGGATGATGTTTTATGAACTTGGTAAATTCCGAATTGATACTGCAGTTTAATTGAATAGAAATGTGAAATCGAAGAGGGTGTTTGTGCTCGGATTGATATGTTGTTGATTCAGGCTTACAGTAGGAGAGAGGGTATAATTACAGCCTCTTCTCATCTTCTCTTTCCCTGTTCCTCCCGGCAACACGAGCCGCTAGTACAGATCACCGCAGCCAGATGCCAACGCGACCCCCGTTCAATGGAGGATGGACCCCCCCTCCCCCCAGAGGATACTTTCCTGCCCATCGGAGCTTGGCAGGGGGGGGGCCCTCGGGAGAGCTCGAGTGACTCATACGGAAAGCCCTACTCCCCCATCCGCCAACCATCCCAGATGGAATCAAAAGCACTAGACAGATCTGAGCCAATGCTTGTATGTGTAAAGAACATCGCTGATGGCTCATGCTCAGAGGCCTGATGACACTTAAGCCGTGCTCCACGTCAACATTTACCGGAAGTTGAACTTGTATCTCGAGAAACATCGAGAACACCGTCAGAACGGTACGTTGTTATCAACTGTCCAGACAAAACTAACTTGAAAACGTAATCGACTAGACCATTAGAAAATCACCCACCAAGCAACACTTAGAACCAGGTTCGCTGTTCCTCACACGTGTATGATCTCTCATCCATGACATCACCCGAATTGTACACCGAAACGAGCGGCCATGGACACAGTGCTCGCGTCCGACCATCCGCCGCTTGCGCGAGGAGAGTCTCCGGAACCACACCATCTTCCACCCACTCAACAACTTGCGACAAGGGGTCAACGGGAACAGGACCGTTTCCACCTTCGCAGTGATGCACCCCCGGGGCCGGAAAGAAGCGGTAGAAGTCCCGCACGGCCGGATCACGCTCTTGCACTCGACGGTAGTAGTGCTCTGTGCCCTTGGGGAAGATCAGTGGGTCAGCTAGACCGTGCCACGTGATCATCTTTCCCCCGGCAAGCTTGAAGGCTGACAAATCGGGGTCGTCGGTTCCGATGATTGAGTCGTATTCGGCTATGGAGCGTGCAAGGATGCTATCCAATTCCGCGTGGTCGAGGGTGGTGAGGTCGAAAGCGGGATCCTGGAGGATATAACGACGAATCCAGTCAGAAGAGATGGCAAATGGAGATCCGGTGCAATTCAGTGCCGAGCTGCAGGTGGTGGCCCCGAGGCTTCCATCACTGCCCATGGAGAGGGGAGCGCCTCGCTCCAGACCATACCATAGAAAAGTCCCGTTGGACGAGCGCATGCCTGCCCACATAAGCTTGACAGATAGAGCCGCTGACTGGGTTATTTGCACGCTAGTATCGTTGCATGTGATGGTCTTATTGACCAAAGAGAGAGGGTCGAAGTTACAGAGACCAGGCGCAGATATCACGCCATCAACAACCCCGTCAAGAGAGTCGCAGGCGCTGACAGCAGCAGAAGTAATCGCGTCCGTTACGCACGTCGGCGGGTAGGTCTGAAGCTGATTCATTACAAATTGCGGCCAGTATTCAGCCACAAGAAATGTGGGCCAGTTGATGGCTGGTGCCGCCGCCATTATTCCATTGTATGCGGTGGGATACCGCTGTGCGAGCATGAGTCCTTGTCTGCCGCCGGTAGAGCAACCGTTCCAGTACGACTGGCTTGGCCCATGACCGTACAAGCTGTGGCTGATTTGTTTGCCAATGATGGCCGCTTCATTCAGAGCCAAGTAGGCGAAGTCGTCGAGAAGGGCCATGTTGACATGATCGGAAGCATCGAGAGACCAGGTAGCTGAGTTTTCAGATACGAGGTAGGTGTGGCCGCCATCTGTCGCCACAACGGAATAGTCAAGGGCCACGGCTTCTGCTAGAACGGAGTCGTCGTGACGCATTGCATACCCTCCCCCGCCAGAGCCCTGAAGCCGGCCGTTCCAGCTCGATAGGGGAAGCCAGACGGTAGTATGAATGGCATCATTCTTTCCAGGATGGGTGTATGTGACAGTCACGTTGCAGAAGTCCAAGGTGGTATTGCCATTCTGGTAGCCGACAACTGGGAGAGCTGACAGATGTAGCAGCTGTGCCTCAGGGATTGAGGGTTTGGCGATGCCGGCAGCCGAGCAGTTCCCCGCATTTACTGCGGATGCAGCCAGGAGGGCAGCCGAAACGTAAGCCGAGGTTAAAGACCGTACTGTAGGCAAAACCATCCTGAGGGCGAGCACTGGACCGACTGAAGTGAAGTCTTGTTTCGTTCTCTGAAGGGATATCAGAGTACTTTATATCGAGTCTGGACTTGCAGACTTCAGCTTGGTTTGAGCCCGCATGGAGGCCCAGGTGAACTTCTTGGTAGATCGGCGGCATCCGCGCAGTTGATTCGCGCAACAACTGCGTCGCTAGGAAAAATATCCGGAGATATCAGCTACCATGCCATGGCCCGGACAGCGGTGTCCTGTTTGATACGCTCTCTGCATAGGCAAGACCACTTGTTATGGAGAAACTGAGTATGGATCGGCATGTGCGGCAGCTCGATCGGGAGTTCGTCGGTGGAGCCGATCGGCCCCACTGCCGCTGCAGCATATGGCAATGGAGCCCACCCAGAGCTGCTCAGGAGATCGTAATTCGAAAATTCACGAACAGGACAGGAGGCCCTGATGATGTAGGTAAAGCCATGCACGGTTTAATCATCTAAAGTAGCAAGCAATTGGCGTGTCTCAGATTGGAATACCCGACCCAGGAAGTCTCTGCCTCTCCGGACTGGGCCAGCGATAGTTGAATGGCGAATGTTAGGTCAGAGGAAAGGCGTTCCCTATAACTCGTTTCCATTACCAATGGGAAACTGCATATCATGTCGTTTAAAGTCCTAGGAGCAGCTGAACTAGCCCTGAAGCCTGCCATACGAAGCCTGTTGGTCAAAGAGAATGGCCAATCGAGCTTGATCACCCACAATGTCGGTTCTTGTTTGATGATGCAGTTAAGCATGGGTAGGCAGTCTCAGGAAATGGTTCCAGAATAAAAGCCCGTTGTTTGAAGGGATCGCTACGATCGTATCGCTGCTTCCAAGCTGCTCCATATTAAGAGATCTGCATTTGCTTGGAATGGGTGGTTGCGCCGAACGGTGGGGGAGGTGGATCGGACCGCTCCTACACCTGCGTTTCTCCCCTGGTCCAGCTGACTGATGGTTTCGTCAAGGAGCCTCAAGCTGTAGAGGGTGTTCTAATATGAGAGGTCTGACGCCGATTTCTGCGGATTGGTGAGTATTCGGCTGAGTTGGTGGGGGACAAAAGCACTGGTAGCAACTATGCGGAGTCGGCGCGGCAAAACTCGCAAGCTTATTTGGAGCCTAGACCTTAGTCACGTGACCAAAGAGGGTCCTGTCCTTAACGCGGTTCGAACCCGCGCGGGGGAGACTTTTCAACTGTGCTTTTAGTGCTCCGTCTGGAGACAATTTGCCATTATTAGTAGTACCTCTCATTCTTAAATGATACAATGGCTACCTGATCATTGACGGGTTACCCATATGGTCAGCGATTCTACCTCCCTTACTCTCTTCTCCCATACATCGTGCTTGCCCTGATATCAGTGGCTCACAGAGCTCTTTCTTTCTCTCCATCTGCGGACCCCAGTCAAAGCAATCATCTTTGTCACCAGCTCCTCAGGTGACAACGAGTTTTGCCAACCCCATGTCGAAGATCGGCAAGAAAGTGAAACCGGGGGGGTTTCTCGCCGTAGCCTCGGCCTCTCAGGGTTGCCAAAAGTGCGGACTAGTGTGACATACTGTCCGCAATTAGATATGTGGCTTGCATTAGGAGTATTTCAGCTATGCGTACAGGGCTAGGCTAGTGGACCAGAAGTAACTGAGTACTAATTAACTGTGGTGTAAAGCGAGGTTGAAGCGGGGTTCAGTAATTGGTTGATGATTTAAACGGCGTCTCTCCCCCTCACTTTCCCCGGTAGTTCACCAGAAAAGCCACTCCGTGACTTCCCCGCCTTTTGTCTTTCTGTATCCAGAGCATCATCGTCATCATGGCCACTACAGCCCAATATCTACCTGGCTCGGTTGATATCCCAGTGGGGCGCTTTCCTCCCACCCTCACATCGGCCAATGTCGACCCTGAGGCCATTGCCTCGCAGCTTGTGGACCAGATCAATACCGCGCTGAGCCAGCGAAATGTCGAGGCTATCAGCCGCCTGTTTCTGGAGGGCGGTTATTGGCGAGATCATCTTTGTCTGACTTGGGAGTATCGCACTGCCAAAGGCCACGACCAGATCCAGACACTCCTCAAATCCGCACAGCTGCCGACAAATATCGAGATTGACCGATCGACCAGTCTACGTACACCCCATGTCGGCCCAATCGATGCGTTTGGAGATGTCAAGGGTGTTGAGTTTTTCATCAAGGTCTCGAGCCCCGTCATCAGCGGAACAGGTGTCGTTCGTGTGGCCGAAGTCAACAACGGATGGAAAATCTTCACCTTCTTCACAAGCCTTCAGAACTTGGTGGGCCACGAGGAAAGAGTAGGTCATCGTCGGCCACTCGGCGTGCAGCATGGGGCGAACAAGGATAGAAAGAATTGGCAGGACAGACGCAACGCAGAAAACAATCTAGAGGGCAACCCTCCGACGGTTTTGATTATCGGTAAGCATACTGCAATGATCATCGGCCCGGTCAGGCACCTGACAAGCTAAGCTTCGTAATTAGGTGCTGGCCAAGCGGGTCTCAGCGTGGCCGCCCGCCTGAAAATGCTTAACATCGATAGCCTCATCATTGACGAAGCAGATCGCGTTGGCGACAATTGGCGCAGGCGATACCACCAGCTGGTGCTCCACGACCCTGTGTGGATGGACCATCTTCCTTACGTGCCCTTCCCGCCCAGCTGGCCGGTCTTTACGCCAAAGGACAAGCTAGCTGAATTCTTCGAGTGTTATGTCAAGCTCCTAGACCTCAACGTCTGGACCCGAACCACCGTCCATTCTACGTCGTGGAGCGAAGCTGACAGTCTCTGGACCATTGAGCTGCAGCGCCGTAAAGAGGACGGTAGTTTCGAAACCCGCACGTTGAATCCCCGACACGTCATTCAAGCGACCGGTCACTCCGGAAAGAAGGAAATGCCCATCTTCAAAGGCATGGAGTCATTCAAAGGCGACCGTTTCTGCCACAGCAGTGAGTTCCCCGGCGCGAGCGACCTCTCCTCGTCAACGCAGAAAAAGGCCGTGGTCGTCGGGGCGTGCAACTCAGGCCACGACATTGCGCAGGACTACTACGAGAAAGGATACGACGTGACGATCGTCCAACGGAGCTCGACTTGCGTGATCTCCTCTGCCTCCATCACTGATATCGGCCTGAAGGGCCTCTTCGACGAGGATGGACCCCCGACCGAGGACGCCGAGCTCTACCTGTGGAGTCTGCCCTGGGAGATCTTCAAAGCCCAGCAAGTCAAAATCACCCGCCTGCAGAACGAGCACGACCGCGCGGTCCTCGACGGGCTCGCCCGCGCGGGCTTCCAGGTCGACAACGGGCCCGCGGGCGCCGGCCTCATCATGAAGTACTTCCAGCGGGGCGGGGGCTACTATATCGACGTGGGCGCGAGCCAGCTCATCGCAGACGGGCACATCCGAGTTAAGCACGGCCAGGAGATTGCGGAAGTCCTGCCGCACGGCCTGCGCTTTGCGGACGGGTCGGAGCTCCCGGCCGACGAGATCGTTCTCGCCACGGGCTACCAGAACATGCGGACGCAGGCGCGACAGATCTTCGGCGATGCGGTCGCCGACCGGGTCGGCGATATCTGGGGCATGGACGCCGAGGGCGAGATGCGCACGATCTGGCGGCGCAGCGGCCACCCGGGTCTGTGGTTCATGGGGGGCAATCTGGCGCTGTGTCGGTATTACTCGCGGACGTTGGCGTTGCAGATTAAAGCATTGGAAGAGGGCATTGCCAAGTAAATTGCTGGGCCAGTTGGATGCAAGAGAGAAAAAGGGGGTAATGGTAAGGTAGTTGTAGTCAAAGTCATGGGTCTCTGGTTTGTCAGTCGCAAGATCGACCCAAGGTGAGACCCGACTATGCAATATCTAAAGTAGAGAATGGGTTAGTTACTCTTGTGAAGACCGATGCGACACTTGCCAATGCACAATTTTATGCGCATGGTAGAATAAATCCCTCGATCGCATCGGCTAGATAGTAAGCGGAGATGCCACGGAGTTCGGAGCCGGAGAAGTTGAACAAACCGCATCGCAGAGACCCTTCTCTGCTCTCCGACGCTCCGACCCTCCTCATCGAAATTTTGGAGGAAGACAACTTCTAATATGAATAACTCCAATTGGATATCATGAACTATCCCTGAAAACAAGACCCCCCTCCCCC